CCTAACCCTAACCCTAACCCTAACCCTAACCCTAACCCTAACCCTAACCCTAACCCTAACCCTAACCCTAACCCTAACCCTAACCCTAACCCTAAAACACATACGCGCTTCGCGCAAAACCCTAACTTTCCCCCAAACCAAAATTTCCGTACCGAAAATAGCAGATAGGGGACCTGAAATGTTTGGGCTGAAATGTACTACCCTAGTGAACATTTTAGGTCTGATTTCTTGGCAAACTTCAGGTCCTCTTAGACCCTAAGTTAGCTATGCACAGACGAAATTTGTATGGGTTTCAAACATTTTAGGGCTGAAAATATGTGCTCTTATGTTAGGGCTAAAGCAGGTAATATTAAGAGGCTAAAGTATATAAGATGAGTGTAGAGGCATCTAGAGAAGGATAATATTGTTATCTATATAGAAAGAAGTGAACTCTGTTATTATATAGCTCCTATAATTGTCTAGAATTAACAATCTTTTGCTACTAACAGTCTTTATTCTTATGTTACGGGTCAACTGCCAAAGGCGGTTTACTCGAGGTGGCTTCTTGAGAATAAGTAGTACAACAGGGAAATGAGAAGGGGCTTTGTATTCCAATGGGTAAGTTGGTAACATGAGTTCAACACGAACAGACATAAGGTCCATTCGTCCTACCTATATATGTAAGTTAGATACAAAGGGAATATGTAGTTGCTCTGTTGCTCTGTGCTTGGATCCTCAGATCTTACAGAGCAGATGCTCTGCTGCTCTGCACCTTGATCCTTCAGATCACAGAGCACCCTCTCTGCCTCAGGCACTAGTCACGTGACAGTTTGACGCTCGTGGCCGCATGTCCTTGTCCTCTAACGACTGGCTGTCGTCGTTCCCTTCTGTCTTCTGCTGTGCCGTGTCACGGGATCGTAACATCTTATATGAATTTCAAAGTGCTAGATCTATTACAATCCAATCTTATTACTTGTCTAGCCTTAAGGGCTTGCTACAAACATCTACGTCTAAGGAAAGTGCTCTCTAAGCTATAAATAGTTTATAGTCTTGCCTTTGAAGATAATTAGTAGTAGTATCGCTAAACTATCTGTACAGGCTCCTTAAATAACTGTAATCTATTTATTGCCTATAGGCTTCACCTGCCTTAGCCTCTCTATTCTTTTAGACGATATAACTACTCTAGAAGTTGAGATCTGGCCTAATTGAAAGCCTGTTTTATCAAAGTTGTATATGTCTTCTAGCAAGATGCTATGCTTGTTAATTGTATTCTTCACAAGCTCAAACTAAGCCTTAATAACAGCCGGAGTCTTATAGAGCTTTCTCTAACATTCGTAGGTCCTGCTAGACTTGACTATAAGCGAGGGATTACGTAAAATGAACCTGCTAGGCCAATACCGGCCAACTTCAGGTTTTCCCTTAGCTTTGTAGATAGCATTAGCTATAGATCGTATAATTTCAAGGGTAGGAGAAAGCCCTTTAGCATCCTACTTTAGTATATCATTAAGAAGGATGCCCTCCTTAATCGGAGTGAGATTGCTATTCTGTGGCATGTAGTCCTCTCGAGCAGGACTTCCTTTTAATCTCCGAAGTAGCGTTGTTTTCGAGACGTTGTAGGTCTTGGTAGCAGCGGTCACAGAATCGACGGCACCTGATTTGAAAGCTGATATTGCAAGGAGTATACTCCCTTCGTTTGAGCTCATTTGGACGCGTTTTCGTGGAGCCATCGCGTAGTAAAGTGGTTATTGTGGTGGACACGTAATTCGTGGACCACGCCCTGGGGTGGACTGCGCTGTGGTGTTTGACGTTATTCTATTAATCTAAGCTTATATAAGAACATTATATATGAATTAGGTATTCCTGAGCAGTACCAGCCCGCGCGCAAGCTTCCAGCTCCTCGATAGTTAAGCCTGGGCGGTCCCAGTTCGCAACACCGTTCCGGGCGTTATCGGTCCTAAATCTGAGGAGAAAAACAGGCTGATTGTTAGTGTTACGATCCCATTGACGTCCAGGGAACGCAGCGTTAGACATTAGCGGGGATCGATCCATCTGAAGAGTAAAGTAAAGTGCCCTGTTGGGAGTCACGTACAGCTGGATTCGAGACGAGGGATTCTGCATGTCCCAATACTCGGCAGGTTCAATTCGATGTCGCGGAGCATCATTACGATCGGTGCTCAACTTCAAGTTCGTAGACGGGTGACAAGGGAATTCTGTCTCCAGTGCTCCGATGATATCGTCTCGCATACTCACAATCCATGGGTGTACCGCTGCAAGTTTCCTCAGAGTCAGATTAGAGGCTTCGGTGGGGTGATAATGCGACGGACTCACCGCCAACGTAATCCTTGACCGTCACAAAATCGTTCCCTTCTGATGGACGAACCTCCATTGTACGGCCTGCTTTGCCCAAGGGGCGGTCCTCACCGCAGCAACGGACAAGGAACTCTTTGTCCGAGTCCTCCTCCCAATCCCAAGTCCAATCCTCCCGCATTGGGTTTGCTGTAAACGGTCGATCATCGTCGCTCAGGTCACCATAGGTGATATACTCGCACCCGGGAATTTTTGGGTCGGCATGGTCCATATGATTATACTCCCAGACATAGCTCCACGCGTCTAGGTTCCTAACCAATACTTCGATGGCCGAGACTTTCTTTCTCGTTATTGAATGCGACGCAATCTCGTGCCACTCTCCAGTCGCTGGGTTGAATAATGGTTCTGCATCACCAGTGTTGCTTTGACGCACTTTCATGACTGAGATCGCGGACGGAAACTCTCCGGTAATCGGCCATATCAATCGCGAATATGCTTCCGATGCCCACGGACTTATACCGTCTTGTACCTTGCGCTCTGTGAACGTCGGAAATGGAGGCCCGTCGTCAGCCTGTTGCGTCATTTGTGCGTCGCCCATATTGTCGGCGATGCGATGCGCTAGTCATAGAAATAAGCCAAAGCAGTTGCAGAACCTTCATACACCTTGAAGCACGGAGGTCTACTGGAGGACAGGGCGGCTCCTGGAAGTCCTGGAAGTCCCCGCATTAAGAGATGACTCGCGTGGGCCACCCATGTGCCTGGCTGGTTGGCCCTAAAAAGGAATGGCTTGTGTCGTCACCAACGTGCAGCCGCGTCAAACTACGAATTACATTCTTTCCCTTCCTCTATTCGCGGGCAACTGTCAAACATCTTCCATCTTCATTAATCATTTCTATCCGGCAAACAAACCCACCTCTTCGATTTTTGGATCACGTTCGCTACGCGCAACTTTCCCTCTTCACTATCGTCGCGCCAACGGGCAGCAAAACTTCTTTCCCAACGCTTCTCCAGAATTTGCAGCGACCCACGAACTGCCCTCGGGACTCGCATACACGCGCGCCATGGTCGCTGGGACCGCAGTCGCGCGTGGTAGCGCTGCGCGAAGCGCTCGTAATGGACCTGGTCGTCGCGGAGGAGCTCGCGCTGATCGGGATGGAGATGTCAGCATGGATGGCCCGGCTGGAGGACGTGGAAAGGTCGGGAAGAGCACAGCAAAGCCTACCAGACGTAGTGGAAGGAATGGCGATGCACCCAATACCCAAGGCGGCATTCTGAGTGCAACCGCGCAGCGGCACATATTGCGACAAGCCGCAAATGGAGACGTCAACATGAAGATCGCGCGCACGAACCCTCGATCTGGTCTCGTGGAGCTGAAGATAACTGGTTGGGAGAAGAGTTCATCCTCGACCAACAAGGACCGCGGAGTCAGTGCTCTAACATCATGGCTGGAGAAAAAGGCAAGCCGAAAGCTCGGCTCAAGTGCAGGAAGAAGAGAAGTCAGAATTCGAAAGGTACGCCAACCACACACCGATCCATCCTGGTCGATTTTCCACCACCTCGTCTACCGATGATTAATATTACCTACAGTCCCGTGTAGAGGGCGATACCCTCCTCATCAGCGTCCAGCCGGAAGATTTACAAGTGCTCCTTCGCATGGATGGCTTCAGCTGGTCCGCGGTAACAATCAACATAAAACGCTCCGATGGAATCGTGGATACTCAAAGTCAACCTTCGAGCGAGGCGGAGAAAACCAAGGCCATGCTCCAAAGCGTTCTTGAGCGTCGCTATGATATGGACGCGAAATTTCTAGATCTCAGCGCTCTCGGGCAGGATGAGGAACTCAAAGCATCAGCAATCTTTGATTCCAAATCGACGACCAGTAAATTCTTCCCGGCTTTGATGCGAGTCTTGGAGCTTGCATTTGATAACAAGGCAGAGCGCGATGCAGCAATTCAAAGCGTCTCATTGGCGCGCAACGATCTCGAAAATCTGACAAACGTCTCAACGTTATCAGAGACACTACCTAATCTACACAACCTCGACTTATCTAACAATAATTTCGCCACGCTTGACTCGATCAGTCTATTCAGGAGACGATTTCGCTACTTGAAGCACTTGATCATCTCTGCGAACCCACTGGAACAGAATGAGCCCAACTACGCGGCAGAAATTCTGAAATGGTACTCATCGCTCACTCAACTCAACAACATCCAGGTTCGGACAGAAGAAGAAGCGGCTGCTCGTAAAAAGGTTTCACACATGCCATTTCCCATTCGCGGGCCGCTATTTCAGGATGAGGGTGGTATTGCGGAATCTTTCATCCGAAACTTTTTCGTCGGCATCGACACTGATCGCAACGCCCTCGCCACTATCTTCTATGACGACAAATCAGAGTTCTCGTTTGCAGTTAACACCTCAGCACCTCGTGACCCTGCGGCAACCGATCGACCCGCACCTCAAGAATGGGAGCAATACATACAGAAGAGCCGAAATCTCAAAAGGCTCAACCAACTACCCGCGCGCGCTAAACGCCAGTACAGCGGAGCAAAAGCTATCGCGGACGTCTTGACCTCTCTCCCCGCTACCAAACATCCCGATCTTGCCACACAAGCCGCAAAATGGCTCATTGAGTCGCACATCCAACCCAACATCCCGGATCCTATCGGTCAGAGTCTCATGGGTGTGGATGGCTTCCAAATCTCCGTGCATGGTGAATTTGAGGAGATTTCCACGACAGCCGGGCAACCAGGCAAGCAGCGCAGCTTTGATCATGTTTTCATTGTCGGCCCAGGCGGATCCACTGGCGTCCGCATTCATTCCCACCAATTTACCATTCGTGCGTACGGAGGGTCTCAAGCTTACCAACCCGAAGACCTCGCTGCGTACGCCGCCATCGTCGGCACCGCCAGCTTGCCTAACCCACAACCTCCTGTATCGACGATAGCAACTCCTGTTGCTGCCCCTGCTGCCGCTCCCGTTCCGTCTGGACCTCCCACGGGTATGAATGTGGAGTTAGCAGAACAAATGCTTCTTGAACTGCAAAAGCAGACGCGCATGACAATGCAGTACGCTAAGGACTGCCTTGAGCAAGTTAATTGGGACTTCACCAAAGCACTAGAGGTCTTTGGCAATGTGCGCGCGAGTCTTCCGGCCGAGGCGTTCGTGGCAGCTGTCTAATGTATACCATCATGGGTTAGAGATTGAAAGAAAAGAATAAGAGCAAACGGAGTAGGGTCGAGCAACTGCTCTGAAATTTACGGGGAAGGGAAACTCTTGTATCACTAGAATAAAAGACAAACTGTCGCACTTTCGCGAACGTCACGGTCATCAACGGGCGAGGGAATAACTCGAAATATGGAATCAGAAATCAATTTCTTGGACGTCAGTGATATTCACCGAACCATAGATTTTCCCTGTCATTTCGCAGTACCACCATCTCAAACCCTCGCGTTCATAACAGCCACGCCAAAATTCCACAATCCCACCACCGCCAACACCGACAATCCCGTCGGAAGCGGCTTCTTCGACTTGATCGCGCGCGGAATCGAACTTCCCGCCAAAATGATACTGGCCAAGAGCGCTAGTTCCACACCGTAGGTCTGCTTGTTTTGGATCCTGTAGGCGCCTAGTGCGTACAATGCGCCGACGCTGCAACCTGCGATCAAAGACGCTTTGCTGCCGGCGCGGACGTAGCCCGTGATTCCTCCGCCGGAGGTCAGCAGGGCGAGGACATAAGCGATTTGGCTAGAGGCGTTTGTTAGATAGGGCATCGGGGAGTCGGGAAGAGTTAGGTGTTTTACTAGAGAGACTGAGAGGGAGGTTGTTAGCTGAATGGGTTTCCATCTGGAAGATGATGGGGTAGAGAGCGCTTACCATGATATCTGTTCTTGATGTGTTCGGCTACGAATCTTCACTAGAAAACAGAGCGATGGTTGTGCAGAAGCTTGGATTGTGTGCCGAAAGATGGAGAAATTTTGATTTCGTGGTGTTTTGCGATTGGGAAATGTTGCGACAATTACATCAATCCAAGCTAGAGCTTCTGATTATAAGCTGGTCACGCTGGTATTCTGGTAACTCCGGATTCGTGGCGGCGGACCCTTCCGTCTCCATGTACCCCTAACCCTATCTGAACCAACTGAACAGTTGTAGGCATTGGGCGCATTGCTCACTACGAGCTGTGCAGGTACATCACACGATATCGCCGAAAGAAGGATTTCAACGACCACAAATCACCGCACGACGCAAAACATCCAACACTATTACGTTGTATTCCTCACTTGAGTGCTCCTTCCAGAATGGCGCCGAAGAAGAATGCCTCCGCCGCCTCGCAAGCACCAAAATCCACCACTCCATTAGCAACCACAACCGGCACCACCGCACAACCCGACCAGCCCAGCGTACCTGTGACACGGCCTGCTACAGTCACCAGCAGTAAAAAGAGCGCCAGCAGGAACCCTCAGACGCCTCAGGAGATTCTCGCATCGATATGGAACACTTACGCTGATGAGACGCCGCAGCGGTCGAAGCTCCTGGATGTCTTCATGGGCTTCCTTTTGGTTGTGGGTGGATTGCAGTTTGTATACTGTGTGATCGCGGGCAATTATGTAAGTTTTCAACTATTGATTTGTTCAGGAAAGTGGAAAGTACTCCGCATTGAATTGGCGGAAAGGGAGAAGAGGATCATAGCTGGAGACGCTGCATGAAGCGCGTAGTGGTATCACGGAGAGAAAGCAAGCCAGACGATTCCATCTGCAAGAGAGGCCAAGAGGCAGAGGGCTCGGACATCAACTTTTGGGTTTAGAAACACGACAAGACGAGGACATCGCTAACGAAATCATTTCTCCAGCCTTTCAACGCCTTCCTATCCGGTTTCTCCGCCACCGTCGGCCAATTCGTTCTCACAGCAAGTCTTCGCATCCAAACCAACCCTGCTAACAAGGGCGACTTTGAGAACATTTCACATGAGAGGTGAGTCTGGTCCATTCACGCACACAGACATGGGAGACGTGCTCCCACACGAAAGAGGGCACTTCCATACTGACCAAATCTTTCTCCCAGAGCATTTGCCGATTTCATCTTCGGTAGCATGATTTTACATTTCTTCTGTGTCAATTTCATTAATTGAACAACGGTACTTTTGGGATCGGGGACGGGAGGAAGTCTCCGGATGAAGCTTTCAGTGGAAAAATAAGACGGGCGGCCGGGGCGGCGTGATAGAAGATACACTACGACGTCGAGAAAGTTGGCTGATGCTCCCGCTATCTGCGTCCCTGACGATACGCCTTGCTACTCCATTTGCACAACTGAAGTGCCTTCCGAAGAAGAAGAAGAAGAAGAAGAAGAAACGTGGCAGCGCTGGATTGGAGCGATATAAGCGACCGAGGCACAATGAGGAACAGAACCGCGGATGCAGACAAACGAGGAAAATTTGATTCTTCGTGTGGCCAAGATGTCAATATCAGAAAGCATCAGGCTCGGTGGTGTAAGTCAAAGATGTTCTCGGAGGAGCGTACATTATGAAGTTGCAAGTCAGCTGGGCGGATTGTCAAACATGCTACAAAGAAAGGCCTCTACAAATGGAATTAAATTTCCAATATGATGTGGATCTGACCAACACTTAATGCACATATTTCCAATGCGCCGTACAGGGTAGTAATTGAACGTGATGATGTGGTGGATTATGTCGACCTAGTTTGATAAGGTCGCGCCGTAGCCCCTGATCTGGTCATGGATTTGCATGCCTGCTCATGGATATGTGACGACCGTAAACGTACTTGAGGGATTGTGTTAAGCAGAGTATGACTGGTGAAATTCCGGATTCCAGCGATTTGCATCGCATAGAGAATCCTAAAGAGCCCTATAGGACGATTGTAGGTATATTTGTATTTCATGTACGCTCACCAGGAGTTACACAGAGAAGATAAGCGAGTTCCAACAGAGTGCTCTATCAATGCACGATGTCTCCAGCTCGCTTTGTCCGTCTTACCCCTTGGTCCCAGATTTCGCGTCAAATGTTTTGTTTCCGTTTTACTATTTTCAATCTCCTTTTCACCAATGCGTGCCAGCCGCTATCATCTAGGCAGAGGCGCCAGATATGTAGAACCACTTGTCGATGCTTGAGTCAATTGGCGCAGGTGCCTTCTCCTCATGGGCGGGGACCTTGAGGGAGGATGGGTCGACGCGGTCTTGGCTGTGCTGAACGGTGGTGTTGGTCCTGTCGCGAGTATTCATTAGTATTCATTTTGCATAGTTGGCCACCGTGGACGTTCTCAGCAGTCTACGGCACAAAACCCGCGAAGCTCTTTTGCACAATCTTCGTTTCCTCCTTTTGTATGTCTTTTCTGATGGGAAAGCAGATTTCGGATAAAACTTACAAATGGATTCCACCGCTGGCAGTCTTGCCAGTGATGAGCTTCTCCCATGACTCGGCGCACTCGCGCACAACCTCCATGGCGTACTTCTTGTTCTTGCACTCGCCGGAGAAGGCAAACTGGTTCTCAGGCTTGCCGTCAGGGATCTTGTAGATGCGGAACCACTCATTCGACGCGCGGAGAAGACCGGGGAGGTGACGCTCAACATCTTCAATGTCGTTCAGGCGGGGTGCAAGCGGGTCGTTGACGTCAATGACAATGACCTTCCAGTCGGTCTCGCCCTCGTCAAGAAGTGCCATCACACCGAGAACCTTGACCTGCTTGACTTCACCAGGCTTGGCGACGAGCTCGCCGATCTCGCAGACGTCAAGCGGGTCGTTGTCACCAGCTTGCTTGGTCTCCGGGTGAACGACGTTGGGGTCCTCCCAGGTCTGAGGGAAAGCACCGTAGTTCCAGAGGTAACCCTTGTGTGGGAAGCAGTTGCGGACGAATCGAAGCTTGCCCTTCTTGGTGTCTTGCTTGATGGGGTTGAGCTCGTCGTCTTTGGAGATCTGTTGAGGGCGAAAAGTTATTAACTAGCTCACAATTTCCATGACAGCAGTCGTTCTCGAGCTATCCATGATGGAACCCCGACATGGACTGCCTGTTTGGTGACCATCGGGACAGTTCCACTCACCTCCTGCTTGGCATTGGTCCATCGCGGAATCTCAACGACCATGTTCAACACGGTCTGCTGCTCGTTGGCGTAGAGCGGGATGTCGTGAAAAGGCGAAACGAGGACGCCATCCTTCTCGATGTAGATGCGGTGCTCGAGGGTATGGGCGGCGCCGACCTTGCGGGTGGTGTAGACTGGTGATCGGGAAGCCATGTCGTTTGTGGTCTCCTTGTTGTTGTTGCTGCTCTGTGGAGAAGCGGAGGGGGAGGAGGAAGAAGAAAAAGCTCGGATGTGATGATTATTGGTAAGGTGATCGGCAATCAGACCAGTGCGGGCCTGAGAATTGTTGACAGGTCTGGTGGGGTTGAAACGTGCAATGGTAGAAGCTCCGCCAGGGTCTGCTCCTGGGACTGTTTCCATGGCGGCCATTGAAGTGGCGGCTGCGTTGGCGATGATGTCGAAGGGTTTGGTGGGGTGCTGGAAGCTCGCTGTAGTATTAGTCACGCTTGGTGTAGCTGTGAAACCAAGTTTACAGAACAAGGATATCGGCGCCGGAGAAGTCGGAGAGCGCTGGTGCCTGAGGCCAGACCGGACAGCGGATGGCAATTGACGACGTCCGCAGTGAACGACTGCAGTGCTTGCCCGGGCGGTGACAGAAGCAGCAACAGCAGCAGCAACAGAGGCGGTGTGCTGTCGAGCTCGGGATGACAACATGCAGAATTGATGGAAGTGTTCGACAGATTAATGAGATTTGGCTGAAGATTCCGCCTTCGACTAGTGCGCCGAGGGAGAACGAAGTCCTGTGAATGCACGCGTTGCCCTAGATCTGTTTCTCGCCAGGCGAGTGCACTGACTCGCTGCCCATTCCGCAGCCTAAATCTCTCCATCTTCGGCTGGTCGGCTATACACCGATTGCTTCGCATGGCCTCCCAGTCTTACTTTTCAGAGGAGGGGGAACAAGGTTTCATTGTCGTCACTGACATTGATGATATGACTTTGCACATGAGTGTAACTGGGTCTGAAAATGACCAAAAATAGGCATCATTGACGAAGGTCAAATGTTGCTTGTCGCGGCTGTCAAAAATCTGGACCACCACAGACTGTGCACTTTCGGTTTCCAGAAATTGTGTCGCTCCTTCCGCATCAGTAGAACTTCTGCGGTCTCCAGAATCCATCAAACCCCCGCCGCGATGGCACAGGGTCTTCTGGAATCGATTCCACTTCTTCATCTTCAAGTCCATCCTTCAACTCGAACAGGGGTTTTTGCATCTGGCCGGTGGACTGTTGTGTTATAGGATTGAGACCGTTCTCCCGGGACACTTCTTTCTCGTGAAGATTCGCTGTGTCAGTGCTCTGGGCCAGGTCCCATGACAACAGAGCGGCGGGGGTGTCCTCTTCTATGGCATCATTGTACATCTCGACGGGACCATTGTAAGCGGCCTGGGATGGGCTCAACAGGGCCAGATCGACCTTGTCAGCTTGACGTGTCCGACAATCTTCATCTCTCAAGTAAAAGTATGGAGTTGGGAGATGTTTATTGGTGTTTGTTGGTGACCTCGATGTGCAGAGGAACGGCGGATCCTGTACATCTGCACTGTGTGTTGACATAGTAAGCCGTTGCCCATCAACATCCCGGCGGCAAATTGCAGCTCGGAGGGGGGAACGTCTTTCCAGGAATTGAACTCTTGGCCTTGGCTCGAATAATTCCATGGGGTGTAGTATGCGGAAAATACTTGTGGCCGACGAGTCCGCGGATCGTTGAACGCCCCGATGAGGTATCGTTCGCATAACGACATTTGTACCGCCACGCGGCGGCCTCTCGAATTTTGAGGTTTCAAACGGCATTCCAGGGGGAATCCGGCTTGCGGCGCCGGTGATTCCGGCTATTTGCTTCTCCTGGGCGTGTAGGATACGCCTCGAGGTTTCGCTCGCTCCATTTGTGATTGGTGTTGTATGCTTAATCTTGTCAAACGCCCTCCGAAGCGAACTACTCGTCGGTGTTTCGCGAACAGGTTCAATATTCTCTTTGTTTACCGTCTGCTCGAGTGCCAACCCAAATGGCAACTTCTTCATCGCTTCCGACGCTAGGACGTTGGTGTCAATCTGTAGTATGTCCGACATATAATGTGCTGGAGTCACTCTTGTCGTCCAAGTAGTAGCATGTGAACGCCGATCATGTTGCTCTCGGGCGACCGGCAATGGCACTTTGTTAAAGGGCATCGGAACACTCGATGACGCCTTTTGCGAATGTGGTGCGATGTAGTTGTCTTCACCATCTTGTCTGCTATCCAGACTGTTGTTTTTCAAGACGTGATGGACTTGAGAAAATTCCGGCTTTCTTGTCTCACGATTATTGGCATGATCGACCCGCATCGTGTGCGATGGGCGTGAGGGCAACGAAGGCAGCTCATTTCCACCTGCGGATGTGGACCATGTGAAGCAACGTCCAGATTTAACACTTCGGTCTCTGTCTCCATCGTTGACAAGTCCTTGGCTAGACTCATGAGTAGCTTGTGGTGAATTCACATTCGCATTCACGATATTGGTGGGGGTTACCCCGTGCTGCCTGCGCAGGTCTTTGGTGGAAGTGGACTCAGAATGCGGTGGATTCTCTTGTCGTTGCCGTTCTGGAGATTGGGGCATGGTCTGGAAATATGCTGAAACTTGTTTTCTCTCATCTCTTCTCTTTCGAGCTGGCTGCGTTCTTCGAGACGGATCATGTGATACTTGATCGTCGCCCTGAGTATCCATCTTTTGTAAGAACTTCATCTCATTGAATGCAAGATCTGGTACTGTGTACAGGTCAGTGAATAGTGATAGCAAAATATGGACCTGACCCACAGCCTGCTCGCCCGCCAGAAGTCTGATGTGAAGCCCGTCCGTGTCTGAAAATTCCGAGATTATCGCTCGTTCGTAGCTTTCAGGAGGTCAGTGTGAAGTTCGGGTCCAGGACAGATTGATGAATGCGTACCGTCAGGCGCTTCTTCTTTGGGCCATTCCTCATCTCAAAGCTCTGGACAAGGGCTCGTGTTCGCGCGCCATCCTTGGCACGTCTCTTCTTCTGCCCTGTCCTCTTCGACCTTCTCTCCGTCTTCTTGACTGCAGCTTTTGGTGCCTGTTTCGGTACTGGCTCATACCGATCCGGTCGAGTCTTCCGACGAGCTCGTCTATCATATGGTCCTCGAAGACTGATCGCCCCTATCGCACTATCTGATGCATGCTCGCTGTTTCGATTGTCGGCCGAAGGGGATCTGGTGATGCTTCTTTCCTCCACGGCACTGGTATTGTTGTCAGACGACTCTTGAAATTCGTGTGTATGACTTTGGACTCGAGAGCTCCTGAGTGGCCGATGCTCGCGTTTGCGCTTGCTACAGTACTTCTGCCGGTGCCTCACATCCCGATCAGGTGATGTATGTGGGCTTTTGACGGTGTCGGGACGCTCCAGCTCTGGAGCATTTGGTGAAGCACGATCGACTGTGTGTTGTAGCCAGCTGCGAACGTCCATGACATATTTGTTCTTTGGCGAAGTTTATTCTTTCCTGTAGAGTCAATTTTGCTACCAGCATGAAGCTTCCCTAGGTAGTCTGTGATATTGCGAAGAGTGACGCTCCTTACAGAAGGTCACATGTCTGACCACAACTAGATTTTCTACGCGAGCAACTAGAAACTTGAGATTCCTCACGCCATTCTGTGCGCAATATTTACCTGAGCAGTTTTCGAAATACCTTTGCACAATCGACAAAGTACGATAAATGAGGACGCAATTCCACCATGTCTTGCTCGTATCTGTGGCATGTATGTAGCTCCGGCCTGCTTCCGATTCGGCCAAAGCAATGCTGAGTTCTGATGGTCGGCGCAGTCATCAGGGATATCAAGCAACAACTTACCTACCTTTCTCTTCACTAGACCACCCGGCATGTCGATAAATTGAAACGCCAGCGTCCTGTTTACACGCGACAATGCGTTTGCATATCGGATATACAGTCCCGCCCGGCATTGGCAACAGGAATACCATCAATTCATACTCGCCCCGTTCAGTATCTTGGTCACACCATTATTTCCCATCAGATCGTGCATTCGGGGCCTGTGTGTCAGAGCATGTAGAAAGACAGCTCCATATCACCCGACTTGTACAGAACGCAGGCAAGACCATATACCGCCTGCTAGCAATAAGAACGACCTCGCTGTCATTGCCACCCTCGATGATGAGCAGATATCCCAGAGTGAAAGTTTGATATCCTCTGATGGCAATACTTCAACAGAAGGGTTCGGGTCGTTTGCCAATGCCGACACCCAATCACGTCGTGCGTGTGCAGCCGTCGACAAAGAATTGAAAACGCCCTGGTCGGCATCAGATCAAGGCGAGACATCGATCACGAAAATTCTTGGACGAAAAGTGGTCATCGGAAAGATGGCGTGCTTTCGATACGAACATTGTAGAGTGAGAGATCCACAATGCCACCGTACGAGAATCATATGCCCTGGACGAGAGGATACAGTACCGTACCCTGGACGATTCGCCCAACATGCTGGAAACATCACCGCCGAACTTTTGATGGATGCCTGCCCCGCTATAGCGTTAAAATAGGGTGGCCGCGGACGTGGTAGACGGGAGCTTGAGGGCGCACGAGAAAAAAAGTTCGCGCCAAGTTGGGGCCCAAGATTAAGTACTCATGACGGCAACACGTCTGTTCATCATTCCACATTCGTAACAAACCGACACCGCGTGGGACGATTTTGCTGAATTTCTCGCATCTGACTACGATTTCCGGTGAGGTAATTTCCAGCACGAGTCGTTGCATTTCACACATGCAGTAGGCGAGCAACGTGCACACCTTCTTCACGCCAATTGATCGCACAAGTAAACTCCGCACCTAGAACCATGCAGCTGAGCCACCCATATGCAGAAAACGCGCGTTGTACGTGCAAGGTCTCACGGCGACGCGACAAGTTTTTGGTCACATCTTGGAATGAGTGACCCGTGGATCGTGCAGCGTAACACTACTGCGGGCCTGCATGTTAGGTGGCAGTGGACATCTCTGTCTGACGATCCGATTCGCTTGTCACTAGCACTTTATGCCCGCCGCTGGGTCCCATCACTGCGGAGATCATACACGCAGCGAGTAGTTGCCGATGCAGTTCACTCCTCCTGGCATCTCGGCGACAGCATAGTACACCGCGTATTGTAAGCCTCCAATAACAGTCCAGCTGACCGAGCGAAAAAGACGTCTCACACAAGAGAAGCCCCTAGGTAGCCTATCTGCACTCACAATCGCTTATGCGTCGGGACTGGTTTCGAAATAACAATCAGACGAAGTCGTGATTGCATCTGGCTCAAAGATGGCATGTCTGCCAAAGATCTGCGCTATCAGAAGCCATGAACCCTTGCATCGAGGTCGTTCTCCGTCGTTTTGGCGGATCTCTTGCCTTGTCATGTGCTTCGGCTTGTACTTAGAGCAACTCAGCGTCCCTGAGCTCACCTGCGGTGAGTGGCCCTTGACATTCCGATACCTTCACATGCCGTCCACGAAATGGACGGCACATCCACCTCTTAGGAACATTCCACCTCCCTCGCTAGGGAGATGACTCGAGATAGCTTTTGTTGGTTTGGGTCGAACACGTCTCCGGCGCCTGAATCAAGACAACACATATTGGCAGTCGTACCGGTGAAGTGGGCTGATGGCGACTGGGATTCGAAATAATCGTACATGCAGTGCGAGCTTCCAAGGCTGTGACGGTCGAACAAACGCGGCACATATGCACACTTAATTATTACCCACATGCACTACGGCGCGCACTACCGCTACATGTGCAACGCCGGCATGCATCTTGCGTCCAGTCACGCACCGAACCGGGCGCATTCAGTATTGTTCTGTGAAACGTGGGTGGGTAAGAAAGCACAGAAGCGGACAGGCGGGCGCAGAAAGCGGGCACAAGGCGGGGTGAATTGGATAGCTCCTCCATCACATGGGACTCTCGTCTATGGCCAATTCTCCACAATAAAACTATTGGGTTCGACGTGCCCCCACCGTTCCTGTTCTTCTCTCTTGCTCTCTTTTCAGTGCTTCTCTCTCAGTTCGTTCGTGTGTTTGAAGATTCTGTACGTTGTGCGGCTCTTCATTCTTCGGTGAGTCCCCTTTTGCGCAAATCAGCATCACCAGTCATTACCACTCGTACATCAATTCAACATCTGCCGGCACATACTATCCTCATGTCACGCTTGATTCTCCGAGAATTGCACACTGGCAGTGACTTGAGGTGTCGCTGGAAGCATGTGACTTGAGTTGCTACAACACTTTTCCCCCATTTGATGTCTCTTGACTCCCCTTCACCTCAAAACACCTTCAATCACTACCAACTCAAACCTCCTTCGACTGCATCTGGTTGACAGCAGGTATCGTCAACTAATACTCCAGCTCTCTCAGCTACTCTAAAATCTTGACAAAAGACCCATCGATTCTGTCCTTACGGAAGTAACGAGACAATATGGCCAAGCTATTCATTGGGTTCGTAATCATCCACCGGGCGCACACCATTGGACACCATACACCGTGAACGCATACTGACCTCATGTACCAGTGGCCTTGCCTGGCACACCGACGACAATGCTCTTCGCACCAAGTTCGAGGAGTTCGGACCGGTCGACGAGGCTGTACGAAATGCAATACACCCAAAGAAGTCCATGAGCAAAGAGCTGATTCGATTCTCAGATCGTGGTCAAGGACCGTGATACCGGCCGTAGCCGTGGTTTCGGATTCGTTCGCTTCGGTGACGAGTCACACGCCGATGCTGCCATTGAGGCCCTGAACAACCAAGAGTGAGTACAAGGTGGTGGTAAAATACGACGGGAACAAATTGCTGATCGTTGTCGCTTCTAGGTTCGATGGTCGCACCATCCGTGTCGACAAGGCCTCCGAGCGTGGCAGCGGTGGCGGCGGTGGCGGTGGCTACAGCGGTGGTGGCCGTGGTACGTTGCAACTTCCGAACAATGCTACACGATATTCTCGAAATCTAACTTCACAACAGGCGGTTACGGCGGCGGTGGCGGTGGTTACAGCGGTGGTGGTCGCGGCGGCTACGGCGGCGGTGGCTACGGCGGCGGCCAAGGTGGCGGCCAAGGTGGCGGTTACGGTGGTGGTCAGGGTGGTAGTGAGTCGAACCCCACCCAAGTCATATCATGGGACTTTGCTAATTCTTATCGAAGGCTACAACTCCGGTGGTGGCGGCAACTGGCGCTCCGGCGGTGGTGGCGGCGGCTACGGTGGTCAACAGCAGGGGGGATACCAGGGCGGCCAGGGTCAGTCTTTCGACAAGGCATACCCTCTACAGATCATATCACTGACATGCTCTCAGGCGGCTACGATCAGCAGCAGTCCAACGGCGGTGGTTACCAACAAGGTGGCCAGGGTGGTTACTAGACGCTCCTCCATACCGACATGGTCTCACGACCTACAGTTCAAGTCAATCTTGACTGTCCCGACACTCTTTCGCTGATGCGGAAGAGCCCAAACCAACCTCAACACAGATTGCGATACGACGACACATGAAAGCATGGTTTCATGGAATTTGGCACACGGTCATGCGTGCGTGAGGGCTTTCCTAGCTCTTTCATTCTCCCAGAACTTTGCTGTTGTGTTGACTGGGACCACGGCTTTTATTTTACGACGGCTCCCTCATGAACGAAAGGTTTCGAAGTAGTGATGATACCCCCAGCCATGCAGCAGCTACATTGGCAAGCATGACAGAAAAGAATTGAATTGTGTATTTGTGCAACTCTATCCCGTGACAGCTCCCTCGTTTACGTGTAATTGGCCTCGTCATCGGCATCGCCGCATCCCAACCATGACAGAGGTGAGGCCAATCTTCTTTTGTTCGTCTATCTGGACGAGACTAAAGACGAGTCCAGCGAGGTGTCCGCAGTCTCACATCGTTGAGTGTAGTCTTTCTCCGGCGAGTAATGGTCGTGGACCCCTCCCGCGAATCTCGGACTGACGAGCTAATCGCGACCTGCTCACGCCTCGAGTACCCTGCTTCGTTCCTGCATTAAGTTGAGTAGCGTGGCGTCGCCACCATACCGCGGCGACCAGGCAGCGGAGAATTTTGGGAACCGCCAGATCGCCCGCCTGCATCTAGCATCAACGTCGTCAGTTTTTAGAAGCGATAAATCATTAGCATCACGATACTGGTAAACATAGTTGTGTTGTCCACCAAATCCCCTGCCCCGCGGTACATGCCCCGCGTCGCGGACGCAGTCGTGTTAGGGTCGACTTTTATGATGTCAAGCTGAGGCACTACGCCTAAAGCGGACGGACAGGGCCAAAGGCCGAAAAGTCTTCTGGATTTTCTTTGGCGCGAAAGCCGCAAGTGTTAGTTGACGGCGATGGTCAACTTCAGCGCGTGAGATTATCACCAACATCGTGCTTGTTCAAAATTCTCGACAGCGGTCACTCGCATTCAGCTGCCATAACTTTCTATCTGCTAATGGAGTGAAATCCCCAAATTTCTGACAAGTCCTGAATGTGGGATTGTGAACATGACGACCTCCTCCGCCGCTGCTGGGCCGCCGTTGCTCAAATTCACGGGCTCCAAATTCCTTGTACAGCGCCTCGTGCTCGCGACTCTGACTGGCCGAGCGATTCGTATCTCTCAAATTCGATCCTCCTCCCTTTCGGCGCCGGGTCTTGCACCTCACGAGGTCTCGTTCCTTCGCCTGCTTGATGCCATCACCAATGGTTCTGCCATTGAGTTCTCCTACACTGGTACTACCGTCCTATATCGCCCAGGCCTGATCACTGGTAGCGCTCCAGGTCACGGTGCTTCGGGCGGTGTCATTCGACATGAACTTCCAGCAGATTGTACGCGAGGTGCCAGCTTCTTCCTGCTTCCACTCTGTCTTCTCGCGCCGTTCTCCAAAGCGCCGATCAACGTCCTCCTGACCGGCTCCGGTGTCATCACCGCTGCCACGCCTACCGGAGATATCTCTGTTGATACTATTCGCACGGCGATTCTGCCTTTGTTCAAGAGCTTCGGCATCGAGCGCAATCTCGAGCTTCGGGTCCTGCGCCGCTCAAATGCCGGTCCGAATGGTGTGGGTGGTGGCGGTGAAGTTCAGCTAGTCTTTGGTCACCAGGTCCGCTTACCAACGACAATCCACCTACTCGATGCGGGCAGGATAAAGCGCATTCGCGGTGTAGCATATTCCACAGGTGTCGCCGGAGCCAACAATGCTCGCCTGATCGAGGCAGCGAGAGGAGTGCTGAACGAGTTTTGCCCTGACACATACATCTACTCCGACGTAAGCTCAGCGCCATTGATCCCGGATTTGAGCAAGAGTCACAGTGGTGCGAAGAAAAAGATTGGCTTGGGCTTCGGGCTCAGTCTTGTAGCGGAGTCAAATACCGGCGCGTTATATTCGGCTGATCTGGCGAGTCCGCCATCAGGAGGCATCATCCCTGAAGACATCGGCAAGAACTGCGCTTATCAGTTGCTCGAAAGTCTTGCCCAAGGTGGTTTCGTGTCGGGAGTGGCAGCACCCACAGTGCTAAGCCTCATGGCGATGGGCAGTGAGGATGTCGGTCGCCTGTGTCTTGGCAAGGATGTTTTGGGCAAGGAAGAGGTGATACAGCTGGCTCGTGATTTACATGAGTTTGGGATGAGCGGTTGGGGCCTCAAAGAAGACGGCGAGGAAGGAGGGAATGAGGTAGTTGTTAGCATTGTCGGTCGTGGTGTTGGTAATGTTGGAAGGAAGATTGCTTGAATGCCATCTTGCTTCACGATCGGTGGACATGGTTGACCACATTGACGATCTACCAATTCGCAAGGTTACGTCCATGCCGAATGACTCTGTCGCATTGACATCAACCATACGACAACGCCTCTGACACGAGCTACCACAAGCGTGTGCACCTACACCTCGTTGAAGGAGTCGACAACGCTTGGCAATGCCATCTTGCATGTGAAGGAACGATCACAAGGTCATCAATTCTCACAAAATGGTCGTTCGTACCTGCCATCGGCAATACCGAGAATATTTCACGGCGACGCCTAGAATGTTTACCCACAAGTTGTCTGGTGCACAAACTTGGCATCCACCACCAATCCACATACAAAACTCCCACAGCAGCAGACTCGAGGCGCTTGCTGCCCGTTCGCAGCGCGACTCAAGTCGTCTACAAACAACAATCTTCCTTTCCCACGTAGGATCTGTCTTTCACGACTCAAGCATCGGCGGCGGGATCTGGCGATGCTTCCTCGCCCTGAATGATTTCGAAATTTCGGGCACTCGATATCAACTCTTGAGTTGTCACCCTTTAGCATCATGGCTGATGTAAATCAAGGCACACATGCAGTGGACGATCATCTACCAAATCAAGGAACTTTCACATTACGTGTTCGTGATGATCGCATTCAGTGCACATGCCTTCCTGGCAGCTCTCGAGTCGCGAAAGATATGATATTGTGCGTTATCGACACAAATCAGCTTGTCTGGTCACACCAGCCTTGTCAAGTCGAAGAGCTCAATTACCGTCCCAGGAATGTGTGGCCGGGATTGAGCGATATATGGCTTGCATCAAGAGCCGTCTTGTCGAAGGACACTGGCCAGATTAAACCACCGCATATGATCGACAATGAGAACTCTACCCTTTCAAGGACTCGTGGGGACAAGGGAAAACCACATGAACAGAGCGAGAGACATCGTCTGTTCAAGCACGTAACCACCACGTTCCGTTGTGACGCTTCCTGCACCGGCTCCAACAGGCTATGTGATTATTTCTGGTGCAAGAAGTGCTGTGGTTGGCAACATCGCGCTTGCATGCGCTACGGCGAGCCTGGTGATCGAGGCGGACCCGTCTGCAATGTCTGCTATAAGCATTTCTTCGATCATATTCACGAATATCGAGCCTGGCAGAAGCAACGGCAACTAGAGGTTGTTCGCCATGCTTGGGCATTCATAGTCGCACCGGAAAACCAGTGTCAGACTTGGAGGCTGAATCTCGTCAAAGGCTTTCTCTGGGGTTTCTTTGTTGAGGTATGCCCATTTTGTCAAGTCGGCGGATGTCATGACACTGCTTGACGATGGACTGGCGGTTGTCGTTAATGATTCCCAGCTAACTGATTTCGAGTAGCATCGCCGTCAGTTCTTGCTGGAACAGAAACGCAATGCCGATGCTCTTGAGCAACGATCAAATCGGCCGAATGTTTCAGACTCAGTACCCACTCGATGGAGCTCGCGGGAACACAGCTTTATCGGCAGAAATTATTACGAAGAGAGTGAACGGGATAGAAATGATATCGCACCATCCGAGACAGAAAGCGAGGTGTTTGAACCACAGCAGTCGGGAACTGACAATGAGCTCTTCCATCACGGTCAACAGATCAGAGACAGGACAACCATACCACCTCCAAAACTACACAAGACGTCTCGTCCGCCGGGCATGACCTGGTTTACTCCTCATACAGCAGCTTCGACAACGCCAGAAACTTCCACTTGTCATCCCCCGAAACGTCCCGCGTCAGCCTTTCAGTTAAAAACACCATCTCGAACTCCTGTACCCTCACGTCCGATCAAAAGACCCAAGGCAAGACAACCCAGTCCAGATTCGGATACAGTATTGTTGTGCTCCTGCAATCCGCAACCGGATATGACGAACCGCTTAAGCTTCACATGCAGACGATGCAGCCGCGACCAACACGCCACATGTGCTATTGCAATAAATCAAGATGTTCCTTCTCACAGCCAGGCTCTGTTCTGTAACGACTGCCAACCAACAACCCGGATCACGACTCCCGGCAGCTTAGGGTCCCTGGGCGCTTCGAATCCCACCGACACCGAGTATTTACAGTCGATGAATGCCGAAATGGAGTTGCTGAGTTCCACTCTCCTCTGGAAAACCTGGTGGGAGCTTCCATCATCCTCGTCGGTGTTAAGATCTCCTGCACCGGTCTCTCACAATGCTCCCCCACCTGCTTCTCACGCCTTCCTCCTTGAGGCCACAACGCGTGTCAACGCTTTATTGACCGCAGCCGGTCGCGACATCTCGACCCAAATCCTCTCTCCTGCCCTCGCCGCCTTTCCTCGCCGTCCAGAGATCATCCTCAACGCCCTCCGTGCGCTCATGGAGATTGTTCTCCCGACTCCAGCACCGCCTGCAAATTGGAACTTTCGGACAGATAATCATGGCAGGGTCTTGAGCGAGAGTGATAAAGCGAAGTTCGGCGTGCTTTTGGAGATCGTTCGGTTTGCAGGCAAGGGCGAGATCTGGACTTATGGGAGGGGAGTTGGCTGGAGGTGAGGATCTTGAGCTTATTGTGATTTTTCTCTTTGGCTGAGCTTTTGTTTGATTTTCTGGGATTTGGACATTGGTCTTTAGCATGCATCTCTACCGGTAAATTTCAAGGTCTTGCTTGATTGACGATATTCTGCAGTTCAATAAATGTCAATATCCTTGCGGTAGGGTAATACGGTACGTGTTCACAGTCTTTCAAGCATGCATCGAGTCTGAACAATTTCTGTATCAAGTCCCATGACTCCCGTGTAGCTAAATATTCCTTGATATGCCGAATCGCGACTGCGACACGAGTGCAGATCGCAACTTGTCCCAGCTTTCATCCTTCGAGGTGGAACTAATAAATTACACTGCCATGCGGACTCGTCTCACCCATCACTTTCCCTTCGTATCCTAATTCAAACGTACAGCATTCCGATACGCCGAACGCCACGCCAAAATACAGCAAGTCCTTTCCACCTTAATCAAAAAAATGACCACTCAGAATCAGAATCTCCTCCCCCGGTATCCTGCCCGTCCACCACCGCCACCGCCACGCCCTCCCCTCTTGCCCGCCCAGCGCCCTGGCCCAACATCGCCTCTTTCAAATCTCTCTCTGCGCCTCTCTTCTTCCGCATAGAACTCATCTTCACGTTCCTCCTGCTCCTTCTTCTCCCGCTCCACATCCTGTTCAGTGCGCACCTCCGGCTTCCTCGGGAAGATCTCCTCATCCCGCGTCCACTTCGCATGCGCGCCGAACTCGCAGTTCACCACGCGGTCCACATCCGGTGGATGTGCTCTTCCATTCGGGCAAAATCCCGCGAGATAGAACGGACACATCGCCTTGTGCTTGATGTGCCGCTGAGCGCAGTACTTTCCTAACGGACAGAATCCCCGCGCATAATGCGGACACGCCGGACGCCGTAGCGGAGAGTTTGGCGGTATGTGAAGGTATGTACAGTCATCGCCCTGCGGACAGATCCCATATCTTGAAAATTCCTTGCATTCTCGCTCGTCGCGGAGATTGAAGGTATGGGCAAATTCGCAGGCTTCGCCTTTCTTGCAAAGTCCTCGTTGGTAGTGTTTACAAATTAGATGCCCGATTCCGGATCGTTCTCCAGGAGGCACATAGTGGCGATCCGGGCAAAAGGCACCACGGGGGCAGGACTGGCCATTGCTGGATTTGTAATCTGCGCAGAGTGGGCGGGCGACTTTGGAGGGCGCGCCAAGTGTAGGAAGGACTGACCGGAGGTAGTTGTCGAATGTGAATGTTAGAGGTGTTGAGGTGAGGGGATCGAGGATATTCTCAGATATGCGCGCGGTCGCAGCCATTGGGATAATTCAGTTGGTATTCAAGGTCGATGCCAGCTCTCGTTTTGTGTGATCTTCCCAGTTGCCTCTTCGACTTGGGAGCCTATATTGGTCTGTCTCTGCTGATAATTTGTATTGTTGATGTGTTTCGATTATGCGCTCTGATAGGCTTTGCAACTCAAACGACGAGTACTTCTAACAATTCATCAATCACGAAATGTGAGCGCGATATCACGTGTCGATATGCGGCTTCACAAGCGTGCCACATGGTCGAAGCCATGGCTGACGAGGTCTCAGCGCGGAATTCAACCCTAAACCGAAACGGAGCAGCTCTCCACATAAATGCCTGGTTTGGAGGATGCCATGGTCAATAAATCCATCAGCATCGTGCACCACATCCCATCTGTTCCGCGCCAGGCGATTACTTGTACATCGATCCGATACAGCCGCCTTGAGCAATATCTCCAGCTCGCAACGTCTCCCCGTTTCGATTCCCGTGTCAAGAGATCTCCAACGCTCAACGGTTCCATCGTTCGTTCAAGATCTGACGTCGACTTTCAGCAAGATCTTGGCCCGCGTCACTCGCTTGTTGCCATACTCGAGTGGCAGCTTGTCTCCTGGGCCAGTCTCATCCATGCCTGACGACTTGCCCTCGATACGAAGATACATTCAACCTATAGAACCCGCTTGACAATCATAATCATCCGCCCTGACACATATTCACCCGCATGCGCTGACGACGACGCCTGTCGTTTGCTTTTTTCAACATGGTGTCGGAAAAGATCTACGAGTTATGCCGCCCAGTTTTGGAGAACGAGGATATTGCAGAGGAGGAAAAGACGGATCGCTTGGAAGAGCTTTTGAGTGCAGAGCCTGTATCTCTATCCGGCAAGGCTCTTGAGGATGCAGTGCTTGGAGTGTTGTGGCAATGGAAGAGTGCAAGTGAGAGCGAGATCAAGGCCGCATCTCCACCTATGATCAGGACAGCAAGTTATATTCGATCGAGGTCGCCCGCGCCTTGGATACAAAGAGCAGCCACCCCCACTTCAGCAAATTCATCACCGCGCCCGTCGACTGCGACGCCATCCATCCCACCAGGATTTGGACCACATCCTCCAGCATTTGCGCGGACAAAATCATCTACCGCTGGATCCCCTTTTGGCTCCCCAAAGCCCTCTCCGCGGCTGCCATACGCGAGTCCCTTTATTCCACACAGTCCCAGGTTGAGCGCCTATCTGCCCAGTGACTCTTCACCAACGACCGAGAACTATGGTGATTACGGCAGCGATACCGTGGACTGGCTCGTCAACGATGAGACTAGCAGCAATACCAGCTTTGGTGATGCTGGATTCACTAGTGGCTCCGAGTTTGTGCCATCCTACACAACGGAGATGAGCCCATACGATATGCTGCGTTCAATTCTTGGAGATGACCGGAGCGATGACGACCTCAAACAGGTATTGGAAGCCAACGAATATGATCTCAGTCAAGCGATCAATTCGCTCATGGAGGCCAAAGGAATGGGCGCAAATACTCTGGCAGCTGCTTTGCAAAAGCAGCAACAGGACCAGCAGAGTCGAACATTCGTTGTCGGCAAGAACATGTCGCCGGGCTCACGTCCCATAACACCTGCAGGGCAGCAAAAGTCTTCAATTCCCTGTCGCTATTGGCTCAATCAAGGGTATTGCGCACGAGCGGATTGTCGCTTTGCACATGATATGCAGAACCATCTCTGCAAGTATTGGATGGCAGGCAATTGCATTGCGGGCGATAATTGCATCTTCTCTCACGATCTGTCCTTATTGGCGCAGCAGATGAGTCTCGCAGGCGATGGAGCAAGTACTAGCCAATCATTCACTCCAAACTTTCAGCTTCAGGACTACGACAGCTTCCCTGCACTGCAACCAACGACAAGCAATCCGTATGAAGATGCCGATGCGGATACTACTGCGGTGACCGCAATGATACAGCAGCAACAGCAACAAGCTTTTGCGCAAGCAGCACCTGGTCTCTTTCCTACATTCGTGCCGACCGGTCCACGCTACAGTAACAGTAGGCCGAACTCTCGGCCAGGAAGTCGACACACTTCCCGTGCGCCAACGCCAGGCCAACCGAACTTTCAAGACGACGAGGCTTTCCCTAGTCTTGGCTCTGCAGCTTCAAAGCCTCTCGGCAAACGGCATCATGGGAAACGTGGTGGACATGGTCATCACGCTCATATCGCGCCAGTACAACAACCCAGCAGCCTCGCTGATGTGGTTCGCATGTCTCCTTCACCGATGTCCTCTACAAACAGTCGCGATGCTATGCGCCGCGGCTTGAAAAACAACAGAAGCTTTACTTCTGCTACCGCATCTACACGGGAGAACTCCTCCACAGCCATGGCGATACCGGAGCCGCAGCAGATCCCCTGGCTTGAGACTGGCGACAAGGTGAACAGTGCATACATGAAAGCCCGCCAGGAGGCTTTCAAGCACGGAGGACTGCGCAACAAGTTTCTGCAATCTGCCGCCCAGGCATGGAACCGCAATGACGCACGGGGAGCGAAAGCATTGAGTTTGCGAGGTCAAAATGAAAATGCTTTGATGAGGGAGAAGCATCGCGAAGCCGCTCGCGCGCTTTACGAGGAACGAAACAAATCATTGAAGGCTAATAAGAACAATAGCAGCGACGAGCTTTATGTGGATCTTCACGGTCTTCATCCCGAGGAGGCTGTCCAGTACCTGGCGGATTGCCTGAAGGAGCAAAAAATGTCAACCCGGCCAGTCTACGCAATTTGCGGCACAGGCCACCATAGCAAAAATGGCAAGGACAAGGTTGGCAAAGCTGTCCGGCTTTACCTGAACGAGTGGCGATATGCATTCCGCGAGTTTTCAGTTCCTGGTGATCGAAACAATGTTGGTGGCATTTTGGGTATCGACCCGACGAGCTTCGAGCGAGACGGCACAAAGAGAGGCCTCTCATCGCTGCTAGCTGCGAGCGATGGTGATAGCGGAGTCGGGCTTGACGATGCCGCAGGTCGGAGGGAAGATACAAAAGTTTTGTTGGTGAGAGAAGATCCGAGGAAAATCTCGGCTACGGAAACCAAGGAAGAAGATGAAGACGAGGATTGAGTCGGATTGATACCCCGTGTGACACAGAAAGGCCAGGATTTGGTGCAATAAGCTTATTGTACTGACTCGCGCCCTTTGCTCCACTGCGCCTCTGGTGAGCCACGATGAACCACGACGATGACGATCATGAAGAGGGTCTTGCGTGGGTTTGTATCTCAACAGTTGTGCAGACCAGGAAGGACAGTCAGGTAATTCGTAGTTCTACAAATGAGATAGGAAGCTTTTGGCGAACGGAACGATACCAGTAAGATATCATTATTAAATGCAGAGGTCTCTGCTTATCGCTCATGCTGCTTATGTGCTCCAGAGATGTGGTAATAACAGCCCTGGAATAAAAGGTCCCTGCCCAGGTGATTTGTAGAATATATTCATGCACGGCGGCCCGCGGCACGTCTGTTTGCGTTGACGCGCGACTCGCCCAATTAGGTAATTAGATTGAATGTCCATGAAGCATTCTAAAACTGCGATGAAATGAATGAGACCACGTATGACAATTATTACAACTTACAGGAGGCGCACCGATGCCAACAAGCCCAAAACTAGAGACGTCCACAAACAACATCGTGCGAAAGGAGTCTTCGACCGCGTGCCTGGGCAGCTCACCAAATTCGCGATTACGCAGTTCAAATGTCCGCCGCCAATGGCACTTCCGCAATCGACGCACTGGATGCTGGTGAGGATTGAGTGTCCCAAGTAATGCCATGCTACAGTACTGATCCGCACCGTTTAGTCGACTACGATCCCATTGATCACCTCAACGCCTTGTTCTCGCACCCCTCATCGCTCTCTACAGTCTCGGTCGTAAGCACTTCCCTACAGCGCTATCAGGATGAACTCGACTCGGACATCGCGTCCCTCGTGGAGGCGCAGACGGCTTCCAACTCTGGTAGTGTACGGCGAATGCAAGAGGCGAAGGAAGAATTAGGAGAGCTTTTCGCAAAGATCGAGAATGTGCAAAGACGAGCACTGGAGACGGAGCGCACAATCACGGAGATGACGGCAGATATCAAGAAGCTGGATAGCACGAAGCGGAACCTCACGCTGTCAATGACCGCATTGAAGCGGCTGCAAATGTTGACAGCGGCGTATGAACAACTACGGGGATTGAGTCAAAGTCGACAGTACAGAGAATGCGCCCACCTCTTACAGGCAGTCATTCAACTTATGGCACATTTCAAAAGCTATCGAAGCATCGATCAGATTGCGGCCTTGAGCAAAAGTGTCGCTGAGCTGCAGAGGGAGCTGTTGGAGCAAATTTGTGAGGATTTCGAGGTGACTTTTGCCAAAAGTGAGATTCCACAGAAGCGCGTGATGCTCGGCGAGGCGTGTCAAGTCCTGGATTCACTCGGAGACCATGCTCGTGCGCGGCTCATCACTTGGTATTGCAATACTCAACTCCGAGAGTATCGGCAGGTCTTTCGTGGCAATGATGAAGCAGGATCATTGGACAATATCGGCCGTCGTTATTCCTGGTTTAACAGGATGCTAAAGACCTATGATGCTGAGCATGCCGTCCTGTTTCCTGCAAGTTGGAAAGTCAATGAGATGCTGGCCAACGCATTTTGTGAAGGCACACGTGAAGATTACAAGGGCATTCTACAGAAGTCTATGCGCAGGACTGACGGTCAACCTCCTGACGTCAATCTTCTTCTCTCATGCCTGCAGGAAACACTGGATTTTGAGCAGAGCTTGGAGCACCGATTTGCAGTTGCGAATTCACGTTCATCTATCGACAGTGTCGCCTCGACAGCAGATGAGAAGCGCACAGGATTCAGTCAAGCTATATCCGAAGCTTTCGAGCCATATCTCAGCATCTGGGTGGAGTCACAGGACCGACAACTGGCTCTGACGATCCCCAAATATCGCTCACAGCCGCTGCGTAACCCAGAGGAGGAATTCCATCCCCAAATGGTAATTCCCTCATCGACGGAGCTTTTTCACAGCTACCGAGTCACGCTCGCTCAATGTGCCAAACTATCAACGGGCGCACGACTTCTGGATCTGTCCAAAACGTTTGCTAAGTATCTCGATGCGTACGCTCAGCAAGTCCTGGCGTCCTCTCTTAGTGCGAGATCACTGGGAGGCGTCAATATCGAGAATTCCATCATCATCCTCAACACAGCGGATTACTGCTATCAGACCTCCTTGCAGTTGGAGGAGAAGATCAAGTCGCGCATCGACACCGACTTGCGGGCGCAGGTCGACCTGCAGTCTCCTGCGGATTCTTTCCTAGCCGTGGCCTCGTCTGCCATCCGCACTCTCGTTCATCGCACCGAGGTCGACTGCGAGCCCGCCTGGAGGGAAATGCGATCGATATCATGGGGCAAGCTCGATAGCGTTGGCGACCAGAGCCCTTTTGTAGCCATCCTGCTATCTCGAGTCAAGGATAAGGCTAGTGAGACATTGAGGTATCTGCAGAAGCCGCAGTACGCCCGGGCGTATTGTGACAATCTAGTCGACGCGTTGATCACGACATTCGTACTCAACATTGTTGCTTGCCGCCCCGTTTCCGAATCGGGTGCGGAGCAGATGCTCCTCGATTCCTATGTGTTGAAGCAAGGTCTCGCAAGTCTGCCGAGCTTGAACGCCGATTCTACAACCGAAGATCATAAGACCGGTGGTGCTTCGCAGGCACAAGTGCCTTCTGCAGCGACTACCGCCTTCGTCAAACGTATTCACCTCACCACAACGAAGAAACTTGACCCACTGCTCAAGACGCTTCAAGTCCGTGCTTCGCCCCCTGAGGGCCTAGTCCAGGCATATCTAATCCATATCCGCGACCGCGCCGAGCCCAACTTCCGCAAAGTTCTTGAGCTCAAGGGTATCGTACGAAAGCAGGACCAGGCGCACTTGGTCGAGCTTTTCAACGCGCACAAAGCCAGTCCTACCAACGAGGGGCTCCCTCCTAGCAACCCACTCATTGCCGGTTTACAACTGCTTCCCACGACGGCAGCTCAAGGCCAGACACCTCTTCTCGGCGGCTTGAAGGACGGCGTCATCGGTGGCACGAATCATGCCAGCGGCACCGGAACTGCCGGGCTCGCAGGCATCGGCATCTCCAGCATCAACTCCTCCACCCCTTCACTCCCCAACCGTTTCGACCCTTCGCACTTCGGCACGGCCATCATCAATGCTGCCCGCGACGCGGGCGACCGATTCACCGCCTCATCCGCATTATCTCCGCTGAGTGCCGGCGGCGGCGGCATCACCGCGGGAATCAACGGCCTCAGCATCGGCGACAGCAGCAGTGGCGCGGCCTCTATCAATCGTTCCGCTACACTTTCGCCTGCCCTCAGCGCTGGCGCTGGTGCCCATGACGGCGAGGGTCCCGCGGGATCGGGCGCGGCCACGCCGAGTCTGAATGAGAATCTGAGAAATCTGGGCAAATTTTTCCGGAGAGGGACGGAGGGGGCGGGTGTAGGAGGCGGTGGTGGTGTCGGTGGGGCTTTTGGTGGTTTGGGGAGGAAGGATTGACCGGTACGTAGCAACCTCCATATCGTTATTATTATTTCCATGATAGGAATATCCTGGACATGTTGCAATCGCGCATTTTTTACCTGCGACATTTCATGGTAAATTTTTGTATGTCCAGCAGTACAGACTCAACAACCACCTGTGTCTCGGGAGATTTACTATCCTTCGAAGTGCGGCAGGGGAATTTGTCTGTCAATATGTCCACCAGACACTATGTAATGCGTCGTGAACGGTGTGTCTCACGGAGGGACCTCCGAGACAAAAAATCTCCCGGCGCTGGAGGAATGTGGCCGGAGATGGACATCGTGAGATCTTGTCTTTCACGAATGCACATTTCTAATAATAGGTCTGATCGTGTGACGGATCTGGATACGCGATGGCAAGCAAGATTCGAACTCTCGTTCGTCGTGGCCGATCCGCTTCGCTCGGAGTAGGCTTTCTCCGTGCAGGTTCAAGTCTGTACTGACTCAACCATCTTCTGACCTTGTCCGCACTCATTGGTCGACGGAATTTATTCCCCCCCACCAAACGCGCTTCCGAAACATGAACACTGCGGAGTCTCGACCTATGGATGCGATCCTTCATGTGCCATACTGTGCGCCTTCGTTTCTGTATTATGGTTGTCATTACAATGAGAAGCATCGAGTTATGGATGGTAACCCTAATTGTGAAGTATTATCTAGTGCGTACGCAGGTGAAGAAAAAGAAGCAACGTTGTTTGCCCACCTGCGTGCGCCCATGTGCTGGCAAGTGAGAGTGGAAATGATCTTTTGTCATCATCCGCTGTGGACTGACCTTGCTTACCAGAACTGTACTTTTCGTTGATCCTTGTTGAATGCGACGACATGCCCAAAAGCCACCTCCGGGAGGCTGGAGATGCAGCCGTTGAGAACGGTGCTTGACCCCAGCCACACATTGGCTTTCACTCACATTCTTTGGCTTCACCGGCCTTTTACACGACCATCGAGGGGCGTGCACCGCGCTCTGGACGCGAGTCAAGCCGCATCTTCAAGTCGTGTGCTTTCTCGATCAGATGCAGTTTCACACACATCATGCCATCGCGATACGCCAGATTATCTGAATACACATTCGGGAGAAAAGCATTCCGAAACAATAAGTGGTTGAACGTCGCTCCCTTGCCCGTTTTTTTTTCACGTTGAACACGGGACCACCATGTGTGTATCGTGTGCGAGTCGTCATCACCTGAGACGTGACAGATGTCGTGCGCGGAAGCGACGGTGCGGCGGAGGTTTGTCTTCCATTTACGGCTTCAAAGTCGATCACCACCTTCGAAAGACTCGTGGCTCTACACACTGGCGCGAGAGAAAGGCTGCGTGGTCGCGGTACCTGCATAAGCCAAGCCTAAGCCAGAAGCCCGAAGTGGACGGATCTGCACTTCTGGCAATATTTATGTTGGGCTGCTGGGGATCACCATTGGTATTGAGATTGCTGACGACGACAGCGACGATGAATTGATCATCGCACAGTATACGCATGTGACAAATATCGGCGTTCTTGGGTCGCACGGGTAGGATCATGTCCGTCAGTCAGCATTGCTTGGTTGGCTGTGTTCCCAGGATCATCATCATCAGCAGCAGCAGCAGCAGCAGCACCGGCAAGACTGCTGCAGTGTCGTTGAGGAGGAACAGAATTGATGAATCCCTCTCCCCCACCCTCCTCCATTTCTACGTTCGGGGGGTCATGCACGAACAAAACGCCCGCCCAAATTTCCCCGCCAGCTTCTTTTTCGACCTCTCCACCGTCGCATTTCGCTCGCCCATGTTACAGTACAGTACTGTGCAGTGGAATTTGCGCATGCTGTGAAGTGTCATCGCCGTTGAACACACGGGCAACTGTAGACGGTTGGAGAGCCATTACATCACCCTTTCTCCAGACGATATTACTCCCCCAGCCTCTCCGACTTCTTGCTTGCTGCTCTCCGCCAATGCGCATTTGCTCCCTCGCCTGATCAGACACACCAACTCCCTCTCTCGCGCAATCCTCTTGTCGCTACTATTCCCAAACAGTTCTTAGGCCAATACCTTTTACTCTGCTTCCCTTGTCTCAGCTTGTCACACTCTCTACACCTTGCTTGTCTCTGAACACCTCGGTTGGTCTCATCGAGGAAGAATCTTGATCACCACACACACGCCATCTAGGACTATCTCGACTTGACCCTGGCTTGACCGGCGCCTCACCCGCGGCCGCACCACCTCGTTGCCAACACTATCGCTCATCGGAGGTGTCACTCATCCCGTCTCTCCCAATCGCAGACATACCCTCTCTCGCTAGACTGTCACGGCCCTCAGTCTCCCGCCTCCTCCTCCGCTCTCATTCTTGTCTCGGTCTCGAGCTCGACGCCCTTACCTTCTCTCCTCTCCCCGGACCATTATGGCATTCTTCAAGCGCCTTTCTCGCAGTCGTAGTAACAGTCAATCATACGTCGACAGTTACGACTCACGGCACGACTCCAAGACGAACTCGGCTTCCTACGACGACAATCATCATCTCGCCGAGCCCGCTGCCGGTCGCCAAAGCACCTCGCTTGCACCCTCACAATCGCGCGACCTCACCCAGAAGGCCTCTGGAGGAAACATGTACGCTCGACCAGCTCAACAACAGGCCGACCTCAACCACGGCGGCTACACCCAGAGTCGTGACAGCATGACCAATGCATACAACACAAGCGCATCACAAGGATACGATGGCGCGACGGGGACGATGCGCAGCAGCAAACACGAGCCAGCGCCCGACCTTCTCCTACAAGCGTTCAACCAAGCGCTGCGGCCCTACAACGACAAAGTGGAAAATCTAGAAAACGAGATTCATGATCTCAAAGCATACATTGATCAGTTGGAGGCGCAACAGCGGGATGTGCACGCATGGATCGACAAGCGCGGCCTTCGACCAGGTAAGACAGACTCCATGGCTTGGATAACAATCGAAAGCAAGTGAAGAACATTGGCTGACATGTATGCGCTTACAGATGTACCTCCCTCAATCGCCGCGCAGATGGATTCCGCCAGCCACGCCTCTTCTCCAACTCACGCCGCTGCCACACTCAACGCTCAGCTTGACCGCAAAATCACCATCGTCAACTTTGACTTGCACCGACTACAAGACGACCTCAATGACAGCCTCCCCACTCCATCCTTCTCCGCCTGCATGCTCAAATTCCTCCCTGATATCGCCCGCCTGACCGCCCTACCCAGCGGCCCACGATACGCCTTCGACCTGCTCCTCAAACTAGGCGGCAATCTCAACTCCCACGGCGGCCTTGAGGCCGGCGACGAGGAGGACCGCAAGGAACGCCGTGCCTTTTACGCTCGTCTGGATGACAGCATGGTCGGCGTCGTGGAAGGCCGTTTCGCCGAGGAAGCCGCCGAATGGAGCGTCGGTCGCGAAATCAAGCGCATCGAGAAAACCGGTGCCTATCTCCGCAACTGGGGCGTCGAGCCGTATTTCCCCCGTACGCTTCAGGCTATGCGTGAAGGCAGCGCTGCTCATGGTGTGAACACTTCGGGCTCCGCACCAACAAACCCTGCGGCTTCCGCGGCACAGTCGTCAAACCCGGCCGGTGGAGCCACGAGCCCGCCTGGGTACTGAAACGATGACAACACCAAAGTGAATGCGATTGTTCGGAAAACGGAATCATGACAAACGGGCTGGGAATGGAATTGATGAAATGTGTGTTTTGAGGCACTACCGAATTTTGACGAGACGATGAAGAAAGTGTCCACGACTCGAAACTTTTACCAGGCGCTATGATGAAGAAAAGGGGATGGAGTTGGAAACTGAACTTGGGGTGGCTAATGTCTGTACAATTATTATTCTTCCTCGCGATATGGGAGACAACATGATCTATCCTGGAAAGGTGGCTACGAGGGGTTTGATTATTTGTGAAGCTGGCGATTATCATGATTGTTAAGGACTGGTTATTGTTTTGTGTCTGGAAATTCTCCCTCCCAAATGGATTTGAAAGCCCATCTTGTCCCTCTGTGCTCAGAGTTGTGTTTTCCTTGTACTGCTCTCCCCTATCTCATTCGGCGAGAGAAGCACTGGAAGTGCGTTCCCTGCTCCACAGGGGACGACAAATACGAGATGAGCAGACTCAGAAAATATGGAAATTATCACATGCAATCATCAATTACGCCGTGGACACCAATGCTCGAATCATACATACATGCTTACTTACCATCACGACGCAAATACCTCCTCCAATCACTCTCTACCAGTCCATTTCATTCAGAAATATACTCCGTTCCATTCCCCAACGGACCAAACCATACATACACACACAACTCCAACCCTTTCTCATCAGACCCCCAACAAACTCGCCGAATCCACAATGGACGTCTTCGATGCCCTCCGTTCCCGACGCTTCCCTGCACCTGCGAGTGTGGTGCGATTGCTGTTGCCCTCGTGGATTGCGGCGTAGAATGATTCGGGGGAGTGCTTGACTTGGCGCTTTGTTGTGTCGCCGTTGTTGTTCTTGTTCGTCGTGGCGGCGGAAGTTGGGGCTGAAGTCGCTGAGGTGGGAAGGGTTTGGGCTCGAGAAGGTTTGGTGGTAGGTTCTTCGGTTGATTCGGAGGAGGTGGTTGAAGAGTGAGAAGAGTGGGAGGGTCCGAGGGGAGTCGTATTCGCTTTGGTGACGATCGGAATTGGAGGAGTCGCGGTGCGTTGTTCTTGTAGCTGTTGGTGGTGAGGTTCATGATTGTCGTTGGTTGCTGTCGCTGCTGCTGGGAAGGTATCGGCACGTTTTGGCAGAGTGCTTTCTTCGTCTTCTTCGCTAGTGTTGGAACGCGAGAGGCTCTTGAGCGGATGACGTAGGTGTTCCATGATATGTGGACGGAGGGCAGATGCGGAATGCATCTTGTCCCTCTGCTTTTGTCCTCCCGGTGAGACTATGCTTCGTTTATTTGGGTGTTGTTCAGGGAGGAAATCTGTGTGGATTGGTTTCACACTCCTATTGCAAAGGTGAATGCTGTGAGAGTTCGGGAGAAGAGTGGATGATCAGCACATGGGGATTGGCAGGACCACATGGCTTTCTTACAGCACCAGCGATCGTGGGACCGGTCTATAGCGCAAGCATAGATCTGCGCTTCCCTCTTTCAGAAGTTCTCGCTTAAGAATGTCCCGCTAGCATCGTGAGCAAAGTGACCCTGAACTATGATGATGATTCTTGACGACTGCCAATTCGATCAGGATCCAGGCGTCATTAGTAGTGGTCATCGATCCCTTCTCAAGAAATCCGCATTGTCGCGTGTTCTGACACCAAGGATCTTATACAGTGCTCTACACAAAGCTGGGATCGAGCGAGTCCGCAGACCAGGCGAAGGAGCCCTCGTCCTCAATCGAGCCCATCACACCCCTTCCGCAAAGACTGACCACTCAGAACTCACCAGTGTCATGCTCTCGCTCACTCAATCGAGAAGGTCACTTTCTGGGACGCGCGGACTTGATGACGTACGGGAAAGCAGACCCTTGGAACGGTGACATCTCAAAGCTTGATGCTCGTAGGGCCGTGGATGAATTGCTGGTGCGCTGCACATGCTTTAGCTCGTTCCCTCAGCAGCGTAACTTATTACTTCGACCGGCTTTTAGGTCAAGTACGAGCAGAGCAGTAGACTTTGGATTTGCTCTCACGTTGACGGCAAGTCTCATCAGTGGGACATAGTAGTTGGAGTTCCTCGGTGGTGGCTCCGAGGCCCGTTAGTAGACTCCCGCTTGGTGTTTCCAGTGCGACGTCATTTGATGGGCGAGGCCGTGTTTTCGTACGCCGTAGTGACAGAGATGAGGGATGGGCGACTTTGCGGCCCGCTAGTGCAGTCGACGCGGCGGCAGTTCAATGCCGACGAAAGATTCAAGATGTTGACAAACTTCAAGCTGTAGCTTCCAGTGCCGATTTCCTACAATCATGTTACGCTCGCCGCGGATGTGGAGTGCTTCGGCACGACAAGCACTCCAGTATGCAGCGCGCTCCGAGTCTCGACCACTCAACCGTCTGGCTCCCGTTGCGAGACAACAGCCATTGAGTCGAAGTGTCGTCCGTCAATTCCACCAACAACAGTCTCGGTGTCAAGAGCAGTCCACCACAGCTGCGGTAGCTGCCTCGACCGCATCGGCCGGCTCAAAGATCATTGCATACCTCTATGGAACGGCGTTTGTCTTCGTTCTGGGCTTTGGATACCTCTACATCACCGACACCCGGGCCAGCGTCCACCAATGGCTGGTCGTCCCTGCGCTGAGACTCATCCATTACGATCCCGAGGAGGCTCACCATTCTGGAATCCGCTACATCTCGGCTCTCTACGATTTCAATCTCCACCCTCGCGAGCGCGGAAATGAAGACGAAGAGAAGGGCGATTTGCGTGTTGAGGTCTTTGGTCATGTTTTGAACAATCCTGTTGGCACCTCTGCTGGCATCGATAAAAATGCTGAGATTCCTTCGGCGCTGTTTGCATTGGGTCCTGCGATAGTCGAAGTCGGTGGCGTGACACCTCTCCCCCAAGAAGGCAACCCCAAGCCTCGTGTCTTCCGCATTCCCTCTCAAAATGCTCTCATCAACAGATATGGTCTGAACTCTGAGGGTGCCGAGCATGTTGCAATGCAACTGCGCGAGCGCCTGCGATCCTTTGCATACGCCCATGGTCTTGGTATCGGCGCAGACGCCGAGGAGATCGTGCTTTCTGGTGAAGCACAAGTGCCACCTGGTAGTCTCGTCCCCGGTAAACTTTTAGCCGTGCAAATCGCAAAGAACAAGGCAACTCCGGATAATGATATTTTGGCCATCGCTCGCGACTATGTTACTTGTGTGGATCACTTGGCAAAATATGCGGATATCTTAGTCGTCAACGTCTCCTCGCCGAATACACCGGGACTACGAGATTTGCAAGCCACTGGACCCTTGACTGCTATTCTCACTGCCGTTGTTGACGCTGCTCAGGATTGCGATCGCAAGACCAAGCCTGCCGTCATGGTCAAGGTCAGCCCCGATGAGGACAGCGATGCACAGATCGAGGGCATTTGCGCAGCTGTGTGGGCTTCCGGAGTTGACGGTGTCATTGTCGGCAACACAACCAAGAAGCGTCCTGCGCCTGTCCCGCAGGGATACATCATGCCAGCTGATGAGGCCAACATCTTGAACGAGGTTGGCGGCTATTCCGGACCTCAGATGTTCGAGCGCACGCTTGACCTTGTCAAACGGTACCGTGAGAGACTCGATCTCGGCCCTCCCGAAGACGAGTCGAGACCGCAAAACGCTCCCAAGGAACAGAAAACATCATCGCAGCAATCACAACTCCAGGAACAGACCGCACGAGACCCTGGCGTGCAAGACACAAAGGCTGGTATCAAGCGCGACTCGCAAAACCTCAAACCTCTTGATGCCGAACCCTCCGAGGCCGAAAAAGGCGCAACCCAACCCCTAATCCGCATTCCCGACCCACACACCTCCGAATCAGCACCTCCAGCATCCACTCCTTCATCCTCCCAGCCACTGAAAGCCAAAGTCCTGTTCGCAACCGGCGGCATCACCAACGGTGACCAATGTCTCCAAATCCTCAATGCTGGCGCCAGCGTCTGCCAGGTCTACACCGCCATGATGTACGGCGGCGTTGGGACCGTCACCCGTATCAAGAGTGAGATGCGCGATGCTTTGCATCGCGGACGAGAGGAGCGTGCGACCAAGGCTCTGGCTCAGCAAGGAAGCACTTCGGCTGCGGCGGAAGCGGCGAGGGATCCTGCTTATGGCGCTGAGGCTGCTGGAATTGTTGGTGCCAAGGAGAAGAAATGAGATGTTTCACGAGGATTTTCTGGGTGTTACTGGCATCGCCAATTGTACGACATGAAGTGTTCGTTAGACTCTCTCTCCTTTGTGAATAGATTACATGTAAAACAAAGAAGATTCACACATCGCGCTTGACTATATGATCTGCTATGACTGTCAAACCACTGCTTCATCGTCTGAACGGGATGGCTCTCACCAAGTCTCCGATCTAAACCACCTTATCTTTGCCAACATCATGCGACATCTGTTGTCTCTGCCATACGTGAAGACATGCTCTAAATTCTCGCGGTGGAAAAGCCAATCGTAACCCTAAGAATTTGGGCTTACGATGTTGGATTCGATCAACGACCGACGTCACTCCCCGTTGACGTGCTCGAGGTCAAGCTGAGGTGAGTATTATTAGCTGAGTGCCTGCATAGAGAAAGTGTACATTGCTGTTCTGCCATTTGCTATACGGCCGTGACGTTTCCTGGACTTCTCTAGAACGATCGTAGATTTGGAAAGTTGATCATGTCGGAGATAGCTGACCAGGATCTCTGGTTATTTGGCTACGGGTGAGCAGGCTCCGTTTAGATGGACACGCCGTGTTTACTATCTCAGGCACGTCGAAAAGTTGAGTCGCTGATGTTTGACGTTGTCGATCTAGGAGTTTGATTTGGAAACCTCCTCCACATTATGGTTCGTATTCCACGAAGGGATCCCCTGTCGAGTTCAAAGCATCTATGATCGGTTCGACAACATCCATAGCTCACCTTCGGCGATGAACAGACTTGCGACTACCGGGATACATCGAAGGTTTCGTGAGGAGATTCTGGCAGGTACGCTCGTTTTGCCTTTCCTCATGCGATTGGTGGTTCAGGCAGCTTCTCTTCAGGCTACATTTCCCCTTCCAGATGTCTGAAGAGACTCGAACGATGCCCAGCTTACGAATGAACATTCAATGTTGACGCGTACCACAGGCGAGGTTCGTTGAAAAATGACCATGGAATATCTCGTCGATCAATGAAGCTGTAGATTGATGACAGCGAGGTTCACAGCGAGGATCATCGCGGCACGCCAGAAGCCCCCGGCCGCGTCGTCACATTGTTAGAACGAAGCTTCTGGGAGTCGTTGACCGACCAAGTGAGTGTGCTCTTCCTCCTGATCACGTCAGCTCCGCTACAACTTCCAGTGGACCGACGCTGATCATCTTTGGAAAAACAAAACAGCACGCATCAGCTCCGCCAAAAGTCTGGGGCGCTGCCTATCGGATACCAGCTGCCCGGGTGGCTGAAGTGACTGAATACATGAACATCCGCGAAATCAACGGATACACAATTCAATACACGCCCTTTCACAGCCGCGCGGACCCAGCACACAGTCAACCCGAAGCCCCGAAGAAGAAGGCGCAGGATATGACCGCAACCTATCAAGACGTACACATCTCCCCTTCAGCAACGACTTCGCAGCAGACGACTGATTCGACGTCGATCCAATCTCCGATCAAATGTCTCGTATACATCGGACTGCCGACCAATCCGCAATTCCTCGGCCCCCAGGATCCGCAGGCTCTGGCGGAACATATCGTCGCTTCACGTGGCCCGAGTGGAGAGAACCGGGACTATCTGTATGAGCTCGAGACGGCGTTGAATGAATTGAGTCCTGAGAGTGGCGATGAACATGTGAGCGATTTGGCGAGGAGGTGTAGAGAGGTTGAGATGAAGGCGAAGGGGGGAGAAGATGAGAAGAAATAGAGGCCAAGACGAAAAGGGAGATGGGCGACAAAGCTCGTCTATCATGATGTGTGCTTTATTGACGTGAGATGAATTGAAGGGTGGTGATAAGTAGAGATACGCAAAGAAACCAGGTCCGTTCGCTAAACCGCAGCAGAAAAATTGCCATAAAGGCTACAAAACCATCCCCGCTCATGACATAAGCGCAGAACTCCTCTTCAGCGCCATGCTCAATGATGTGTATGACGCTGTCAAACTATTCGATTCCCTCCCTTGGGTGCCTGCATCTTCGGGTAGTGCCCCCTAACTTTAACGACGGCGTTGACAAATTTCTTCTCTTCCGGATCATACGCGGACATGAGGTCGAATTGCACACGCCCATTCGTTCCCATCATCTCGACGAGACCTTGGACTATGAAATTGCCCCGCGGAATATCCCGGTAGTCTCGTAATTGAGGGGTGGTGTGTTTCTTGTAGGTCTGTCTGAAGACCATCATGGCGACAGGTATATCGAGGTTGCTGAATGAGTTGGATGATGGGTCAGAAAGATCCAACGAAGACGCGCCGGGAAGTGACGCGCTGTCGGAGGATTGCCCAGATGATTTGGACGTGTCCGATACGAGCCATGACGGCAGTCGTCGATCTGTGAGGGGAAATTCGGACGTGCGCGTTGACGAGGTTGCTGAGGATGTTTTACTCACGAGACCACTGCCGGCCTCGCCATTTCCTCCCTCTCCTTCGCTCGATGTCTGGCTCTTCCCAGTCTCCGCAGCGCGCATCGCTTCCTGACGTTGCACTAACGTCCTCCACAGCTTAAATTTCTCTTCCGGACTAGATGGATCTACCTCAGCATAGCCGACAGATTGCTGTACCCGCCGAATCTGCATTCCGACCAATACCTTGACCGCAGCCCAAGCGGACTGACCGGCAGCCGCAGGCCAGATGGACCGTGACCATTGCTGGTATTCCTCCGTTGTCATATTTTGAATACCGGTGGCGATGAAGTCCGTCGCCCAAAAGATACCAATTCGGGAGTATTCCTCCGGTGGTCCATCTGGAAAATGAAACTCGATCCAGCAGCGGCCAAAGCGAGGCTCCTGGCCAAGCCACTTGTGAATCACGGGATGCTTCAAGGCGCCTTCGGATATCAACTGTCTCGCATCTGTTTTGATTTCCTCTCGCGTTTCCTTATCTTTCGCGATTCGAATGAACTCTTGCCACTCAGGATCATCGCCATTGTAATATATCCTAGGTTGCTTTGTGGCCCAAGTGAGCGGCACGAATACAGCTTCGTCCAATTGTTCAGCCACCTCCTCCTCGGTAAGTTCTTTGGGTTCGCCTTGGCGAGTTTCCTCGTCGATATCTGCCAGAAAGTATCCCGCGGCTCGCTGCACTGCGACAAAGGTGAAGACCGTACCGGCGATTAGCCGCCACCAGGTAGACGGCCGCGGGAGCCGCCTTTCCTTGAAGTGCACTCGTTGAATGCGCAAAGCTTGTCCGTTCCGATACACATCATCGGAGATCCTCCGTAGTTGTTGTAGTTGATAGCTGCGAGGCGGGATCGAGTGCAGTTGCCTTAATCGCAGGGCACGTGATAGATTCTGCATGGTCGTCCAGCGCTGCTGCAGGACCCGATGATGTGGTCAGCACATTTGGTGGTAGATGTGAAGAGATCGTGTTGATTCCAGAAGGTTGTCAGTGGTGCAAATGGTCAACGTAATGTCGAAACCATGTGATGGGAATAATGATCGATGCGCACATGCCTGCCCTCCCGTCACCAAAGCCGATGATGGATGATGTGGGCGAAAGCCAGAGGCAAGGGTTACGGATAGTGCCGACACTATCCGGTTCCGGTCGATTGGCGACTGGCTGTGACGATTGTCCACAGGCGAGCTTCCGTGACGATACAGCAGCATTCACGTTGTTGGACCGCTCACATTCCTGGCTGCACAATCTTCGTCGGCATCACCATCACAGCTCGGAAATATGAAGTCGGCCTTCGCTGTTGCCGTGCTTGCGGCCCTATGCGAGGCCGCATCGGCGGTGTCTGCAGCTCGCGTCTTCACCTATGATCCTCATACACCAGCTCGCCCTCATCTCGGTGGGAGAGAGCTGGAACCGGTTGCGGCTCGTCTAGTCCTTGCGCAGAGGGCTCATGTCCAAGAGTATCACAGCTCAGATCTAGACCGACAAGAAATCATCGATGCAATCAATGAGTTTGGAGTGAAGACTCCATTGTTTGGGAAAGCGTCAGGCAAGACAAAGACAGCTTTGTTGTTGTTGGAGAACGTGGCAGAGGCAGCAAGTGTGTCTGACGACATCACTTTGAGCATATGAATCTTCGCGCTGACATGATATTCAGTGTCTTCCTCCGCACTGAGCTCATACACCAGTTTCCAAGTCAAATCCGCACCGAGCTGCGGCGGACTCTTTGTGGACCTCGCCCGGCAAGTTGACGCCACAGGCCTTTCTTCCCTCAGCGACGCACAAACACAGCAAACTATTAGTGGCTCCCAACACGTGACCGAGAATGGAGATATCATTTTCAGGACGGCATCGATTGAAGAGTTGGAAAACACATTTGCCAGGCTCGTCAAACAAGATACCTGGAGTATCACGGCGCTGATCACCTGCCGCGGCGGAGATAGCGAAAGCGCAGAGGAGCCTTCAGTATGGGGGACATATGAGATGCCGTCTCAGCAATTCTTGAAGAAGCGTGCTGTTAAGGAACAACCCCTGATCGAGAAGAAGCGCCCTGAGAGCTCCTCGAACAAAGCCTCGCTGGGAGCCTTGGCCAAGAAGAACGCCACCATTATTCGAGGTATTCTGCCCGCTTGCTTCCATTCCTTGGCTGAGTGTGAGCGTCGAACTCAGAACTGTAGTGGTCACGGCCAATGCAGAAAGGAGTACCACGACAAATCAGCCCCTGTGCCGTACGACTGCTTCTCATGCAAGTGTGGCAACACGACAACGAAGCACAACGACCTCATCTCCACAACATATTGGAGCGGACCCGCGTGTCAGAAGAAGGATGTCAGCGTCGAGTTCTGGCTCATTGTGCTATTCACGGTTGGATTGGTATTTTTGATCGGGTTTGCCGTTGGTCAGATCTGGGAGATGGGTGATGAGCAACTTCCTAGTGTCATTGGAGCGGGCGTCAGCGGCCCTACCGCAAGGAAATGATTAGGGTGCCTGATGTGGCAAGATTTACTTGGAGGCGTTATATCGGGAATTGTACGTGAGCAGGGGAGCATGCACCTATGAGCGCGCAGCCAGCACACCTGCAGACTACTTCATCATGTATAAAAGGTACAACATATCGTACGATCGATTCAAACTGTGTTCGATCGACTTTCACACATTGGCTGAGGCCGTATGATAACATGGATCGACGGTTGCAGGACCGATTTGTCATGCACGCGTACTCTGCGATGCCTATATTGCGCTCTGTTTCCACCTCTGTGCCTCTCTATTGCTGCTCAGGAAAATCTCAGCATTTCGCACGAGCGCTCATGAACCGAATGTCACTTTTGCAACATCGAAGCTCATACTGCTGCCGGACCGCAATGCCGAAATTTCCCTTGGTCCGGATCCGGTAGGTTCTGTAGAGTCTCATTTGGCATCTAATTGCATCACTGGTGGCCGTCTGTCATCGTAACCCCCACGAGAGCCGCAACGTTGCTGGGCACATGGGCGCATTAGTTGAGAGTCTCTAGAACACGTTTGAACGGTCTTGTTGGCAGAACAAATGCAGCAGTGAGTGTGGGACCATCTATTGTGCGTCGTTGTGATCAGAGACCACCTAAACTCTTTAATGCAATCCGCAGCTCCAACACTGCTGTATTCACATCTTCAAACTGAAGAGCCGAGATTGCCCACTTTGCATGCTTCTGCGCCGCTGCGATGCTATCGTCGTCAAAATTGTAGCTGGTCGGAAGCTGCTGAGGTATCGAAGTGACTGGGACTGTGGCCGGAAGGCTCGAAGGAGTGGTCGTAGGTGGCATGGTCGGCGGTGGTGCTTGAGTTTCGGAAATTCTCGAAATCATCGGCGATGGCGGGGGCAAAGGCGCAGTTGCGGTTGATGTATTGAAAGATGGTGCTGCAGCTACCACAGGCGGAAAATAGTCTCCCATTGTAGATTCTTGTGCTGTCTGGATGGGCGATACATCGTCTCGCTGTGTGGACGGTGCAGCAGGAACATGTTCATAATCATCGTCCACCAAAGGAGCGCGCGTCGAGCCTGCATGCGATGTCGCCTCGGTATTCGCAGGTGCCGATGAAAGCACGAACCCAATGTCATCATCTACAGTAGTCTCAACCGTCGGCGGCCGATATGTTGAGCCTGAGTCGGCGTCCAGCTCTGCTGCGAGTTCCTCGGCGGTACCCGCATCTGCTATTTGCGGCGGAGGCTCTATACGAGGATTTGTCGCATTCGGGTCCTCTCCTTTACTGATTGCCTTTGCGATGCGCAGTGCATGGTACTTGGCAAATTTGCTCTTGGCGATGAGCTCTGCGTCCGGCGGACCCCATATCGCGAGCAGATCGATGAATGTCGTGGAGGCTTGGAAAATGTCTATGGTCTGTCGAGTGACGCGATCCGTATTTTGAGCCTCCTCAGCTCGGCGAAAGGTCTCGAGTGCAAAGTTCTCAATATAGGCTTGCGCGGCCACATCGTCTACAACGGCATCATTGGTCGCATTCTCGGACTTGTAGCTCTCCAACTTGTCCATGAGCTCGATAGCGTAATTGCCATATTCTGGATGAGTCTCATGAATTTTGCGATTTAGGATCTGTTGCAGAACGTAGTAATTACCTGTCGGAAAGGTATGAGTTCTGAAATGCAATGGTCTAAGAGTGTGCAGACGTACACCAATAGGCGACTATAGGTCGAAGTGATTCCAACTCTGATGCCCTTTGCGCGAAGCGTTTCACGTCCGGCGCAACCGTCTTCAGATCGGAAGGTACCTGCAGAACCATGGTCGTGTAAGGGATTTTACTCCCTTAATGCCGTGCAAGTCAATTGCATGCAGAAAGAGAAGAAGATAATTACGATACGATGTCCTGCTGCCTGGCTGGCTGACGTACACTGTGCGGAGCTTATCGAAGCTTCATCGCTGCGAAAGAGTGTATTATTAGTGAGTGCTTTTGCCGTCCGCTGTCGTGGCGTCGCGGCGTTGCCGCAAGCGGGACAACGTAGCTTTGTCATGCCGCATTCACACAACCTACCTAGGTACTGGTGTCTGAATCTCACCCGAGTGACTCATTTGCATGTAGGAATACCAAGGGATACATACAGGCACGTAATGCCAGCATGCAGCGGTCAGTATATAAACCTCCTGAGTCGCGGTGTGGCGCGTCAAGCGCAGCACTGCTATTCTTGATCCTCCGACCACACCACCGTGCACAAATCCCCTCGATTCTCTCGTAGCTATAATGAATTTCCTCGACCTTCCAATCGATATCACTCTCCAGATTCTCGGAGAGTTCCGATCTGTGCCTGTGACAGAAAACGATGGCCTTTATAATACATTTCAGCGTGAGTGGAAAGGACTCGCTGCCATACAAGCCTGCCGATTAACATGTCGCGCTCTCAACGAGCTCGTCAGCTGCATGTTATGTCCTATGTTCCGCGGCGGCCTTGAGAGGAAGACCATGGAGCGCATCAAGAACCTCTCCAAGAATAAGCTGATAGCAGAGGGTATGCGAGCTGTGAGATCAATCTGGCATTTCGACCCAGGTCCATCGCTAAGGATGTCAAGGAATACTTCGAGTTCGCGGCGGAAAAGGTCTATGCACACGGGCGTCATTGCGACTGGGATACGGAGTTCGAAGAGTTTGAGGACGACGATGAGTCTCCCGAAGCCCTTGAGTATCGAGCTTTGCTGGCAGCCAAGGATATGTTCAGGCTCATTGAGCGAAGTTGGAGGCAATTAGCCGACCCCAAATCGCGGACGCCTGAAGGTTTCCAAGGAAATTCTTCGTATCAACAAATTTTCAATGATTGCTTCCAGCGGTATGGCATGATGCAAGAAGAGGAAGACCAGATAGTTGCTGATGGCACGTTTGTTCAGGCTATTGCAGAAGCCATGGCACAGTCATCGCGTACCGTCTTCCTAAGCTTTATTGACTCTCCTATAAGCGGGACAGGATTTCCTAAAACACTGGCAGTGGCTCGGGATCTAACTTTACTCACAGCAGAAATACTTGAGCCTCACGATTGGCTGAAAGCTGAGGAGAGGAAATTCGACGGCAAACTGTTGCCCGCCAGGATTTTAGTAGAGCTGCCAATCGCATGTGAGCGACTGGGAGCACCATTGCAAGGCTTGCACATCGGCTGCTTCCCACTCACAAAAGCATTCACTTGTTTACTGGCCCAATCCTGCTCGGCCGAGTCTTTGGTGTGGCGCCAACTGTCATCTTCTTGCCGCAACTTGAAATATCTGCAATCTGGCAAACGCGGTATGAATAGCACACCATATCGAAAAGGAAGAATAGCTGTCGAACACTGCACCATTATCGACGCTTATATTGGTGCCCTTTGCTCCGCGCCTGAGCTTGTTGCACTCTACATTTGTATGACCCCGTTTAGGGTGTGTGACCCGAAACCGCACTCAATCCGGGAAATTCCAGCCGCGGACATTTACTACGAAGCTGGCAACATCTTGCGCAGGATTGGATCCTCATCGTCGCTGAAGCGTATCGGGATTCAGTATGTGGAAATTTCCGGCTCAGATCTGGATTCTTTCCTCAACAGACTTCCTCAAAGCGGTCTGCGGGCGATCATGCTGTGCAGCGTTACTCTGCACAGTGGCGGCTTCGTTTCAGCCGTTGAAATTCTGAAGTCAAGAAAGCTGAGCTCCATCAATTGCAGCGTGGATCTTTCCAGTCTTCAGGGCGGCGAGTTTGGCCCTCCGCAAGGCTGCAGAGACTATTTTCGTGTTCGAGATAAGGAGGAAAGAGATAGCTATTTGGATCGGATGCAGGAACGGATGCGACCACTTTTACTGCGGCAGGCCACTGCGTACATTTGCGGTGACGAGAAGGTGAATCCGCTTTTGAGTGGAGATTTCGCCTGATAAAATGTCAGAGTCCGTTCGTGAAGACGGTGATGAAAAAATCAATTATCTACACACCCTCTATCACACGTTCGCGTGATCTACGGCGCTTCACATGGCACAAGCACGTTTGACGTGCGCAGTGCTGTTCATCTGAGCTTCACACGCTAGCTTCTTTCGCGAAACTAGCGTACGATGCGATGTCGACATTTAATTACCATAAGAAATAGCGTACGGTACGATGTGATGTCGACATTTACTTACAATGAAAAAATACTGTTGCTCCTACATCCATGTAAAATCTCACCTATCTCTTCGACATTGGTTGTCGTCGGTGTCGCTCGAAGCATCCACCATGGGGAGCCAAGTCTTCGGTCGTTTATTTATGCTCATACAGCTGCTAGTTGGCCTCACATTGGCGCAAGTGTACGCTTCAGCGCTTGCCGCACTGGGACCGCCGATTTCATCCCGCGACAGGATCTATACCGCCGATCAGACTTCAAACACAATTAGTGTCATCGATCCAAGCAACAATACAGTGCTAGGCACGATCTCATTCGGTGCCCCACGGCTTGGGAACTCCTTGAATCCTCAGAATGTCCTTTCAGTAAACTCACATGGCCTCGGATTCTCGCGAGACGGCAAGTATATTGTGTCTCTGAGCACTCTGTCGAATACGGTCAAGGTCATTAAGACTGCCGACAATTCGGTGGTAATGACCACCTATGTCGACCGCGGACCACATGAAGCATTCTTCGCGGCAGACAATCGCACATTGTGGATTGGAACTCGAGGCGTGTCCAGCGTACAAGTGGTGGATGGCCTGAATGGCACTACACTGTCTCGTATTGCTACTGGAAAGGGACCCAGCAAAGTCCTATTCAGTCCCGATGGAGCAACCGCGTACGTCAACCATATCTTCGAGCCGCTAATCGCCGTAGTGGACGTGCAAAGTCGCACTGTAAGATACAACATCACGGGACTGGCAAGCGCATTCAGTTCGGACATGATGCTCTCTGCTGATGGCAAAAGTCTGTGGGCTGCGCACAAGATGACTGGTCAAGTCTCCGTCATTGACACAACTGCGAGGAAAGTGGTTTCGATCCTCGACACTGGTGCCGAGACAAACCATCCAAATTTCGTCATCGCGAACGGAACCATGTACGGCTGGGTGTCTGTTGGATCCTTAAATGCCACCAGAATCTACCGACAGTCTGCTTCACACCTTGCCCCCGTACATGTCAAAGACGTACGGCAATCCGGCGTTCAACCACACGGTCTCTGGCCAAGCGCGGACAACACTCGGATGTACATCATCAATGAGCACAGCGATACCGTTGATGTAGTAGACACCAGCCTGATGAAGATCATTGATACAATTGCGGTCGGCCAAGAAAGTCAAGCCCTGATATACGTCCCGAACGCGATATCCTCTGACTTGTCATCTCAAGCACAAAGTCGCCAGAATCTTGGTCGTCAGGGCCTGGGGATGCGAGTTGAGAGCAAATTGCTGCCGGTCTTTGGCGGAAACGACACAAAGCCTAACGCCAACGCGCAGGTTACCGTGAGGCAAATCGCGGGCTTGGACATGGTCCAAGTTATCGGGAGGAATCTAGTCCTGAATCGTACCTACACTCTTTCTGCAGAGTGTGAGAGATGTAAAGGAGCCAGGCTGCCGCTCGTCAGCTTCAATGCGAGTATGCCTACACCCTCAGGATGTGGTTCGGCCCCACAAACATTAGCTTTCCTTCGCTTTTTTGATGTGTATGATATGAGCACAGTAGAAGTCAGAGAAGGCAAAGACTAAGGCGGCGGTACGAATTCCAAGACCGACAGGTACTCACAATTCCCACATATATGTAATTTAATCCATCGACAGAGCAGAAACACGAGGAGATCACACCCTATCTGTTTTATTAGCTGTGCACAGCTTTCATTCACTGTCTATCGGCGTGGTCTGTAGGCGTATGCATAATCGTCATGATCAACGCGGTCGACTCCTTAGGCAGCCATCACCGAGTAGAACGAATACCCGAAATAGCGTTGGTGAATTGATCACATCATTTGGCCGCGTAGCAGTGAGCTGCATCTCTAGGCGCCATTCATTCTGTTGCTATAATTTTCTCAGATAAAAGCTTCTACTTGGGCTACGTACACAATGTAGAAAGCATCAGTCTGACTTATGCTAGATCGCTAAGAACACAGCCGCAGACTAGAGGGACTGCAGGTGCTTTTACTTTAGATGATCTATGGTGCTGCACCGACCCATGCGTTCCAGTCAACATGATTCGCAGATACAGAGCAGTCCGAAGTGATGTTTGGACCTTTCTGTGAGTAAGTCCGACCGTTCGTGCGCACAATAATCGACACGGCACCAGTATTGCCGTTGAAAGGCACGCTACTAGTGAAAAGACCAGGGCTATTGGCAGTCACAGTTGTCGAAGTGCCTCCAATAGTGACCGTGACCACGGCCTGGCCAGTCGTGAAGACGGTGAAATTGACCTGATCTCTGGCGCAATCGGTGGCGGGATAGGTCCCGGTGTTGCCACCGAACTGCGGAGGAGGGTTGCAAGTCGTACCGCCAGCGCTGCAGGTATTCTTGGGGTTGAGACGGTACCAGAACGTGACGTGCTCATTGTAGTTGCTCGGCTCGGCGCCTCCATTCTTATACTTGGCAATGTAGTAAGGAAGATCGTTCAGCCATGCATCATGCACGATCTTTGGGTTGTAAGTGTAGACTTCAGAGCCCGTCGGGTATGCACCGGCGTACTGCGACAGAGGGCCCAGGTAGTGTGACTCTCCCCAGTCATTCCATGTCAGAAGCTCAACATAGTCCGGGTTGTATTGGTAGACCTGCTGCCATCTTGAAGGCCACAGCTGGTCAGTGTTCCAGAGCCAGTTCTTGCCATAGGTATCGGCATAGAACCAAGGAGAGACTGGCATCATGTACGGCTTGCCAGTGTTCTTGTAGTTGCTGTCCTGATTGGGCACCGTTGCAGTATGATCAGGCCAGGCCACCCAAGATAGGTAGCCATCGGCGACGCTCGATCCGGCCCCAGGCTGGTAGTTGGGAATGAAAAAGGCATTGGTCGCGGATTTAATGCTCGACCAATCCCCAGCTGAGCTATCGCCAGAGAATGTAGACGCCCAAGGCTTCCCGTTAAGTTTGAAGTAAGACTTCAAGCTAGAGTAGCTGGTGATGTTACCAATCACTTGGTCATGCGTCCATCCTGGATAAGCACCGTAATCGAAGGACACGAAACTCCGAAAATTGGCGCCATTCGCAGAATTAAATGCTTCAGCAGCATTGAAGAAGGCCCGCAGAGCTCTGTCAGTGTAGCTGGTGCTGCCAATGTTCAGACCAAATCCGTCGATACCACTTGCATGAGCTTTCGCAATGTCGTTCGTGAAATCCTGTTGTGTGTACGAATACACATTACCCATCATATAATGGGCAAAGACCTCTCGTGCTGCGATCGCAGGAGCTGCCAACGTGGCAGCGACGCCGAGAGCGAGAACAGAGGCGCGCATGTTCGGTTTCGGTGACCGAATCATTCAAAAGCAATTCCAGAAGGCGACTGCACGCCTTATATACCGTCATGATGGGTGATCGAGAAATCTCGCATGCCCACATCTGCGTGGGGCGATAGTGCCATCGTCGTTAGATCGTACACATGTAGAGTGCGCTAAAGTGGCCGGAGAAGCTAAATTGCTGCGAGATGTAACCTTCACAATCATTCTGCGTTGAGTTCATCGACGCAAAATTCAAACTTGAGTTGAGATCAGATATCGAGAGCCAGAGATTTGCCACGTGTTGCGCTAGCATTCAGCTCGATTCTCAGCTCGAGATCTGGCGTTCGCACTAACATGTTGGAGCGCTGTAACGTTATATCGCATAAGCAATGATCTGCATGTTGTCAGACGCCACGATCATCCAGCGTACGCAAGATCAAGTCGATCCGAGGAGTGGGGTAGGTTACATTGGATTTCAGGACGGAAATGCCCATCGTGCGCGCTGCAGGTCGTGCGTGCCGGGATCTCTCATTCCACCACGTCCACGTAGATCTTTTAATCGGACGTGCAGCGTTTACATCGGTTCCTTCGGACCCTGACTTAAGCGCTTCTTCTCTGCCGACAGATAAGACCCGTTCTTGGCAACGGACGACATTTCTTTCATTCAAATCGTGCGATCTATCAATAGATGACCTGTCTAGAGCGCAGTCGTTTCCAACTGCTCGAGAGTACAATGCCCGATGTATATTGAAAGTTAATAATGACGCCCTTTGATGTTGTGCACATATTGTACCGGTGCACAACGACTGGATACGGCGAACTATTCAGGCCAACGGATATAGCCAGACTGATCAACGACGTCCACCAGCGCTGTCTTGCGGCGCAGAATATATTGCTTGTACAGTCCCAGGTCGCCGCAGAAAAATGACAGAATGGCGCATTACCGAGCAGAATCCAGTCCGCGAAGACATCGAAGGTCTTGACTTCGAGCGCTGTGCTGCGCTCCACAATCTGATTGCCGAACGAGGTTGGAGTCAGCGCGGCAAGGACCCGAATCACTTGGATCGCACGACATGGTGGGAGTGTTATGGTGGTGAAAGCTCCCTGGAAAGCTATGCACGACGACTCGACGAATCCGTTGTCTCGTTTCTCAAGCTTGCATGGAGTGGGTTCTCGAGAGACCCAAGCCACGGGCATGCCTTTCATCAAATTCTAGTCGGTCTCTCTGCTCCCGAAAACATCTGCAACGATGTGACATACGAAGATTACGACGATGATGACAGCAAGTGCCACTTCATTACCTTGTATAGCAGCAATTGGCAGCTTGCTGATGGGCATCCGCAGGGGCTTGTGTTCGACCAAGAGGAATTTTCCGCAATGCAACATCTTTCGATGGAGGACACTGCTATTACGATGAATGGACGTCAGGAAAGGTTCAGGCTGGAGCAGATTCTAGAGGCGCTACTCGAGATGATGGACCAGGGTAAAGTCGTCGCGGTCGATGATTCCTATAGCGGCCAGCAAGAACAATTCTGTAATTGGATCATGTCGTCCTATACGGAGTCCGACCTCGAAGAATCTCTCGATGCTCTCGACGCGTTAGTTTCTGCTGTCGAAGAGAGGATGCCTATCCGACCAGCACAAACGGGGTTCGAAATCGGTTTAATCGACAAGGAGACTTCAACGATGTTTCCGCCCGGCACCTTTGCTCGCCATTTTCTTGAGCGGGCCCGACGGCCACGTTTTAAATTCCTCGCTCCTGGTCTGTATATCGCTACTAATCAACCTTTCGCTTCCACATTGGTCGACGATGAGGATACCCTGCGACCTGTTTTGTTGCTCCAGTCTTCCGATTCAGCCCACCGCGACACCTTTCCTACGCCTTGGGGCGAAAGCTATTCACATTCTGCTTTTGGTGGAGAGTTTCGAGAAATCGAACACTATCCATCAGGCCTGTACTTGACCGAAATCCATCCGCATAGCGAAAGTCCCTTCGAAGATGGCTGCAAGCTCATTTTGCCATTTCCGATTGGGGAGAATGGCTGGGCTCGAACAAGCGATGGTGCCGTATTTGGAGAAGAGAAAAAGAGGCGAGGGGAGGTCGCAGTGCCCTACCCGACGAGCACGGAACTCTTCCAGCTTGGCTATAATCATTTTATCAAGCGCCATGATGTGCAGCTCAAAGATGTATTATGGCGTTGGGTCGAATTAGTCGAATCAGGCGAATGGGGGGTCGATGAGGACGGTGTGAAGGGGAATATAGAGAAGTGGCGGGAGGCTGATACCGAAGACCATTGGCGAGATTACCAACTACCCATGGATTGGTAAGGCACAGCTGAGTCGCGGAGAACGAATCTACATAGCCTGAAAACTTAATCAGATGTGAAGCTTATACAAGACAAATATGCAGAGCACTCTCTCATATAATACGAGTTTTACTTTTCGAGGATCTACACAAATGTAGTCCTAGAGCTTCATAACTGTCTAGAGAAAAGTGCGTTGTATGGGCATCCAAGTAGTAATCTCTATGACGGTAATTATCGGAACTCGACCTATTGGAACTAGATGTCGAGTAATCACCCCCAAGCTACATGCTAGTGTATAACTCATTACCGGCGAAGCTAAGTCCGTAGCTTCTTCCTGGAGACACTATTGTCAAAGTACAGCGTACCTAGGCTCTAGGTTAGTAGTAGTAATAGGACAATCAGAAGAGGAGGCTTGAGGGTACAGTTTAGGGGAAGGTGCCTAGGTATAGTCGGAGTATAGATAGTCTAAATCACTATTTGGGAGGTAACGATGGGATGACCCGGCTCCTCGAAACGCATCCACTTCACTTATTCTCCATTCATGCTGGTCTGTCTTTCCCAGTGTCCGCATGTACAGTGACTTCTTCTACGATGGCGGCTTGCGTGACACCGGTGACACGATGACGGTTATGACGGCTCTGAACATTGCGATCACGGCCAATGAGGTGGTAATCTTCGCACGTACAGTAGCTCTGCTTTCCTTCCTGGCGCAGAATCTAATACGATTGCTGGAGCATTCGACGCCGGTCTGATCCTTAATCTTGACATGAAAACACGAGCGGAGGAGTTCTGTTCAGAAACGCGTGCGTGGCGAGATGGTTACCAACTGCCTGAGGTAAACCCTGAGGTAAACTGGAAGCATATCGATTAAGAGCACCTCGATGACATTGACTATCTTCCATTCTCTTGACCAAGATCGATGTCAATGCCGCATCTCAAAAGGTGAATAGCTAATTTACGGCGAATCACAGCCGCTGACCGAGCTACAATGACAGGTACAAGTTGATATCACAAGCAAGTCCCATTCCGCGTCTCGGATGATGCAGGTCAATACTTTGGCGAGTTTCCACTTTATTCGTCGCTCGTAGACGCTTTGCAGACCACCTAGAGAAAGATGAAGAGGGTCGCGTCCTCATCTTACATATTTACCAGGCACATACGGCGCATGGTATTGCAACAGCACGCATCTGACCATTGCATACATAATTCTCTTTTATCATATAAACAACAGGAGGACTCTTGACAAGGCCGCAACGTCTTTACGCTAGGGCCTCGTGACAACTGCAATCCAACCAATTTGCAGATTACCTGTCGCTCTTTCATTCGTGCGATGTATCACTTAAGCGATATCCTTACCCTCATGTAGCGTACTTCTCCAGCGCTTGTTCTGGCTCTAGAGTTTCAAGTGACATTATCTGTTACCGACTCGGACCACACCTTACTTTGTATCAATCCCCTAGTATATCGCGGATTATTTAGCCTGAGATCGATCGCCATAATGGTACCGTGTACATCATTTTGTTTAGATGCTCTAAATTTGCCATATGTGAGGGGAAACCGGCTGAGCTTTTAACCAGCTTGGAAGGTGTCCATCAACTTTTTGTACACTACCCAAAATCCAACAGTAAATGCAAGGAGCAGCGTACCTAGATAGTCTAAGACATACTTGACGAGATGTTTGTACTGACTACGAACCTCTTTCGTTGCAGCTAGGTCCAACTTTCTTGAGATGCTTGAAGGCCCACAACTCGTTATTCTATGCTACTCTATTCGAGACGAGGTCATCATTTCGAAGAGACTACTTCGATGAATGTCAGCAAATTAGCATCAGTCACGGCGTCTCTGCGATCGAGTTAATCAAACCTCAGAACCTTGGAATTCGTAGGAGGTAGGGTTACGAAGTGTTAATCATAATGAGTCGACGCCCTAGCTAGACCCGTGGACTGGCTAACGATAGACGTTGTCTGTCGATCCTTTGTGAACGTCATAGAAGTCCTCGCCGCGCAGTACAGTCCTCGCCAATCTTCACGATCTCCTCGCTTTCCACCAATTGCAGTGTTTATATTGACGCCCATGTAACGGGCAGTCATTCAAAACACGTTTTGCACAACCAGAACTTTCAACTCCGCGCAATGGCTGAACCGAGTCCAAAATTCCTGCAACTTGGTGAGCTTCATCCTTTGATTCGGGAGATCTTGTCTGCTACTGGAACAGCCGGAGCCTCTATTGGAATCATACACCGCGGCGAAACATGGTCGGATCATTTTGGGTTTCGAGATCACGCACGCTCAAAGGCTCCAGATGACGACACCTTATACACCATAGGTTCTTTGACCAAGGCGATGATCGCGCAAGCGGTCGCAACATTGGTCGAGGACGGCAAGCTCGATTAGTCGACCAAGGTTGTTAGCATTATTCCAGAATTTGACAACGTGGATAGCCTGATGACGGATCACTGCACAATATCTGACTTGCTATGCCAAAGAAGTGGCCTGCCAACCTTCAATGCCTTGTGGTATCAAGGGGGCTCCCGGTCGCTTGTTCAGAAGCGCGACTTGATCCCAATGGTCAACAAAATAAATCCACTTTTCCCTCTTCGCAGCGGCTGGTGTTACTCGAACTGGGGATATGCACTGGTCGGTCTTTGCATCGAAAGAATCACGGGTGAACGTTGAGACGAGACCTTGAAAGCCAATATATGGAAGCCTTTAGCGATGTCCCGCATCAATGCAGATCAATCAGTACGAGACAATTTGAATGTCGCACAGGGGTTCTCTGCGCTTCCAGACTTGTCTCTCTACCCGGTACAAACTCAAGAACTTGACTCCGAATCAATCATGGGCGCTGCTGGTGGGGTAAACAGCACCATGGCTGATTTGTTGAAGTACTATAAGTCCTTGTTGGACACACTTCGGGCACAAGACGCAGGTGCCGATTCCAAATCTGTGCTGAAGCAGACTGGTCGAATCTTGTCCGGTCATGTTGTTTTCAATCCGCCTGCGTTTGGCTCAATGAGCGAGAACACATATGGCTACGGCTGGATCAAGACCAGACTACCAGCCGCAATGGGCCTGCTCGGTGATAACCCAGGGCTCGTCGCCTCTATGCCAGTACTCTCCAGAGGAGCTCAACCTCAGACCGTCTTCTACCACCAGGGAGGTTTATCTGGATCAACGACCTGCGTAATTCTGCTGCCCGAGACTGAAACATGCATCATCACCATGACTAATACGCGTTCCATCGGCGATTCGGCCGACTGGATCGCCCAACTGCTACTGGGGCACATTACTGATCCTCCAGAAAAACACGATTTCTTACAGTTGGCTCGTGAATCGGCTCGAGGCCAGACTGCGCGTTATCCTCAAGCGAAGGAACCTTTGGACAAGGACAAACACCCTCAGATAGCGACAGGGCCTCTTGATGACTACATGGGCCGCTATCTCTGGAGCAGCGAGTGTTACTTCCTCGACATTCGTAGGAAAGGAGATGGGCTCCAGCTCCAGATTTGTGCCAGAGACGATCAAATGTACGACCTAACTCATTACCAGGCGGACGAGCTCACCTGGTTCATGACTTACGAGGAAGAGCAGAAGCGAGGCAGGTTTGTGCAGGGTCCCGAGGCGTATAGGCTTCGTTTCAAACGAAGTAGCAGAGGAGACATAGTTTCACTCACGTGGTGTGACATGGGTGGCGGACCTGGCGACTTCATAAAGACAGCGTAGACAGAAATGAAATGTTTGCCTGTTCAAGCCGTCCTTAGATAGATATTTTCTCACGCTGCCCCTAGGCGAAAAGGCATGATCCGATGCATCTGGGTTGCATGAAAGAATGATCCAATAACCCTATCATGTTCACTTTCCAGGGCTCCACGTGGGCTCCCACGATTGAGAGGATGATGAAAGGGTCCACCAGGGCAGTTGTGCGAATCCTTCGGATCCTGCCGTCGCCTGCACGCCAAAAATACCTCACTGGATCGAAAGCCCGCCAACTCTGATCTAATTTACAGTTGCACCTTATCTTGGCGCAAACCCACTTCGACACATGTCTCGTCAGGGACCGGCTATAGATTCCCATACGCACGTGATAGTTTACAGTCTCACAAATGCGGTTGAGTTTATGTCCGTCCACGCCGTCTTTGAGCCGTCAGCTTCTCGTCGCAGGTACGAAGTCAACTAGCATCCAGTTTAATGGTCGCGGAGGACAGATGGTCGAGGTATCGTCGGCACGAAGTGGGGCTGAGTAGAAGGATGTACCTGAATACGGAGTATCATAGAGTATCCTTTATTTGTAGACGTGAAATGTAAATGGTGACAGGCAGAAGCAAGTTTGTTCCTCGCCAGTGATAAATCGCACAACTGAATCTCCAACTCGAAAGCAAACTGCGACGATCGATTCAACCCAAGCGCGTGCTACCACGAGAAGAGAGTTACAGCAGCGAGTCACCATGTCAACCAAACCCGCCAGTGTCCTCGTCCACGGCGCGTGGCACTCACCTCAAGCATATATCAAGTTTACTACCGCACTCCAAGAGCGAGGCTTCGATGTTCACGCCCCTCAATTGCCCTCATGTACTGGGCCGCGTGCAGCAGGGACCAGTTCAATCAGAGACTCTCTAGTTGTCCGCCAGCTGGTCGAGCAGCTCGCCGACGGAGGCCGGACCATCATCGTAATCATGCACTCCTACGGCGGCGTAGTCGGCTGCAATGCGGTCGAAAACCTCGATGTGCAATCGCGTACGGCGCGAGGCAAGACCGGCGGCGTCGCACACTTGATCGCGATTGCAGCAATGATATACCCCAAGGGGTACAACGTCGTTGATATCGCACATGAAATGAACGACGAGAAGATCCTGACGACAATGGAAATCGCCGAGGACGGCAGCTCTTTCCTGAAAGATCCCAGAGCGACCTGCTACAATGACACCTCGGATGAAGAGGTAGAGGTTGTTCTTAAGACACTGGCACGCTGCGATGTACAAAGCATGGAAGAGAGAGTCCATTTTGAAGCGTGGAGGGTTCTGCCGTTAACTTACATTTTGGCCATAAAAGATGCCGCTCTGCCGCAATATCATCAGCAGTGTGTCCTGGATAAGTTGGAGGCGGCTGGGCATAAGGCCGACGTTAGGACATTCGACTCGGACCATTCCCCATTCCTTTCGAAGCTTCGGGAGACAGTACAGGTTGTCGAAGATGTGGCAGGAAAACTTTCAAGCAGATCATGAATTTGGGTTAGGGTTACGGAGATCGCGTGTCGTTGCGCACCCGGCGCGTCTCCCGAGCGAGACTTGAGCACAATGGATGGGCTTGAAAATATACATCCATCGCAAATACGTCAATTGCTCCCATTCATTCATTTAAATATCTGTCATAACTCGACTGATTGTCTATAAGCTATATGATATCCGCGACGAGTTTGATTAATGAGTGTGCGTCTTTTTGCCAGGAGGAGCACCCACGCTTATAGAAGCAGGCCATTGGTCTTGTCCCAGGGTGACACCACACCATCTTCACCTTCATCATGGACCCCCTTGTATGCACAATCGCCGCCGTCATGGCAGCAGACGCGATCGGCCAAGAGGAAAGCGGTCATGAAGGCCAGCGAATTGCTTCAAGCGACATTACCTCCGCTACCTACAGAGGAAGAACCAGCTTCCACCAAGCCAGATCGCAAATACCCACCTTTATTGCAGCAGCATCTCAACAATATGCGCGCATTCAGCGATTGTATTCTTCTGACGAGGGTCGGTGACTTTTACGAAATGTACTTTGATCAAGTAGAACAGTATGCTCCGCTGGTAAATTTGAAGAAAGCGCGCAAGCCCACAGCGTTGGGCGACGTCCCCATGGCTGGGTTCCAGCACACACAGCTCGAGCGCTACCTCAAGATGTTTGTTCAGGATCTCGGCAAACCAGTGGCCATCAGCGAGCAGATCAGAATCCCGGACGCGGAGCGTGTAGCTCGGAATGGAGGACCGCTGTTCGATCGTAAGGTCACTCGCGTCATCACAGCAGGAACGCTGATCGACGAGACTTTTATGGATCCATTCGATAACAACTACTTGCTCGCGATCCACTTTGCTGGCACCTTGCCAGATTTTCCTACCGATAATGCAAGCAGGGAACTGTATGAACGGCATCGACGAGGTACCAAAGTTGGGCTCAGCTGGGCAGATCTATCCAGTGGCGATTTCTTCACGCAATGTGCTGATCTTGCAACCTTGCCATCTTTGATCGCGAGGATCAATCCGAAGGAAATCGTTCTCGAGGCATCTTTGGAGGAGCAAGGTCCTCAGCGATTGCAGAAGCTTATGGGTGACAATTTGTACTCCATACACTTTCACCAAGCGGCGGACTTGTCGCAATCGATCTCTGACTGGACGCCGACGCTCGAGGCTGAAATGACGGAAGACGCTCAATCTGAATTCACGCCTGTAGAGATTACTGCTGGCAACCTCGTTCTCGATTACATCCGAGACAAGGTCCGGGACGCAAACATTCAACTTCAGCCTCCGGTGCGGAAGACCAACGAAGAGTACATGGCCATTGACAAGCAAAGTCTGCGCAATCTCGAAATTCGAAGCACGCTGCGTGATGGACTCATGCAAGGAAGTCTGCTGCATGCGGTCCGTCGTACCGTCACCAAGAGCGGCGCTCGCCTTTTAGGTCAGAGATTGGTCGCACCATCGACGTCCTTGAGCATTATCAATAATCGCCTAGACCTTGTGCAGGAATTCCTCGATCAAGAGGCTTTACGTGAAGACATCGTCGCTCTTCTCAAACGTACATCCGACACGTATCGTTTGTTACAGAAATTCTCCATTGGCAAAGGCGACGCAGATGATCTGTTGGGCTTGGCCAGGACCGTGGAGCTGATGCAGCAGGTGTCCGAGATCATTCACGATCACATCGTAACCAGGCTAAGTCAACCTGGATCCGAAGAGGAAGATGTAACAAGCGACATCGTTGACAATGAATACACTTTTCTTTGGGACATTCTGGCGCGCTTAGATCTAGAGAGGCCTCTTAAGGTCGCCCGCAATATTCAAGCAGCAATTGACGAAAAAGGCTTGAACCAGAAGCAGCTCGCAGAAGAGACATCGATGGCCGAAGCGGAATCGATGGCAGAAGAGGTCATTACTGCAGACGCGGTCGGAGAGAAGGTCCCCAAGCTATCGCGGCGTAAGAGTGCCACGCAATCTCTGTCAAGTTCAGGGATCCCACCGCTCGAGGACATCTGGATCATGCGAAGAAATGCATCGCCAACTCTCGATCGTGCTCATAGCGACCTCGATGAGTTGCTCGAGGCACGAGAGACACTTGCCACACAACTTCGCCAGACGACACAAACGGATGGCCTCACATTGCGATGGAGCGCAGGACTGGGCCATTTCTGCCACATCAAAAGCAAATCTGCTCGATCCATCGTGGCCGATCTTGACGGCGCCCGTGCTATCGGCTCCACTAAAGGCACAGTATCATTCTACCTCGCCGACTGGACGCACCTCGGCGCCCGTCTCGACGACGCCAAGCTCCGCATCCGCAGCGAGGAAGACCGTTTCTTCCGTAAGCTGCGCTCAGAAGTCCTCGAGAATCTGATGAGACTGCGGCGCAACGCCAGCGTCCTCGACGAGCTCGACGTCGCCTGTAGCTCCGCCAGCGTCGCGCAATCTCGAGATTGGACGCGACCCATCATCCACGGCGGCACCACACATAACATCATCGGCGGCCGCCACCCCACCGTCGACGTCGGCCTCCAAGACCAAGGCCGCTCCTTCACCACCAACGACTGCACGGTCGGCGACAACTCCGAATCAATCTACCTGATAACGGGGCCCAACATGGGCGGGAAAAGCACCTATCTCCGACAGAACGCCCTGATCACCATCCTCGCGCAGACCGGCCTCTTCGTGCCCGCGACCTACGCCTCCATCGGGCTGGTGGACAAACTCTTCAGCCGGGTGGGTTCGGCGGACAATCTGTACCAAGACCAATCGACGTTCATGGTAGAGATGCTGGAGACGGCCGAGATCTTGAAATCCGCGACGCCGCGATCGTTCGTCATCATGGACGAAGTCGGACGGGGGACGACGCCGGAGGACGGCGTGGCGGTGGGGTTCGCGTGTCTGCACCATCTGCACGAGGTCAGCAAGGCGAGGGTGCTGTTCGCCACGCATTTCCATAAATTGACCGATCTGACCCGGTCCTGGGGGGGCGTGGCGTGTTTCTGTACGGACGTGCAGGAGGAACGGAGCGGGAGGTCGGAGTCTGATGGCGAGGGGCGCGAGGGAGCAGAGGGTGGGAGGGGCGAAGGGGCGTGGACGTACCTTCATAAATTGAAGAGGGGCGTCAATCGGTCGTCGCATGCTTTGAAGGTGGCGCGCCTGGCGGGTCTCCCGGAGAGTGCGATCGAAGTGGCCGAGGGCATGCTGCGGGGCATGCAGGCGGAAGACGATGCTGAGAAGAGATGATGTGGGTTGGAAGACGGGGCCCTATGCGAGGGAGGGAGGGAGAGGGACACATATATGTGCTTTGATGTATATATTATTATATACTGTATCATTGGCATTGCAAGGCGTTCCTGTTTCAACGATAGATGCACTTCATTGGGAAGCCGATTGGAGAATTCGAATCCGTGGCTAGTTACAGTTTGACGACACTGGACTACAGCCTGCATCACGAACGACAAGGACCAGACGATCCCATCACCGTGAAATCATGAATCCGCGCCCAAAGTCCCCGCAATCTGCAAACACAAGTCCAGAATCGTCAGATGCTCATCACTGCCGTCCACCAACCGCTTGTCCGTCTCGGAGAAAGTCAACATGATGCGGTTCTTCGCCGCATCGCCGACCGTCTCGTCCAGCACCACGACCCGCTCGTAGAGCTGCGTGACAATCTGCGACGCCGACCACCCTTCCGCGACGAGGTCTTCCACGGCCTGTGCGATCGGCGCATAAGGCGGCGTCGCACCCTTGGACCTCGGCTGTAACGCAGTGAGGAGGCGCTCGATGGTCGAAGAGGGGATGACGCCGGCGATCTCCTCGATGCTGCGGACGGTGACGGCCGCCGGAGGAGGAGGCGCGGGGGCGGCGGCATCGACATCCATGGCGTCTTCGTCCTCGGGCTCGTCGACTGTCTTGCGTCTCCGCTTGCGCTCGGATTTGTCTGCGCCGGGCGCGACGGCGCTGACGAGCCTCGCGGCCGACTGCAGGAAGGTGATGGCTTTCCGGAGATCGCCCTCGCTGCAGCGGAGCAGGGTCTCGACGACGCCGTCTTCCAGGCGCACGCCTTCCAGCCGCGCGATGTCCTCGACGCGGCGCGAGGCGTTTCCCTCGTCGAGCGATTTGAAGCGGAATTTGCTGCATCGCGAGGCGAGCGGGTCGATGATGCGCGTGACGTAGTTGCAGACGAGGCAGAAGCGGGTAATCTTGCTGTACGTCTCCATGGTCCTGCGGAGGGCGGACTGGGCGTCTTGGGTCATGCTGTCCGCTTCGTCGAGGATGACGATCTTGTAGGGCGGGCAGGGGTATTTCTTGCGGTATTCGACGCCGGCCGGGCCGCTGGGTGGGTTGGAGAGTTGCTGCCGCGCGAAGTCTTTGACCTTTTCCCGCACGATGCTGATGCCGCGTTCGTCGGAGGCGTTGAGTTCGAGGACGCGGGTCTTGATGAGTTCGGGACCGAAAAGCTCCTTGGCGAGAGCGAGGACGGTGCTGGTTTTGCCGGTGCCGGGAGGTCCGTAAAATAGCATGTGAGGGAGGTTTGCGGCTTGGAGAGTCCGGCGGAGGACGGTGACGGTATGATCTTGTGCTGTAACATCGTCTAATGATTTTGGTCGGCTACATCTCAGTCAGAATCTGTTCGTCTCTAAAAATCCTGGCATATTTGCATACTATTTCTCCACCCAGGGCTGTAATCGGTTGTTCTCTTGTGAGGCATTTGACTTGGAGGACGAGGAGACCGCGGCGGCGGCAGCAGCTTGTCGTGCTCTGATGTCGAAGAAACTTGCCATATTTGCCGATCCCGATTCGCTTTGGTTGACAAGTCTTGTTATTGGTGGATTGCTGTGGGAATTTGTGCTTATGGCCGTCCGTGGCTGTAGATTTCGATGGACGACGCGTCGTGGAGGACGCGAGGTCAATTTCGTACAGATCGGGTTAGCGTTGGACGGGCCGCTCCTGAACCGCACAATATCGACAGGCTTTCACGACGTCGTCTATCATAGAAGCGCTTGGGGCAATTCCGGTGAGGACGACAAAGTTGCATATATAAAGTATGGTCACAATATGCCTATCACGCTCCCTTTACACAACTCCGATAATTAGATAGGAGCGACAAAATGAGGGACAAAATAACCGACATACAATCCAGCCATTCATTCAGCCCGTCTGTCATCATGCAGGTGATCATCGATCACAAAACGCAAATCTGTGAAGCAGATACACTAACTTCCTTCTTATTCTCATAATCATAGCACAGAAACATTATTGCAAAGAACGGCCGCACATTGGAGAGTAAAAAGGCGGCCCAGAAGAGTCGACATTTTCTTTCTCTCAAACCTTCGCCTTCTTCCCCTTCCTGCCCCCCTTCTCCCCGATGCTGGACAACTTCTCGGCCTCCTTCTGCACCTCCCTCAGGGCCTCGCCGGCCTTGCGTTTATTCCTCTCCATCTTGGCCGCGGATTTGACGGCCACGTTGACCGGCGCCCGCGGGCCCTTCCCGGACTGATGCGCGCGGACCTGTCGTTCGGCGTCCGCCCAGGCGGGCCCGTCGCCGTTCTCGACGGCGTAGCTCTCCAGCGGCAGGCTGTCGATCAGGGCGCGGTTGGCCTCCTGGCGGGCGCGGCGGTCGTCGGCGTCGAATTCGGCGCCGGCGGCGGCTAGGTCGGCGGTGAGGTCGGCGGCGACGGCGGTGGAGTCGATGGCGGAGGAGTGGGTGTGGAGAACGTGGTCGTCGTCTTCCTCGTCGGCGGCGGTTTGCCCGTTGTGGAGGGCGGTGGCGGAGGGCATGGTCTTTTCGATGGCCGATTCCTGCAGGGTGCGGAAATGCGTGCTGACTTTGCGGATGACCTTGACGAACATGGCGAGGAGCTGGCTCGTGCCGAGACCCAGTTCCTTCTCGAGGTCCTCGAGGACTTTTCGTTGGAGGCCGATGGCACAGAGGAGGGCCTTTTGGATGCCGGAGAGTTGCACGCCGTGGGCGTCCTTGATGCTGCCGGTGAAGAAGAGGTTGGCGAGCGTCGGCATGAGGTCGAGGATGACGTGGTAGTCGAGCATGTTGTTGGCGTAGGAGTCCAGGCGTTTGAGGTCGTAGGGCGTGAGGTAGGTGTCGAGATCGGTCTTGGTGAGCATCGCGGCTTGGTCGGAGGGTGGGAGGTAGGCGACGCCCATGTTGGCGGATTCGTCGATGGCCAGGGCCTGGACGCTGGTGAAGGCGCGGAATTGATAGCTGAGGAGGGAGATGAAGCGGCGGTGGAAATCCTTCGCGTACGCGCCCAGCCAGCTGGCATCGCTCGATCCGGAGTCCAGCGTGCGGAGCATGACGCAGGTGTGCTCGCCGGTGAGATCGTTGGCCGTCTGTCGCAGGTATACCGGGACGAATTCCGCCCTCTTCCAGAATTTATGCAGGGGTTGTGTGAGGCCATATGACACACCGAGGTAATCCAGCGCGGTGGGTTTGCGTTCGGATAGTCGAGCGAAAAGGGGCGGCATGGATTTGATATCTCGCACTTCGACTTTGTCCGTCGTCAGCGTCGCCTTTGCGAGGTCGGCGTCCGTCGCGCGAACCATTTCCATCTCATGCGATGACGCCGCCGCGCCGTTCTCGGAGAGATCGATATGCTTGCCCTCGAAGAACTCCGTCAGGAGCTGGATGGCGCGGGATCCATATCCCATGTTCGAATAGTCCGGGTTCGTCGCGATGCGCACCACGCGAGCGCCGCTCAAGCCTGCAAAGTCCGAATCCTGGAATTGCTGACTGACCAGCCACGGGATGAGATCTCCACCGGCACGCTGCCCTCGCGAGAGACTGTTGAGCACACTTTCCCGGCTGATCTGTCCTTCGAGTGTGATCTGCAACACGCAGAGAATTTCCGGAAGGCGATTGGCGTCTTCTTGAATCGGAGGGACGAGGACGAATAATTGATGCGCCGGTGCGTCAGACATCAACTGTAGATCGTTGGGGGTGTTTTTGTAGTGTGACGCCACGTAGAGCGCCATCATGTTCTGGAGGAACTTCTCGCTGACGGGATGGAACGAGAAGAGAGTGTCGCGGTTGACTTGGAGCAGCTGACATTGTGAGGGATGTGGTGTGCCTCCGATGTTTGAGCTCCGCGGTAGTGTCGCATCGAGACAGAGGAGTTTGTTGAGCCACTTTTCGACCCCGTCACCCTGTGCGTACCGAATGGGTTCGGATAATGTGATTTCCCGCAACGTTCGAGCGGATCGGCTGAGAAGTTCCTTGTCCGCGTTGGTGCCGTCCCCACGACTGGTCACCTTTCCTCCTGCTCCAGCCGATGAAGCACTCCGAGATTGCTCGCGCAGTTGTTGGATGAGCTTCAGCGAGAGCGATCTACCAGTTCCTTCGTACCCGTTGATCGTCGAAGCCATAAAGACCAAATACGGTCCTAATAGCTTCCTCACAAGCGGTAAAGGAATCGCAGCAGCTTCATCGATGACCAAGAGCTCCGCTTGACCAAGGGTATACGCGTCCTGGGGTTGAATATACTGGATGGTCTGACGATGTTGGCGATGGAGATTGACGCGCACGATGGCCTTGTTGAAATCCGGATTCGTCGATTGGATGATGGTGTAATCGGTATGATCGAGGTACCCCAGCGCGTCGAACCCCTTGAATACAAACTCGAATAGGGTCTTCAAATTCTCCGGCGAGGGCGACGTGATGAAGATATTACTATAGCCATGCGCCACCGCCGCCGCAATCGCCACACCCAGGGCCGCCGATTTACCTCGCCCTCGACCCGCGGTCAACGTGACTGTGCTCGCCAGCGTCTTCTCCGCAATCGCGTCGACGAAGGTCAACAACGCCTTGGCCTGGTCCACCGTCCGGGCGAGTTTCACCAACGAACCGACCGGTTCCTTCTCCGAGGCCGTCTCCTTGATGTCTTCCAGCTCCTGCCTCGTCTTGGACACTCCCGTCTCGCCCTCCTCGATTTGCTTCTCCACGACGAATTTCCCGCCGGAGATGGGGAGCACGTTCATCTCGTCGTCCACGACCAGACACGACTCGCAGCTGCCGAGCGAAAGGATGAAGCGCTCATTGAACCTCGCGACCACATCGTCGTGCGCCTCGGTCCGGTACCTCGAATGGATGTCCATCGACAGCGTATACAGCTGCTTGAGACTGTTCATGCTCTTCAAGAGCAGCAAGACCAAGCCGCCGCCCTCCACCGTCTCGATCGTCCTGGCGAGGAGGTTCGGCGTGAGCGCCTCGAAGTCCTGCAGGATGCACATGCCGAAGGTGTTTCCCAGGATCTTCTCCGTCTCCTTGTAGTAGACGTAGCGGATGTTCTGCGTGCTGACGAAGAGTTCGAAGGGGTCCTCCGTGTCGGCCTCGCGCGCGCCCCGTTTGATCTCCTTGCGGAGCTTCTTCTCCCGCTTTTGCCGGTGGCTGCTGAAGCCCAGCAGTTTGGTCTTGTAGGCCCAGAGCACGCTCTTGTTGAGTTTGATGTCGAGGTTGAGGAGGATGTGGTAGAGGTTGACGATAACGTCCTTTTGCCGGTCGCCGACGATCACGAAGAAGCTGCGTTTCTTTTCCAGCATGCCATTTCGGATCAGCGCGGGGATGCGCGCGTCGATGGCCTTTTTCGGCATATTGGGCGGCTGAAGTTGGGGTTTCTGTGGGTGTGAGGCTGTATGTGTTGTGCCGAGTGGGCGGGCGCGCGAATGGGCACAGTCGAGTCGCGGTGTTTCTCTTCAAGGTGCTGTTGAATCAGCTCTAGGTTCCATTCTGGAGCTCCGGCGGTTGTCTGTTCGAAATCAAGGTCGCTGCAAAAAGGCGATGAGCTGTGTTGAGAACTTGACCTGCAACGGGCCGTGTTGGTCTTTGAGCTTCGGAATAAGTAGCAAAGAGTGAGCACGACGAGTAGTGAACTTTTTTTTCTCTACCCCAGATTTCGGCAACGGGACAAAGCTTTGGATTTCTCAGTTCGGCATTTGAACGCCGCCGCCGCTACGCGAAGATACAAGTTCGGTCCGCAAGTCCCGATAAGACGCTTGACCCGATTGGGCGACTCTGCGACATGAACGATATCCGTAGAGTGTGTGACGGAGTGAGGTGCTGCTTCGTATGACTCTCGCAGAATACAGGATGTGTTGATAAAGCAATAACATCTGAGAGCATCCCTATAGAGATTCCATATAGCTAATTCCATTCGACGGGTCACAGATGACCGCCACTTTAGGAGACGAAATTGTTCACATTATGGTTTGTTGAATGAGCCGTATTCATGATCCATTCCGCCGAAGAGTAGAGTAGAGAGTTCAATAATGACAAAACTACCAACAGCGATCCGAGGCATGAATGTGTGTGTGCATGTGGGTATATAGTACAAGTGGCCGCCCCGATGTCTCGAAAAAGGAAGATCCCGCCGACCGATATCGAGGGACGAAAAATAAATAAAAGAGCCACAAACATCGATGCCTCGCTTTTATTTTCCCTCATGTTGGAAAGAAACAACTTGTTGGAGAGTGGTCGTCTCTCAAAGGACCAACTCAAACGAGAAAAGCCAAATGCAGCATCGCCAGACAACCCAGGATAATCAGAACAGAACAAGAACGCTCACTTTTGCTTTTTTGTCGGTCGGTCGATCGCTTGGAGAAAAACAGTCGGGAAAAATCAAAAATCGCTCAGAAAACTTTTTTGGGTCCGTGACACGGATCGCATGCGCCAAAATGGAAAATGGAAAAATCTTTTGGATCCCTTCTCATCATCGCAGAATGTTCTTTCTTTTTTCTCAAAAATCATCATTAGTCGTCAGAAAGACAGCGCCCGGGAGGAGGAAGAAGAGGATGAAGGAGACGAAGGAGAAGAAGTTGCCGGTGCTCAGAGAGAAATCCAGCCCTTCTCCACGGCCGCGAAGAATTCCTCTTCGGTGACAACCTCCCAGGGCCCATCGTTCTTGCCATAAGTGCCCGAAGCGCCGTAGGGACCCTTGGTGCTCGACTCGTGACGACCGGGCCATTGACCCTGGGAGGAAATCTGCGCCAGGACGAAATCCCCGTGGACGACGCGCTTCTCAGGATCGAAGATGCAGTGGTCGAAGAAGAGCTCGAGGGAGAGGCGGCCGCGCAGACGGGCGCGTTCGGCGATGAGGGTGCGGGCGGAGGACAGTATGCGGCGGAGTTCGGCAGCGCGCGGGGCGCTGCCGGCGGGGCCTTCGGCGCAGGAGCACAGATTGCTAGTGCGGACTTGGCATTCGCCTGTCCAGGCGACGTTCGTGTTGGTGAAGAATTCGTGGCAGAGGTAGGGGACGCTGAGGGAGAGGTCGCGCATGCGGGGCAGGCTGCTGATGGTGGCGCAGAGGTGTTGGTCGGCAGGGAGATTGCCCGGGTGCGGGTGAAAGAAGCCGTCGGAGGAGCGGGGGCTGTGTTCTAGGACCTGGAGGGTCGAACGAGAGGCGTTGGCGAGGGTGAGGAGGCCGGCGAGGGTGGTGGTGCTGTTGTTGGAGATGTCGATGGATTCGAGCCCGGTGGCAGTGCGGGCGATCAGGGCGAGGTCCTGGTCATTGATGGGTTTGGTGAGGGTGTTACCGAAGATCTTTAGGCGCTTGAGTTGGCTGAAGTCCACCATTGGATCTTCCAAAGGGCTGATCTCTGCCGTTTCTTGTTCGAGAGCTTCGGCCTTGTAAGCACGAAGACACACACTCTGCAGCTCCAGAGAGTGAAGTGGAGAAGATGTGTCTGCCTTCAACAGCTTGCGCCACTCCTGTGGAGTGCCTCGTCGAAGGATCGTCCAAGGTGCACTCAAGAATCGCAACTCTGAGCATTCGGCAACAATCGACATGATTTGCTTGTCAGTCTTGGCCAGGTGCAATCCGTTGAACCACAATCGTCGGATGTTCGATCCGATGGAAGGGTGTGTCATCAAGAGCTTGTCGGTGACCTGAATGCTGGTGTGTCCGGGACACCAAACGACATGACCGAGCTGTCGAGGCATGATTTCGTAGGAGCTGTATTGCTTGATGTGTCGGGGAAGCTCCAGCCAGCGTTCCTCACCACGCCACATCTGAATCATCAAATGCTCGAGGGAGTACTTCAATCCCCAAGCGTGCCATGATGCGCACACTTGACGGATAGCGGACGAGCTGTGCCATCGCAAGTCTTGTGTGCTGTGATAGCCTCGAACATATTTTGCCGGTCGAGCTTTGTGAGGCTCCAACAGGGACGTAGCAGACACTTCGGTCAGGCCGTATGAGAAGGTCGGTCCATCTGCTTCGTTTGCCTTGGCGGCATAGAAGAGGATTTGGGAGAGGACTTCTTCGGGAAGACAGGTGATGTGCATGGTATTATAGTCTGGTGATCGTCGTCGTCGTTGCAGTGCAGTGTGATGTGGTGAAGAGATAAGAGACCGCGAGGATTAGGTATTACGAGAGATGAATGTGTCAACGGGGAGGATGTGAATGGACAGAGATAAGGGAAGCGGCTCTAAATAGTCACGATGATGGACGGATGGATCATGGCGGGAGAGGGATCCGCATGATTCGGCAAGTACAAAGAACCAACACCCTCGACCAACCTTTCTCGATGAAAGTATAAACCCCGGCGACGATGGTACCTACCTTGCCTACTCTCCCGCATCGGTCCGTTGTGTTCGAGGGAGTATGCGTGTCCGACACACGCACGGATTCGTTTGACGGCTCGTTGGTCATTCACCCTTCACCCGGGAGAACAGAGCGAGCGCCGTTTGCTTAGCGACATTGGGGAGGAGCGAAAATCTCCTCATTCCTGCTCGGGATATGCGTGTGTAGCGTGCCACGTATGGACGAGTGACCGGGAGAAAAACAAGACGAGATCACGATGTCGTGTCGCCATGGCACGGTTCGGACTGGCAGGCAGGCGGGCAGGCAGGCAGGCAGGTCACGTTGTCCCATCGGCGAGTTGTGTATGGACGAGCGGAAACCCACATTGATGAGACGAGACCGGACCAACATAGAGGAGACGAGTGGATGGAACCGTGCGGATGGAGGGTGGAACCAATGCCAAGAGAGATCGAGGGAGCGCGTTGTTAGACAAGCAAGGCAAGAGTAAGAGAAAACTCAAGGGCGTCTTGGCGGAGACTGTGATAGACGAGGAGTCACGACGGCCGGTGTGTGTGTGTATGTGTGTGTGCGCGTGTGTGTGTGCGGATGTATGTGTCGAAGAGTGAGGGAAAGGCGGCGGAGCGATAGAGCCCTGGAGCGATGGAGTGAACTGACGACGGCGATGACAAGGACGGACGTTGGAAATTGATGAGAGTGTCGGACGTGTGACACGTGGAGTGGAAAGGATGCGTCACTGATCAGAGAGGCGGCAGGCGATTAGCAAATCTGGGGGTAACAGAAACTGAAACTGCAAAGAAAAAACGGCCTGAACGTCGGCGGGGGAAAAGCTTCCGATGCAGCAAAACGTTGGCCCGAACAAAGCCAGCAAACCGTAACCCGTGGCCTTCCTGATCACATGGTCACGATGGCATATGCTCGGTATGATGTACCGTACTCTAATTATTGACTATCTGGTAATAAGAATCAGAAGAGGAAAGTGTTTATTAACAACAATTGACCGCAATCCGATCCCGGTTCAGTTCTACTGTTCACGCTCCAGCCGGGACACGCCCTCCTCTCTCTCTTTCTCTCTACCGACTGTTCCGTACGGCCTCTACGATATAGAAAGTATGTACAACCATCTCATCAGTCCAACACATATATACAACCATCCTGGCGTGAATGTATGACTGTCGATGATTCCAGCATTCAAAGATGGTGGTGGTGCCGGTGGTGCTGGTGGATGCTGGGCGGCTACGTCCCTGACACTAAACGGCAAGCGTCAAAAAGATTGCATAATGACTACTGTACGTACTGTACTGTAGTAACTGTACAAGCCGACCTGGATGGACGTCCGGATCCAATACCTACCCGCATCGATCACGTAGTGCCACGACGACAATGATGAGATTTATTGCCAAGACCACGACGTTTTCTCATTCCCTCCCCTCTCTCTCTCTGCCCTCGACCCCGTGTTGTCCTGCCTGCAGCTTTGGCGGCGACCAGGGATGGACTTACTCTATACTGCATAGAATGGCGACATGACTGTTTCTCTTCCGTGGCAGAGTGGATCCCTATGTGATAATAATATGACGGGAGTGAAAGAAAAGAAATCTCTGCATGGTCATTCATCATGGTTGATCAATCAATCCGCGTCATCATCATCATTGTTTTTTTCGTCATCGTCGTTGGTTTGCCTGGGGGTCCTCGGATGGAAAGCGGCAGCATCAGCAGCATCAGCAGCAGCAGCAGCGGCAAACCATGGCAAACTCCATCAATAGGAGACGATGAGGTGCACTGTGTGCTGGTCCTCCCATGACTCTCTCTCTCTGGCCACCATTCGACAACACATCAAATTACCTTCTCTCCTCGTCAATCAGGTGACAGATCTACACGAACACTGCCGGGCAAACGACTCGTCGAAAACAGTCTGAGCTCAGCAATGGCCAACGTGACCTCCCGAGACAACGAATCGCGCGCGAGCGGAGAGGAGAGGAGAGGAGAAAAGAGGCGTAAAGGACTCGGTGAAGATGACACGCGAACGGATATTAGTATCATTGGGACACTACTACTCGAGGTTGTCCACGAGGTGCAGGACATTTGCCGCCGCCGCCGCCACTGCCCGTCGACACAGTGATAATCAGCCGAAAACCCCTGTTCTCCGATGGGCGCAGCGGCGGCGCAAATCCCCCAGGAAAACCAAACGCTTTAAATTCTTAGGTGGTTATTATTACGCCGATGGCAAGCGCATTCCCCCTCCCCGCCTTGGCTGGGAAAGACAGACATCAGGCGAAAGGTCACATGCAGTTTGATGGGATGGTGTTATTAACTAACTAATGACTGTTGGGAGAGCCGACGACCATCTCGACGAGTCGTCCGCTTTTCTTTCATTAACTAGTAGATCAATTAGTAGATGTAAGTCAGGTACGGTATAGACATGTTCATCATGTGCTGTATACGAGATCTGGAAGCTGAGGTTTTGCCCAGGTTGGTAGTGTAGAGTAGACCGAGAGGGGGAGGCAGAGAAGTAGGGTCAGACCTGGGCGGGAACCATAACTGCCATCCAGGAAGAGAGAAAGAACGAAACGCTTCGTTCTCGATCATCAATTCTTTCTCAGCAAGTCATATGACCACGATTCTCCGTGACCTAGCGACCATCATCATCATCATCATCATCATAGCTTGAATATTCTTATATGATTGACTCATCGTTCCAATTCGTCAAGGGTCTTGGTTGCTTGCCCAAGGAGAGTGCATTGGCATCGCATTGGCGAAATCGCATTGATCGCCCTTGGCGTTTTCTTGGGGGGGGGATTCCGGCCGGGATCTGGCTGGCGGACTGGCTGGCGGGCTTGTCAGATGACTCTGCGTGCAAAACTGTTGCCCTGGCATTGGATCCGTTTGCGATCAATTTGACGGCATGACTTCTGCTGCTGGGTCGAATTCATACCCGGTGCTGAAGAAACAAGAGCGAGTACGAGAAAGTAGAAGTTGCATCGAGCTGGCAGTGACATCGGGATACTGGAACGTTATCGTGATTTTTTTTATAAATTTCATTTTGAAAGCAAAATGAAGTGAGGAAACATAGGAGTCCTGCAATGCGACATAATTCCCACTGTTTAGAGAAATGAATTGTTGTGGATTTAATAGGAATGGGTAATAAGGCGATGGGACTTGGACTATTCCTCCGCTTCTCAGTTTGTCCTGGTTGGAGAACTTCTGCAGATGCTAAAGCTCCTTGATGGGAACGTGGCATGATGGCCAGAACGACTCTCATGCGAAAGGATGGCGACACATGTCTCTTGGGCATCTCCCGCAATGCCTGGATTTCTATCGAGGCTGGAGAATGTCTGCGAGATTTCTCTGCAGCGAGACCTCTTCATGCTTACGGCAATCGTCCCTTGATCTCTCGCCTCCGGATTGGGCGGGCGCTCAATTGGGAGCATTCCCACCAGCAGTAGATCACACCTCGTCCTATTCATACTCTGCCATGTCAAGTTTCTTCAGGCCTCAAAATGTGCAATCGGATCATTTGAGCCGTTTTACGCCTTCTTCAATTCTTCCTCCTCCAACTCCTTCATGAACTCCGATTGGATTCCTGCTTTCCTCGCTGCCCACCATGCGATGTCCGCCTCCTTCTTATCCTTCAATTCGAAAATCCGCTCACGGAGCAAGTTGTGCTGGTTGAATTCGTTGGCCGATTGGAAGATGACCTGGCCCCAGCCGGGAACGAGCGCTTCCGCCTGTGTAGGAAAAAGAGACTTTGATCAGTATTCGCTTGCGAAAAAAGATGACACGCCATTCGCGTCTTTCCACATAGTGGGTTTGAAAATGCCGTGGAAGATGTTCTTCTTACCTCTTGTGCAACATCCTTCACCTCCGCCTCCATCTCCTGTTCCGCCCGCTGGAATCGCTGCCACAGCTCATCGCCCACCGAACCCCTCTGGACCAAATTCTGCAACGCCTGTTTCGACCCTCGCAACTGGACGATCCGACGGATATCCTCCAGCGCCCGGCGCAACAGCGCTGCCTTCAGTAATGAATCCGGGACCTGGGTGATCTTCTGCTCGCTCTCGCTGCTGGCCTCGGCCGGGTCGATGTGGAGCAGGCTGAGATAGAGGTCGCGCGCCCGGTGGGGAGGGAACCAACTTTCGAGTTGCGCGGCTTTGGCGATTTGTCTTCTCCGGTAGAGCGAGGAGAAGGTGGCGAGACTGCCGATGAGGATCGTCAGGTAGAGGACGGGGAGGAGGAGGCCGCTCCAGAAACTCTTCGGCGTGCCGTTGGATGCGAAGCCCTCGAATGTGCCATTGGTGGAGTTGGTGAAGTTGGTGGTGTTGTCCATGGTGAGAGTTTGGGCGCCCGAGCGCGACGGTTTTCGCGAATTGTGGTCAGACGAGTGCTGTTGATGTTTAGCAGGCCGGGATCGAGGGTGTTCAATCTGCTGGCGGATATGCGCTGGAAATGTCGGATGTGGTTGTGTGAATTCCACAAGGCCGTGATGATTTACAACAGTACAGTAACCAGGTGCATGCGCACAACACACAGCTGTCCTCAAATTTCGGCCCACCCCTCGCGTCACAATTCTCAGCCCCGAATTATTGTCACTTGCCGAGAAAGCGCAAGTCTATTCACGACGATCCGGGGTCCCTCTCCCATCAATTCAATTTCCTCCTGAGCACCTGCGCATTTTCAGAGGCTCTGCTGTTTTGCGGGCGCACCCGTGTGGGGATGACGTAAGTTAAAGTCTCGCAGCTTCTGTCATCACCGCTGTAGACAGAACGCGGACACAGCTGTTGTTTGGACACGCCACCGTCGAGGGAGCCTAATGTAGGGAGAGCTTCACATGCGGAAAAGAAGTACAGCACGACTTGCTATTCAGCTTCAAGTTGTACCTGCTTGTGATTTCAGGTGACTTTCACAGTTGACGCATCGGCTGCATCGCTCTCCACGCCACTTGCACGTGTGCCGTGTCGATCATCAAGCATCCATCTTGTCTGCTTGATTGTTCTCACACGGCCACATACACCATCACGCCGTCACGACTCTCACGACTGAACATCCTACATAGTGCTCTTTCCTATCGGCGTTTTCGCATGATCACAGACAGCCGATCATGATCCTCAGATTCCAAAGCCGCAATGGCCAATTCCGGTTGACACTCGACGCCGATGCCGAAGTGGCTGCGACACTTCCCGCTGTGCTCGAGCATTTACCCAAAGACACCATCTCATCGTCCGTCACAATCAGTCCGAAGCCTCACGGTGCAGAATCCAGGCCAATCGAAGCTCTGCAAGGGATCACTTTTGCCCGGTTAGGACTGAAGTAAGGCTTCACTAAACATATTGCAACGATCAAGAGCTGACACGCGACAGGCATGGTACCCAAATCTTCCTCGACTACAAGGAAGGATCGGCGGCAGATACACAGAGTGTCTCGATTGCACCATCAGAGTCTGCTCGCCGACTCAACGGACGCGATGTCGCCCCAGAAGACGATGCATCGAGTGTAGCAATTCCGAGTGTGCAAGCACGTGCGTTGATAAAGAATCCTTGGGACTCAGTGAAGCAATCGGAGCTTGATGACAGGCTTGACAAGCTGGACGGCAAGATCACGCGGAGAAAAGATGAAAAAATGTGCAGGCATGGACCCAAGGGCATGTGTGACTACTGTATGCCACTCGAGCCATACAACAAAGAATACCTGGAAGAGAAGAAAGTCAAGCACCTGTCATATCACTCATACCTCCGCAAGATCAACCACGGAAAGAACAAATATCAATCGGGCACTTCCTACATGCCGCCGCTCAGCGAGCCATACTTTCGCGTCAACCCGGAATGCCCAAGTGGGCATCCTCCATTCCCAGCACAGATTTGCTCCAAGTGTCAACCTTCATCCATCACGTTACAGCAACAAGAATACCGCATGGTCGATCATGTCGAATTTGCCCACTCCGAGATTGTCAACAAGTTTTTAAACTTCTGGCGCCAGTCCGGCACTCAGCGGATCGGTTTCCTTTACGGTCACTACGAGGCGTACGAAGAAGTGCCTCTCGGCACCAAAGCAGTCGTTGAGGCAATCTACGAACCGCCACAAGTGAACGAGCTTGATGGTGTCACCCTCAGCCCTTGGACAAACGAGGCGTCTGTCGAGGAGCTGTCATCCATGTGCGGTCTACAGCGCGTCGGGGTCATCTTTACTGATCTGATACGAACAGACGACCCGGAGAAGCCAGCAGTATGCAGACGTCATGTCGATTCATATTTCCTTTCGTCATTAGAGATCATCTTTGCGTCTCAATATCAGGCAAAATATCCCCGGCCTTCCAAATGGAGTGAGACTGGACAGTTTGGCAGCAACTTCGTCACTTGCGTGGTGTCCGGCGATGAGACGAATCAGATCACCATCTCAGCGTATCAAGCAAGCAATGCCGCGGTGGAGATGGTGCGTGCCGACATCATCGAAGCATCGGCTGAACCCAGTGTGGTGATGGTCCAGGATGAGGATGAGAATCTTGCTATCGGCCGTCGGAGATATATCCCAGAAGTTTTCTACAGCAAGATCAACGAGTACGGACACAAGGTGCAAGTCAATGCCAAACCTTCGTTCCCAGCGGAGTACCTACTCGTCACCCTCACGCACGGATTCCCCAACGAGTCACACCAAAAGTTCGTCAAGAACGATTTCGCCATTGAGAATCGGGACGCACTCGGAGAATTACAAGAGCCAAGAGATCTTCAGAAGCAGCTCAAGGCTGGTGCGAATCGTGTCGCCTTGGAGACATCGCAGGGCGTGCTTTCAGTGTCGGACTTCCACCTACTAACTTTCATTCATGGCCTCAACATCCTCAGCGTGGTAAGTTTAAGTTACCCCGTCGCATCAGCCCACATGGGTGAGACGATTTGCTAATCATCACTTTACTTTTTTCAGGAGGAAACAAGACTTCTCTGCAACGTCGCCACATCACACGATGCCTCACTAGGCGGCACGCTCATGCAAACACCAGGTTGGGCCACTCTTGAAACAATCCTGCAGCAGATGTAGACGTCGTCTTTTTTTCCTTCGCGGCTGTTGCTGCGGCCGCCGTCGTCAGCGGGCGTGCGTACACACATCCTCTCTTTCCCCCCTTTTCCTAGACGTCGCTTCACATTCTGTGTGCGCCATTGCCCTCGTCACGGAATTCAAAAGGTCCATGTGTCCCATTCTGATCATTTCGTTTTCTCTCTTCTAGATTGGCAGTCGTTCCTCGCCATCCTCAGTGAACTCAGTGACAGACCTGCTAAGAGAGGACGTGACGAAGCCGACGATACTTTGGGATTGGCAAAACGCGTGCGCGGATTCAACTTTTGAGCATCAACTCCCTCATTGTCAGCAGCAACATCACTATCGGGGGTTTACGTCCCACATCCCACGATTCGAAAATGAGCATCTCCCACACAGACACCCAGCATTAAAGATACCCAACATCTCAACTGCATAATTCACAGTCGCGCACAAAGATTGTTTCGGAGGTGTATCATTATTTTTTTTCCTTCCTCGTTCGTGGTCATGCCAAGCAGCAAAGACCTAAGATGGAGAGAAGATGGCGTGAGCTAGACTATTCGCTAACCACGGAGGGATTCCCAAGACAATACAAGACTTTACTGAATGCTTTCTCCGATCTCTAGACCAATCTTGCCAATAGTCCTTCCACTCTCAATCTTCTCGTGAGCCTTGATCAAACTCTGCACCGAGAGCACATCCGACTCCCTCATGAGCGAAAGCAGGACCCCGTCGTCGTACAATTTCGCCGCTCTGTTGAGTATGTCCCCCTGCGACTCCAATCCGTACTTGTACTCCGGCTTCGAAAGGACCACCTCCCAATGGAAACTCAACTGCTTCATGAACGCCTCCATCGAATGCATGCCATCCAACCTCTCGCCCACCACCTCGACAATACTTCCAATCTTCCCCTTGGGACTCGCCACATCCACGGCCACAGACATGTACGGGTTCGTCCCATGGCAGATGAAGATATACTCCACGCTCTCGATCCCGACCTTCTCCTTCAACTGCCTCTTGAGATCCTCCCGGTGCGAAATGACATGGGTCGCGCCCATCCGCCGCACATGCTCCTCCGTCTCGGGCCGACTCGCCGTGACGACCACCCTGCCCAACCCAAAGACCCTCCTCGCGAGCTGCGTCGCCGCCGACCCGACCCCGCCCGCGCCGTTGATGATGAGAATGCTCTTGCCCCCCTGCGTCTGCCTCGCCTCATCATTTCCAATGGCCCCCTGCGCCACCAGCCCGAAATGCTCCTCCAGCAGCTCCCACGCCGTCAACGTCACGAGCGGCACACACGCGGCCTCCGCCCAGCCCAGACACCGCGGCTTCCTCGCGACGACCCGATGCTCGACGAGGGCATACTGCGCATTAGTCCCCTGCCGGCCCAGGGCGCCGCAGAAGTACACCTCGTCGCCGACATCGAACCCTCGCACCGAGGAGCCGAGGGCTTCGACGATTCCTGCTCCGTCGAACCCGGTGATTTCCGACGACGACGCGAAGGCCCCCGAGCGGACTTTCGTATCGATCGGGTTGATCGCGCAGGCGCGCAGTTGGATGAGGAGGTCGGTCGGCCCCGGGGTGGGCTTGGGCAGCGTGGTGAGTTCCAGACTGGAGGCGGCGGGGCCGCCGCCGGGGAGGAAGCGGATCGCTTGTTGATGGGTCGGGGAGGACATGTTGTTGTTATTGTTTTTTGGAACCGCCTCGCTGGTTTGGGAGTGGGAGTTTTTCGGGTTCTGCTCGGTGGTTTATGGGAATTACCTTGTACGTATTTCTTTTGGAAAAAGATCGTTTCTTCTTCTTCTTTTTGCTCTTACTTCATGGATATATGCTTCTTGAGATCGGCGGAGCTTTTTCCACTCTCCCCCAATGGCCCTGCTTTGGACTCCAGTGGACGTATGACGTCATGATCTCGTGTTTTTCGTGACATGTGTCTGAGGGAGTCGGGCTCGACGTCCAATGGTTTATCAGTCTATCAATTTCGTCGTCTACAGAGACGAATCGACAAGTGGAATGTCCCAGACGGGATCACAGACGCTGAAATTATCCATAAACCGATCCATGGTCTGATCTAATCCATATCCAATCATTCGTAACCCTTTCCATGCTGGAGCCTCGTGACGACCCTCGACCCGTCCTTGACAGCGAATGCTGCGTAGCCGGTTTCCGCCTGGGGCCGCACGTCTCCAAACAGCACCACCGCATCCTTGAGCGAGCGAGATCTCAGGGTTGCGTCTTCCAGCGACGGAGATGTCGGAAGGTCGACGCATTTGCTGTCTTTCAGCAGCGTGCCGAAGGAATCCAGAAGGTCGGGTCCTCGACGGATGAACTTGAGCAGAAATGAAGCGAGGGCCAGAACTAGGGAAGCGTCGAAGCTACTAACGCGACAGCTAGCCACCCTGTGTTGCAAGTGATCGCCTCGAACGGCAGGCTCATGATGCCCTCATGGGAGTCGTTGTTGAAACCCTCCAGCAGCACGCAAGGGCTGATGTCACAGCCGGTCTTGGTGCTGTTGAATTTGCCCAGGACGGCGTATGGGGCGGTGCTATGAATCCAATATATGTTGAGCGACTAGCTCATCCGATGTGAGAACGAAGCATCGCCGATCTCCCACAGGACTGAATTCCCATTTGCAGCTGCCGATGTGGCACCCTGACCGAGAAGGTCAAAGAGGTAAGACTCTATGGCATTCGTACCGCAGTTAGAGAGAGGACTAGCGCACGGGGATTTTGGCTTCGTGGCCGTTGCAGAATGAGCGTAGAGTTTCCCTTTATCGCTCCCCCAGAACATTCAGTTATCGTTATATTTTCCTAGGCTTTGTCCTCCGAAGAGATAAATTGTCCGGGAGAGACCCCGTGAATGACCTTCCAAAATTTCCCAGCGCGAGGATGAGGATGGCACTACAATTGGTCCCGTTACATCTGAACTTGACCGTGACCAATTATATTTTCACGCGACAACGTCTTTGCGTTGATGGCTCTGTCGGTCTTGATACACGGGCGGCCGTCTCTATCGCGATTGAGTAGAAGTCGAATACAGCTGCATCCCCTCATGAGATTAGTAAAAGGCCCTATACGGATGGGATAGGTGAAGTTGTAATTGGCACCACTCCAACTGGTACCGGTATTGACGCTCGCGCTGCCGCCGGAATTTCCAGCATTGTAGGCTCGGTTGCTGGCGAGGCCTGTGAGATTGCAAGATGCGATTAGATACGATGTGTCCATGTCGAAGGAAGAGATCACGTTGCTAGGCAAGTCGTCTATTGAAACACCAGGGATGAAACTCCACGAGTCCGCTGACGGCTCTCAAAGCTCTGACCAATTCGTATTCGCCAGGCTGGAGCTGTCGATGAAGGGTATTCTGATATTCCGATTTAGGTCTTGTACGATTAGGTTATAACTTTCCGAGAAGATTCAAGATGCCGAAAAGAAGGAATGAAGGAGTTGACAGGCATCAGCACGCCTGCTCTCCTCTTGTTCACGTGAAGGGGCCAATGGAGAGAAGAGCGAAAGGTAGCTGTAAATCTGAGGCTTGAAGTCGTGTGATATCTTGGTCGAGATGACTCGGAAGGAAGCCCAGCCTCCGAGGAGCGACATTACCCATAAAATGATCAAGATGGGCGTGAACTAGTGAAAGGTCCTAAAGGCCATCGGCGCGTAGTCCCAGCACTGAAAACAGTGCGACTGTTCAGCGAGCATTCCGTGCTGATGGACCGTGGCGCCACGCTCAAGTTCGACAATCACCACTACACGAAGGAACCTCGCCGGGATTACGGCGAACAACATCGGGAATATAGACCGTCCCTACGCCCTGCTAGCGTCAGCACACGGTGCTTCACTTTACAACGTTTGAAATACTACGTACCTATGTTCGAGCCTACGATAGATTACGACTCAAAGGTGGATGGGCGTGATTGCCACGGCTGACAAAAACTATACCAGCGAACGCGATGAAGCATACCAAGGCTACGAGGTCGCTCCTGGTCGCAAGTTTGCATTCGCTTGTAATTCCAGAAGTCTTGCGCAGTGCCGCGGACAAGGAAGTCGATAGGTGTAGACAGACGATACCTATATACTATGATTATCTAGCCTACGGCCAACTGCCTAGCGAATTAGGTACCTTATTCTACTTTTCTATCATATCACGTATATTCCAATAGCAGATACACGAACTTGCCTCTTGGCCTATAATATCTTCGTCGGGTATTCGAGCCGCAAATGCGAGACCGGTCTAGGTAGTGACCGCGCGTGCTTAGTCTTGATAGCTTCGGAACTAACGAGACCCTCGAGACCCTCGAGATCATTGAGTTCTCGTTTCGGCATCGAATTCCACTTAGCTACTTAAGTTTCCACTCACTATATCTCTTGCAGCCAGTAAAACCCCAACATTTAGTCTAGCTAAGGCAGCTTATCGTGACAGTACCGGGACATTCCAGGGAGAATACAATTCGGATCAAAGATTATTGCTTTTCATTGTCGTTTCTTGGTTATAGCTTCGCGCATCATGTTGGACAAATATTGCGTTACCCAAGTTGGTGCGTCGCAGAATGGATCGATCGCAAGGTGTGCTTGACCTGGACCGCTGATCTTCAATTTCAGATCTTAGTACACAGCAAAATCATGGACTCCGACAGATGTCGTGGTCTAAATGGGTAACGATTGATCTCCCGCAAGGCTGTGTCTAGCGGGCTGATACACGTCTAGGTCTCCGAAGCAGTTGAGTATCAGGTCGTGTATGTGGCTAATGATAACGTCCATCGCTGTTAGCAGTGCTGAACCGAGATAAGATTTGCCTCCACCGACTCGCTACTCAATCTACCTATCGTCACGCAAGAGCGGGTTCTGAGCAGGCTTGGCCTTCCGAGATTTCTGCTGGAGCAGACGTGCTTGGAGTCGAATGGCTTCGCCGGACACGATGTCCAGCATGATGCAGAAGGGCAGGTACATGCTTACAGTGAGCGTCTACACTGCTGACGATCGCCGCTTGTCGAGAACAATTTTTAAACATTCCTATATTAGTGCACTGGTGTCGGTTCATTATCAAACAGACGTTCGAAAGTCTATCGCCAAAGAAGACCTTCACCCCTTACGTTCCGCATGACAGCAAAGATGGTGGTCATTCCCGCGCGCAATCCGATCTGCATGGACCACAGACCATCCAATATGGCTGGGAATGGCACAAGATGTGGTTCTTCACTCGCTGGGAATCATCGAGCGCGAGGACGTTTGTGTGTTTCAATCTGCCGCCACGCACGTCCGATTACATCCAAAGAGAGCTGGTCCGCTTGAGTGCTCATCACTTGCAACACCAAGACTCGCCATATTCCGTGGTGGCCATTGCCGTAGCGGGCATCGCGCGGGCATACAATGAATCCGTATGGTCGATCCGGAACCTGATCTGCCAACATGAAGCCGTGGGTGGTTTGTCAGATCCTAGCCATTTGCTGCCCGGGCTGACCGTAGCAGACGAGAGCTCACGATGTCGACTACGCCGTTCTACACGAGATCGCGCGACACAGCACGCATGTTGCCGAAACATTGGCCGTGGCGACAAGGACCGTTGATGCAATCTGCTCACAATACTCACGATCGCGCCCCTGGCTCCGCAATCTCAGCAACTCGCATAGCGATGGCGGAGAGACTTCTACCGCCTGGGACGGCATCAGCGAGAAGCTGGCATCTCAACTTCGAGTTCTGCAAGGTCTCGCTGACCGCTCATCCGCTACAGACGCGCGTATACAGAACGAAATCACCTTGGTGAGCACCTATTTCCGCCCCGCTGCCAAGTCGCATCGCTAACAGCATCAGGCGTTCCACGTGGCGATGCAACGCGACAGCAAGACACAGGTGCAAATTGGAAAAGATGCGGGCAATGAAGCTGCGGCTATGAAAGCCATAGCGGTGGTGACGATGACGTTCCTGCCGGCGACCTTTGTTTCCGTATGTGTTCGAGACTACCCCCCTGAGCTCTGACGTGGAAGCTAAACATGCTTGAAATGATAGTCATTGTTTGGAATGGGGTTTTTCTCCACTCAACCCTCGGGCGAAGGAACGAACGGGACACTCATCCTCTCGCAGGACTTTTGGATCTTCTGGGCGGTCTCTGTACCTCTGACAGTGATTACGCTTGCATCGTGGTGGTGGTGGAACAGGCGCCGTCTGAACGGCAAGGGAATGGAGGCGACTCGAGACGCGGCCTTCTGGGGAATTTGAACATGTTTCGGAAACTTCGAGCCCTATTCTGTGTTCTATTACATTCATGAAGAATATGTGATGTAGCAGCATGAAGATCACCCTTCACGGATTGAGCCCTTGTGTTGCACTGCTGCAGCCGTTTCACACATTCGCGCTTGGCAGGGGCACGTGATCGTGTTACACCGAGCTCAGCCGGCTGCGAGGCATCAAATTTCTACGAGGTCATCATCCTACTGGAAACGACAGGCCACACCCACAGTCCGGTGCTCGCTCCAGAAAACGTATACACCGACCAGCTACCATTCCGGTCGTCGTCGTGATCATGTCCTGTCAATCACAGTGGAAATTACGCTCGTTGCAGGGCTATAACGCCGCGTTCCAGTCACAAATCGACACAAAGGAAAATCGGGATGAAGCTTCGTCGAAGGGTACGATGAGCCAGGTTCTGAGCGGTCGCATCACCGCCGCAGGGAAACGAAACGAACACGGAAGAGACGGGGCAATGCCAACATAGTTCGGGTCGCTGAAGGTGATTTTCAATCGTCACGACTTGCAAGTGGCCAGACCAAACGCGCCTTGCTACGGTAGTTTGTACCATTGCCGACAGTGGCACTCCACTAACGGCATAAGACCCGTAGCTCATCCGCTACATCTTGCGGTGTCGCACCGTCGCCTATTAGCGCTTACGTAGGGAATTTCCTTTCGAAGCGAGTCAAAGCGGGATCCACGGAGAAGTGGACTTCGCTCAACTAATAGCTTCGCCCACTCGATACCGTTCGTCCGGCGAGAGTGAGATCAAGCGTATCAACCATGTACCCATGTCGTTCCGATTGTTGAGCTGCTAGCGCTGGCCATTATTTTTTGCCTTTGCATCCTTGAGTGTGCTGGCGGCGTGCATCTTGAGTCTTAAAGCTACGCCCGCAGGAGTTACAGTCGTTCTCAAATCTAGATCGATGTGCGTCTCGCCGATGCTGCTCTAGTTTAGTCAGGTTGTCGAACCCCCTTGGACATTTTGGGCATGAGAATGACGGAGGCACAGGTCCCTGAGATCTGAGGTGTGTTTGACGTGTTGGAACCTCGGCGCGGGACCCCGTCCCCAACGATCTGTCGTCGTTGTTGGGTATGACCGGTGGCAGGAAAGTCAACAGTTGCTTGGCGCATGCCGCCGCCACCGCTGCGGCGTAGTTCTGCCAGCCTTTGTTCTTGTGCGAGTCGGCGTAATCGCAGATGCCCCGCACCACCACGCACGGGTGCTCTTCGGACACGCCAGCGGCTTCCATCTCGAAGCATATGACATCGTGTCGGCGTTGGATCCGCATTCGCTCGGCGGCGGAGATCTGCAACTGGTTGCTGCTGGCGACGTTCCCGAAGTGTAATTCTGGATGATCACGGGCTCGTCGGGCGCGATCACCACGTTGCGAGCGTGAGTGAGCTTGGTTGGCGTCGCAACACTCTAAGCAGTCAATATCATATTCGCCCCGGTGCTTGTAGTCGCTACGAAAGAGCCGATCCTGTGCCTCGCCCGGATCATCGTACTGGCTGCGTCGATCCTCATCTAGCCGGCGGCGCATCTGTCGCAGCGTCTGAGCAATATTTGTCTGTGACCAGCCCTCAGATCGGTAGTTGTTGACAGCTGCGAGCAGATCGCCAGGAACGCCGTTGGTGTATCCGCGAAATTGAAGCAGGCCCTCATCCTGCCATGCTCCTTTGTCGTACTGTAACACGCCCCCATGATTGCCCCGTGGAGAGCTGATGACGACGTCACCGAGCACAATCTGCTTTGTATCGCCAGGCGGGCCATAGTTCGGCACGCCCCCAGCTATGCCCACGACGAGGAAGTACTTGATATTAGGGAATCCGCTGTGCATCTTTTCCGCAAGGATGGCAGCACCGTTCAAACCGATCTTGCGCTGCACGCCGATGACCACATCATGCTGCCCTATGCGGCCGCCAAGGTAGTATGCATTTCTGTGCTGAACTTCTTCACGAGGGTAGACTTTGTCAAAGACGAGTCGAGCTGCTTCTTGCTCTAGAGGCAGGGGCGAGATCCAACCGATGGTGAAGCGATGGTTGGATGCGCCAAAAGACGACATCTTAGGACGAAAGGGTAGCTTCGACCAAAATACGTCTCGCTACAAAAGTCGGCCGAGGAAGATCAATTATAGATAAGGTCCGTAATCTGTATAAGTGCGCAGTCGTCGAGAGCTCAGCCACCATATCGACTTTATGCAGGGCGTAGTCCCTATGGGTGGCCTCACGCTCGCAACCGATGGCCACAGCCGCACACCAAACAAGACCGGTAGAGCATCTGCAATGGTGCGATATCACACCTCACATTGACATACACCCGCACTGACAACACGTTCGAGGGTAATAGTTGGAGGTTTGCAAGCGAACACGATTGTGGATTGGCACACTGCGCCAGCTTGGTGGGCAACGCGCGACGTCACCAACGCGCAGGCGGCGGCAGACATTCACCAGCGTGGCGCGCGGTCCTGAATAGCGAAGTATTTGGAGAAGCTGCAGAAGGGCGATCGATCGAAGAGGAGCGTCCGCGATGAAGATGCCGTCAATCTACTGCGGGTCCCTGAGGCGCGGCATGAATCGTGATGGCCTGACAGATCTCGTTCGAGCACATGCACAAGGTGCGACAATCGACAGCAGCTTTGTCGTCGTCGATGTGCTTCTGCGATCGGCAAGCGATACCAGGCATTTTGCTTCAAGGATCGGAAAAAGACGAAAGGAGTAACAGCATTGCTGGGTCTGGGACCTCGTCGCAGGTGGGACAGGAGTCCGACAAGGACGTTGCCATTCTCGAAGAGGCTGCTTTTGTGTCGGGCACTCTCGACAGCCCGATGTTCAAGATCCATCATCTGGTGTAAGGTGCGACACAACGGTGGTTAGACTTCCAGAAGCAGGCGGAGCATCAGAAAGGGGGGTTTGCTTACAATCTCGACGAGATTCCTCCGGCCGGAGCATACGAGAACTAAGATCTGTATTGGAAGTTAATGCCGCATTACCTTGCAGCAACGCATCTTAGATTGAACCATCGCGATCCATTGTTGCACAGAGCATATGTTTATTATCGTAGGGATCGGTATACGAAAGAAGAAGGATTGTTCAGCAGATCGGAAGAGACGCGTAAGTGTTCTGACAAGATACGACATCCATCTTCCGATGAAATTTTGAACTTCAAAGGCGCAAATATGTACGAAATACGGGGTGCCGGTAGCCTGTTCTTGGATGTCGAAGCGTATTTTGCAATGTATGTTTGCGTTTTGGCCCGAAAAGCGAGGCTCGCGACGACGGTATTGAACAGGCGGTTAACGCGCTGTGACAGTAAAATGTCTTCAGGCCTCGCTCGAACCAAAATCATTTCTACCATTTCACCAACAGCCACAAGTTTGCTGCCAGCGCTTGAATGGCTGTCAATTCGAACGCGATCAATTGTTCGGAAGCTGTAGTTCATCAAAAGTCGAAAGCGTACGTTCGAAAATCATTGTACGCTCCGCAAGTAAACCAATTAGTGACATATATCCAGGGCGTAGACTCTGCGACAGCTCCCGTGGTCATATGCGATGGGGGAAGAGCCAGGCGAACAGTCAGGTGATTGAGCGCAACCTTTATTTCGCCCGCAGGCACCATGACTGATTTTCGTGATGGCGAAGGCATGCTCAGAAAGCAAGCGAGTCGCCATCAGCGTGTGGGATGAACACTGAGATTGCAGCCCGAGTCAGTGGTGGCTACTCAAATATCACCAATCCGTGCGGCAATGTCCAGAATTATGCTCATAGAAGTGTAATCATCATTCCTCGCGAAAGCATACGAAGGACCGGAGTGTCAGTATCATATGAATGTAAGGTGGCAATGTTGCTCCGCCAAGAACCGGCGAGCATTTGGATGAAATATGGATATTCGTAACCAGTTCGTACACACACATCTTATCAGGACAGTTCGTCATTTCTTCTCTAGACATTGTTGGCTTGTGACGGCAGCTCAAATAGATAAGCTCGCTAATAAATTTTTAAAACGACTAACAATGTAGTCCGTCTAGGCTGCGACAACTCCGCAACACCCCCTGAGCTCTCAGTAGGCGAAACGCAAGATTTGGGATGGTTTCCTGCGCCTCCAAGACTTCTCTCCAAAAGATTCTGTGTCCTGAATTCATCACGGAAAATTTTGGCCAAGTGTTCGTTTTTTCACTTCGTTGCTGGTCGGCTTCTCCAGTACCGTCGTTGTCACAAGACTACTCCCCCCTTGCGCCGCTGTTGGAAAGCCATGACGTCCCTCTTTAGATGCAGAGGCGACCCGGATGTCTTTGACTCCTTCCGTCACATGGCTGGAGTTTTCGGTGGCGACTCCGAATCGACTCTTATATCGTTCGGCAGTCACTTCCCGCAAAGACTCGGCGGTCATCGAACCTACCAGGATTGCTGAATTGTTCGACGAAGAAACCTTGCCGACAATGAACATGTCCGCGAGAGTATTTACGACCATCGCATCGCTGTTGCTGTCGGCCGAGGCCCCTGCGACCCTGAAGATCTTTTCACTGGACATCTTGCTGGCTCGTTCACAAATTTCTATGCACTGTCGCGACGTCTCAAGATCTCTTTGCAGCTTTGTGCGGTCTTCATCAGATGTTTCATCCAAACCTAGAAGGGCCAATCGTTGCAGCAGTCGAGTAGAGGCTTGCATATATTTCTCGCGAGTTTCATTCAGTGTTCTCCGCATTTGCACCTGTCCCTCGAACAATTGCTCCTCGCCGTCTGGCCCCGACGAGTCGTCAAGTAGTTGTGATGCTTGCGTTGAGACTCGTTGGAAGTATGCCTTGGCATCTTCACAGATACGAAGACATTGACGTGTGACTGCGCGTTCGTCGCTCAGATCCACAGCAATGATCGCATCGTTGTCTGCTGTAGCAGTAAGCTGGGTCATTTTCTCATCAATGCGGTGCAGTTGAAGGTTTAGGTCGTATTTAGTGTCTTGAATCATTTCCATGTACTCGGAAAGGACTTTATTCGAAATAGTGGAGGTTTGTCTGGGTTGCATGATTAGTGGCGTGATCTTGAAGTGATTCTTGGTTGACTAACAGCGTTATTGTGCCTAGCCCAACCGAGATAGTCGACTTGTAAACGGCGATGGTTGCAATGAACTCGTTGATGTCGCCGCGACGGAATTCCATCTTGGCCCAATCCAGAAGACCTGCCTTGCCTTTTTCGATGAAAGTCCCCATTGAGGTCTTGAACTCTTGGCAGACTTGTGTACATCGTGCAATAGGGCCTTCCAGAAGTAGAAATAAAGACTCGTCGGCAGTCTTTATCCGCGCCAAAGACTCGAGGATTTGCGCCAGCTGATCCAATTCATCTTGTAGTCTTCCCAGAGTCTTGTCGCGACCCTTGTATCGCCGAGTCGCTTCGCAGAGCGACTTGATGGTTTTGATTGCGGCGGTGGAGATGGCGAGCAAGGACGCAAAGGCACTCAAAGGGTCTGCCATAGCGAGACCAAATCGCACCGTTTGGACTTGATCCGGTTGCGACACAAGATCGATCTATCGATCCCTACCGTCCGAGGAGAAAATAATTGGTTCTTTAGTATTGAAATGGTGGATGGCGCACACTATCGGTTGGGCTATGCTTGCTGAGCCAGCCCAGATCGAATGACAAATAGGAGCTCAGCCCGACTTGACCCCACACTGCGGTGCAAGTTGTGGCTCATGCCTGTTGAACGAATGCAAGCTTGCTTGCAATGCGGTCGAAGTAAACGCAAAAATGACCAGAGATGATATTTGCCGAGTCTCTTCTCCTCCCGGGGATCACATTCCCTGTGTGACGTCTTGAGGGAGAGCGACACATAAATTCATAGTCGTGGTCTCTGTTATCATAACCCTGGCTGACACAACTATCACAACTATCGCAACCTGGCGATCCTGCCCCACTTCGCAGGTCGGACGGACTTCACAACTTAACAGCAAGAATCATTCATAGCATCAATCGTTCTAACAAGAGCCAGTAGTTATCTCCGTCCGCAAATTTTCAATGCGAAGAAAGAGGATATCTCGTAACGCCGTGCCCACACTCGAATTCCGACGAGATTTTGGGAAAGATCAGGGTTTCGAATACCGCCATGGCTATCGCAACGCTTGACGATGAGAACGATTATACCTTCGGGGCGCCCGGCATGCAAGGAGTGAGGAACGCTATTTTCGAGTCTTGCTCAAAGTACAGCAAAACAATCCCCTGCTCCAATTGAGTCGTTGAGAATGCATTGCCTAAGCAAAGAATCGAACCGAGTGAAATTGCCTCTAGATTGATGGTGAAGATAGTCACCCAATTATGTCTGGCAGAGTACTAGAGCAACTCGGGTTGCAGGACAAATCGATCTTCCTCCGAGACCTGAACATGAATGAATAAAGTATCGTATGAAACGATACTGTCCCCGGACAAGCCTTATTGTAGCTCATGAAGTCATAATCTGCTCCTGGGACAGCGATTATACGCTCGTAAGGCGCATTGTCTGCACTCAAAAATGCGCTCTGGCAGAAAATGCATGCGTTTTTCACACTGGTGAGGACCTTGCATGGACTTCCGTTTCTGGTGGCTGCAGATGTGATACTTTCGCAGATACCGCATGGTATTCACCAGTCTTTATTGCTCGTTGACGATCAATCCTGCTCCATCGCTTGTGCCCCTTGGCGCGGATGGAGTCGTGGAGTACTCATCGGTGTTTGGCAGGATATGTTCGACGGCCGATGCTGCATCATCCTCTGAATCGTCGTAGCGTGCGACCACCGATGGCGAGTTGGGCCGCGTTGAAGGCTGCTCGTGCTCTTGAAGTGGAAGTGCAAAAGGTTGCCAGTGAGGATCGTGTTTGGTGATTTAGGGTGCTATATCGTATAGTCGGTGCTTGTCCCGTTGCGGGCAAGGGCATGCGTGCCACTTATAACCACAGATGTAGCAAAATTGTGCGCCACAAGGACATCTGTAAAACAAAAGTAGCGTTAGCTGTGCAGGGTGATAGCAAAGCGCCATTCCACCAATGTCATGTCGTTACAGTCCCGGAGTAATTCCAGAAATCGTTTGCATTTAAAACATCTCTGCCATTGTTCTGAGGTGGGAGTACCAATAAGTCGTTGTAATGCATCATTCGCTATACAATCGCCAGTATGAGAACGTGACGTACAGATTACGCGTGTCGTTCTACAACTCTTCGGGCAAGCAACTTGTCCGTCCGAGATGCACGTGCTCGGAGTGAAGATCGACCGGGATTGATCATAGCAGTACATGCGGTCTTTGGTCCTGAGCTCCGTGTAGCCAACTTCAAATGATTTTGCCAAATCAGAAGATAGCGATTGCCAGACTTGGGTCAGGGGGATCTCTATCCCACCTCGTTGTGGTGGGAAGAGTGCTTCGGCTTTCACGTCCATTGCGAATAGCTCTGCTATGGTTCCATTGCTGAATTTGTTCTGCAATATTTCGAATTATTTCTACACCCTTTCAAAAAGGAAAGTCACCACTCGCTGACTCTGATGAACTCCCACAAAGTACCGTTTGGACGCCCAATATCGATACCAGTACCGTCTGAGCGCGCCGATAATGACCGAAGAGAAAACCAGTAAGGGACCTGAATCGTATACCCGTCACCGCGATTCATCAACTTGAAATGTTCCCATCCATTCTGGGCGAAAGCTTGAGCCATGAACTCCCACCAAAGATTGTGTCCGAGATATCGACATTCTGCGAGGTTGCAGAACCCATTGAAGCCGTCGCTACTCTCGGTGAAGCGCCACTTGCACCGTGCTGGGATGCTCTGACCTGGATGGCGTTTAGGGATGTCAACGAGCACGATGCGATTCCCGGGACGCCATGCTAAGACTCGGTTGTAAGTCTTATCAACGATAACAAGAATATCGTCCGTCGTCGGGTTATGCATTTTCCCGCTTTGAAGGGCTGTAGAGAGTTCAGACCATTCCCTGATTGACGTCTCATCTCCAGATTCATCGGTTGATGGCGTCGTCACACCGTCCGTGGTAATGGATTCAGTGTCTCCAGTGGGAGTGGACGTCGTCATAATATGCGTAGAAATGGGCGAAGGGTAAGATTGAAAGTCGATCAGAATGGGGTGCTTGATAGAGCTGCTACTTTCGCTTGCGAGTCAGGCTTGCGTGTACTGAAAGCAACGGTAAAGTCAACCATAAAGTTTGATGGATATGTCCGAGACGAGACAGTCCCGGAGCGGGATATCTATCCATGTAGTGCTCCATCATTGCGATAGCTAATTATGTAATGAACCTTATCATGTTTCCCCACGCTGTTCCTCTCACACGCAAGCGCTGCCTTTCCTCGTGTGCGAGATAAAGGTTAGTAACCGGCCATTTGGCTGAGAGGCAGTGCATGCACAGCGCCAGTCTCGCCGTGCGAGCGATCGTGCAGCTGTGCATGAGCATATCCACCACCGAGGAAATTCAAAGGCGAATATCAGCCTTCTCGGTAGCGTACAACAAGGGGGAAAGGGTAAAAATCTTCGGACATTTTGCTCTCGTGACAGGCAAGACGATCCGACCGATTTGTAGTGCCAACTTCGTCGCGGACGTCGCCGCTAGTAGGCAGTATAAGACGGACCGTATGACACGTGCTATATACGAGCGATTCTTTCTACTACATCTCGCGCGAATTACGTCGGCATTGTCACGTATGCGTATACGTATAGTCGAATATTTCATATCGGAGCTGGTGCTCGAGGACGACTCTTAAGAGTCTATTTCTAGTTTGCCAGCGTCGTGGCGGGAAGACGGACAGTTCAGGCGACCGGCTCTGCCTACGGTGAGGAGGGCCGAGCGAGAAAACGACCAGTTACGGAATCAGGTGGCAGACCTGCCCGCGCAGCAGCATACGGACCGAGATCAGCAGGAAGTACGGATGGAACGACAAATGAAGCAGCAGAAGGGGAGTATGGATAAGTAGATGGCGCAGCAGCGAGACGAATCATAGAAGCTGATAGAGCTGATAGAGCGGCAGATGGCGCAGCAGAGAGCTGATAGAGCAGCAGCCGACCCAGCAGAACCGGATCGTTGAGATGCTCACACAGCCAAAGTTAAGATGATACGTCCATTCAAGATCGGTTGCTCTCCTAGATATCACGTCACGATTCCTCCGTAAATCGAGCAGATCCGGTAGGATATGATCAAGGACTGACGCCGAACGGAGAAACCTCTCTTGAATGGGACACTATTCTGATACTTCGAAAAGTAGTGATGATGTGAGGTTATAGCCTTACTTCAACTGAATTAAGTACTTAGTAGTTTATATAGCTGTTTATATATCTATTATCTTCCTTAAGACCCGTTGTGCTTTTCGAATGTCCTTTACTAGCGCGAAATTCCGGGTCTTCCTACTGAATTCGTTCCCGGGAATAGAATCCGACGTGATATATCGACGTCAGCACGAGGGCGGTCCCACGGAGAGAGATGGTGGGTACTGTATGTTAGCCAATCGCCTTTTTCGCGATTCGTTGATGGTCGGAACATGTCTCCAAGCGCTTGAGCTTCACATATTCTAGCTTTCCTAGTCACCACACGCCTACGACTGTAGAATTTTACAGCTGCGCCGAGGCGTAGACCGGGTTACCTTATTCCTCTGTCTGTCCGCCGAAGCCAGCTGACTTCCTCCGGCATACTTTGAAAAAAAAAGCCTCTTACTCCGGATTCGCGAGGAACATTTCCTTGACGAAACAAGAAGAAAATAATTGAACGCCGACTGTGCGACCACCTTAAGAACCAAAGGAAGATGTGTCCCGCCGCGACCGATCTCCCTCCCTCCTCGGACGTCGATGGCCATGAAGACAAGTCCTCGACGACAGCACCACCCTCACCGCCGCCGTGCACTCCGAACGACCCCATCTGCCGCGCCGCCTACCGCCACGCCCACGAGAACCTCCACCCGGCCATCCTCGCCCACAGCCTCCGCGTCTACACCTACGCGCGGGACATCTCGGCGTCGGAGGCGACGGCCTACAGCGAGCCCCACGCGGTGGAGAACACGTTACTCTACGTGACGAGCCTCTTCCACGACATGGGCACCTCTCCACGATATGACAGCGATACGGAAAGCAGCACGACGCGGTTCGAAATCGCCGGCGCCGACGCCGCGCTGGGGTTCCTCTCGGGCCCTGACATCCCCGACGGAGACGTGCTCGCCAGGCTGTGGGGCCGCGAGGTCTGGCTGGCGATCGCGCTGCACACTTCGCCGCAGATCGCGGAGCGGAGTTCGGCGCTGGCGAGGCTCTTGCGGTTGGGTGTGAGGATCGACTTCGGAGGGGAAGGGAAGGTGCGGATGTTGGATGATCTGTTGGCGATGGGGAGGGAGGATGGCGCTGGTGCTGGTGCTGGTGGTGCGAAGGAGGTGATTGCTCGGACGGAGAGGGAGTTTCCGAGGGACGGGATCGAAAAGGTCCTGGGCGATGCTGTCACGGATCAGGCGTTGGTGCACCCGGAGAAGGCGCCGATGGTGTCGTGGCCGGGGGTTTTGTTGAGGAGTAAGAGGGAGAATATGGAGTGGGAGGGGGTGAACAAAGCGTTCTGATGATAACGATGGTGATGATGATGATGATGATGATGATGATGATGATGATGATGATGATGATGATGGTGTGCAAATGAACATATGACGAGATGTCCCAATCTCTCTCCCTCCCTCCCTTTGTCTTTGTTTGGATCGGAGACGAGATCTGCAAGATGATCAAGTACTGCAGAAAAGCTTTCATTGATTGATAGATTTTGAGAATACTCTGCTATGAAAATATGAATATATATATCCTATCCTCTGACTGGAATGGAATCATTGTCAATCCTACTACAGTATTCCTATTTTCCTTGCGCATGTAGACACCAATAACCATCGACCGTATTCCATGCATGTGTGGACGTCGTTCGGATTGCATTCGTGGTCGGCTCGTCATCATCATCATCATCCTCATCATCATCATCATCATCATCATCATCGTCCATCAAATGGTCTCGGGTCTATCGGCTCCACATGAAGGCAAATAGACGATGAACAGGGCGAGCTCAAGGGTAGAATTGATGGAGAAGGGCAGGAGGGCTTCTGATTTCATTAGTCGGATCGGGGGGGAAATGGGCGGAGGGAGCGGGTGGAAGGACGGCTTCCGATGATGACCACCAGAGAGGACAGCCAGAAACCCTACAGTTCACCGCCCGCCGCTTGCTTGGAATGGGATTGGATTGGATGGGACGGGATTCATAATAAGATACCTAGACAGGGCGGATTACTGGAGTTTCAGGGTCCTTTAGGCGGAAATGTACTGTCGTCGAGCATTGTCCGTCACATCGTCATGCCTGGTTGATCATTGACAGTGGACAATGTCTTCTTATTATCACTGTCGGCGAGGCGGCATGGGAGAAAGAGGGGCAGACAGCAAATTGAGGTTTTGGTGACTTGAAGGCGTATGTCTACTACAGTCAGGGTTGTTTCCTATATACTGTACAGTCATATGACAGTTTGTACAGGTGTGTTGGAGGATGATTATAGGTACATATATACATATATACATATACATATATCACCTATGATTGTATGTGTTGGAGGATGATCGCCTATGTATATATACTGTAGCAGTGTCGAAGAGTGGCGCGTATATCACTATACGGGAGCGCAGTATGTATATACGTATATATTTTTAATACTGCAGTATTATCATGTATGTACAGTACTGTATCTCGACGTGGTGGTCCCGGTCCTTATCTTTCTTCCTTCCTTCCTTCAGCTGCGGTGGCTCTCAACCAAACCTTGGAACTTCTGCTTCCCTGTGCTGTACAATACAATACACCTAATACATGTACTGTATCTCACACTATTACTCTTCCTGAATTTCACATCTTCTTCCTTCTGTATAATAATACCTCCAGTCATGTATCATCATCACCACCAGGCGAGCGGGCTGTGATTGCCAATCCACCGACTGCCTGAATAGGCCCGACTGTTTCCCTCCACTCCAGGGCTCTCTCTCAACTGCTGCTGATCGCCATCCAAGTCGCCTTACGCCCGATAGTTCTCCCTCTTCGTCCTTTTCCTACATCCATCAACGACATTCGACTGCAACGAACACGGCAAGACAAGGCAAGGCAAAGGCAGTGTCGAGCCGGCATGCTCCTCCTGCCGTTGACACGTCCGTCTTCTCGTCGTCGCGCCCTTGCCCTTCTCGCCGCCACCATTCGATCGCGTAATGTCGTCATCTGCGCTTCTCCAAATCCTCTACCGACAGTCGCGACATCAGCCACTTTACCATCAGCAACAACGACAACAATAACACCGACGACGCCGGAATCATCGTCGACGTCCGCATCGCCATCCACAGCAGCATCGACTAATTCACCTTCAGTCACACCTCCCGAACACTGGACCCGCGGCTTCTCAGTCTGGCCCAGATCCACCGACAAGCCCTCCCCATCGAAGTCTCGCAAGGAGAGTCCTCGCTCGCGTGATCCTCAAATCGGTTTGAACACGCCCGTCCCCGACCATGAGATCGTCAAAAGCTCCAGTCCGTTCTATTTCGAAGCTGGCTATGCCGGGTGGGCGAAACGTCCCTCTCGACCATTCCCACCGCCGTTCTTCAGCCCGCCCAGCGGCAGTTTCAGCGACCCTCTCAGCACCACCAACCGCAGCATGGACCGTCGCGCGAAAGTCAACGGCGAGATGATCCGGGGCGTGACCAACGGCGACGACGCCATGCTCGTGAGCGAGAACTTGATCGGGACCAACGACGGCGTGGGACAATGGGCGACGCGCGAGCGGGGGCATGCGCCGCTCTGGAGCCGCCTCATCCTGCACTTCTGGGCCCTCGCAGTGGAACAGGACAAATTCGGCGGCGACAGGTCCCCCGATCCCGTCCGCTACCTCGAGGAGTCCTACCGCATGACCCAGGAGGCGCTCAGCGAACCCAACGAATGGCTGGGGACCACGACCTCCAGCCTCGCGCAGCTCCACAGCATCGACGAGAAGCCCCTGCTGTACGTGACGCAGCTGGGCGACTGCCGCATCATCGTGGTGCGCCAATCCTCCCGCCAGGTCATCTTCACCACCGAAGAGCAGTGGCACTACTTCGACTGCCCGCGCCAGCTCGGCACCAACTCCCCCGACACCCCGCGCGAGAACGCCACCCTCTCGGAAGTCCCGCTGCACGAAGACGACGTCGTCCTCGCCATGTCCGACGGCGTGACGGACAACCTCTGGGAGGAGGACATCACCGAATCCGTCCTCACCGCGCTGTCCCAATGGCAGGAAGAGCAGGGACAATCGCGACCACAACAACAACAACAAAAGAAGGATCAGGAGGAGGTCGTCATCGAGGAAGATGGGAAACAACAACAACAACAACAACAACAACTAGAAGAGGCAGCAGCAGCACGCGCATCATCACCGTCATCGTCATCGTCCCTCGCCGAGGCCATGCGCTACGTCGCCCAGCAAGTCGTTCTCCGCGCCCGCAGAATCGCCGAGGATCCCTTCGCCGCCTCGCCGTTCATGGAGAAAGGCGTCGAGGAAGGCCTGGCGATCGAAGGCGGCAAGATGGACGACATCTCGGTCGTGGCGGCGGTGGTTTGTAGGAGGCCGAAGGGGTGAAAGGGGTGAAAAGCAGGCCGTTGGAGATATTATTTGTGTGTGGAGAAAGATTCTTTCTTTTCTTCTCCTCCGTCTTCTTCTTCTTCTTCACCGCCTGGCAACAGAAAGATGCGGGATTGGATTCGATGGGACGAAGAACATCGTGATGATCATCCTCCCGCTCTCCCATCTCCGGCAGAGAGAGGTACCCCATTCCCTCATACATGGCACAGATATAAAGGTCCTGGAGGGAGAGAGCAGATCTCAGCCCCTGATGAATCCGTCATACATGCTCGAGACGAGGAAAGAGACCCCCGCTTGCCGCTCTTTCTCGCTCCGACTTCTCTCTCCGGTGCTCCCACGACCCGGTCAACGCGACAGGCTTCTTTTCTTTCCATCCAAGCAAGCCAAGGGCATAGATCCCAAATGGGAAATTTTGGGCATGGGCTTCTTCTCCCCACAACGTCAAATTTCCGCTCTCGAAAAAACTCGTGAGAGAATAAGACGGGACGAGAAGCTGTTCTCACATTCACCCACCCACCGCCGCCGAGATCTTCGCGTCATTGGAATCTTCCCCCTCGGGACAGACCCGCCAGGAGAGAGAGAGAGAGAGAGAGAGAGAGAGAAATCCACAGCCAGGCAATGCAAAAGTCGACGACCGGTCCGAGGGGAACATGGAAGAAATTCCTCCCCCCGGACAGAATATCTACGATTTCACGAGCGGATCGCGCCATCGTGGGCACACATACACACACACGCTCCCCCGCGGCGCCTTCCCTTTGGCTTGCGAAGGAAAGGGCTTTGCTGGGTGGAAGACGAGCGGTGGATTCCACTCTCGTTACGATTATTGTTGTTATTGTCACCGTGGCGATGGGCGTGGAGATGGGCATTGAGATGGAATTGTTCTGGAGATGGAATCGTTCTGCAGATGGAATCGTTCTAAAGATGGGGATGGAGATGGAACCGGAAACTCAAAAGAGAGAAGAGCACAGCCGTGAGGATGAAGGAAGGAAGGAACCCAGGTCTATGGGAACTTTTCCTGTTGAAAATGGTTGATCTCTTCCTCTTTCTCTCTCTCTCCCGTTGGTGACAATGGGGGGAGAAGTTTGTCGATTGGGTGCGAGTTCGTTCAAAGATATGGTTACTCCGGGAGAGGAAAAGATAATGACTCTGAAAAGTTCAAATAAGGGGAGGATTCTAGAGACACCCAGGTAACGACGAAAGTCCACTCACCCGATCCTGGGAGGAGGAAACGGGCCCTATGAATTGTTCCACTCATAGTATAAGTGCCAGCTCTCCTCCTCCTTCCGTCCTTTCTCTACCTTATCTTCGCATTGACGCATTACTTGTTGTCGTCGTCTTGATCTCTTACAAACTGTCCCCGTACAATTCGAAGCCATTTCGTGGAAGGAAGTTCCCGTGGTTGTTGTTCCCAGATTGCATGGCGGGCGGTAGGGTCCGGCGTTTTTCCCCCTCAGGGTTACGGTTTGACATCACGTCCATCGATAGGGAACGTCATCCTTCCCCGAACCACAAGCGAATGCCTGGACGAGATTCTCCTGCATTTTCTTAATTCAACTTCGTGCGGTTATAGCTTCTGGATGTCTTCCGATTGAATATTTGGTGGCAGTTGGAATTTCCGGTGGCAGTTGGAACCCCAAGGGATAATTCTCAAGGTTAAGAGTACACCTGGGAGAACTTCTGACGAAGAGACTCGCTATGGCGGCCGCGAAACAAATTGTTCGGAGAGCACAGCTCTACGGTACGTCCAATTCAGACGACTCTCTACATATGTATCCACCCCTTTCAATAATCTGACCAAAACTTTCCAACCCAGTCCCCGGCTCTTCGATGCGATTCCTCGAAAAATCCCTCCTCATCCCCTCCATCGACTCCATCGCCTACGACCTCGAAGACTCCGTCACCCCGTCCAAGAAACCCGAGGCCCGCAAGAACATCACCTCCATCCTCTCCCGGCCCCAACGACCCCCGGGGATCCGCGAGCTCGCCGTGCGCATCAACGCCGTAGATTCCGGCTTCGCCCTCTCCGACCTCACCTCCATCCTCACCTCCGACGCCGCCTCCTCGAACCTCGACTGCATCGTGATCCCGAAGGTCGACGCGCCCAAGGACCTCCACTTCGTCACCGACGTCCTGCGGCACCTCCTCCCCGCCCGGCACGGCGAGGGATCCCCCAACCCCATCCGATTGGTCGCGCTGGTGGAGAGCGCGCGGGCGCTCGTCGACCTCCGCGAGATCTGCCGAGCGTCGCCGTACCTGACGGGCCTGACGTTCGCGGCGGAGGACTTCGCGCGCGACCTCAGCCTGACGCGGACGCCGGACCTGACCGAGTTCCTGTACGCGCGGTCGGCGATCGTGGCGGCCGCGCGGGCGTACGATCTGCCCTCGGCCATCGACCTCGTCTCCACCACGTTCCGCGGCGAGGAGGGCATGCGGCAGTTGAGGGAGGAGTGCGAGGGCGGGAAGAGGCTGGGCTTCAACGGCAAGCAGTGCATCCACCCCGACCAGGTGGAGGTCGTGCAGAGCATGTTCAGCCCTAGCGAGAGCGAGGTCGAGTGGGCGATGAGGGTGGTGGTTTGCGATGAGAAGGCCGATGCGCAAGGGCGGGGCGCGTGGACCTTGGACGGGAAGATGATCGATGTGCCCGTCGTAGGGCGCGCGAAGGCGATCGTGATGAAGGCGGAGGTCTGTGGGGTCGATGTGGAGGCGTTGAGGGAGAAGTGGAAGGATGAGCAGCCCGAGTGAGTGAAGAGGAATCGCGTGCCTTTGAATACATGTGGCTGCAGGGCTGTGAAGAAAGGATGTTTCAGGGAATCATCCATATGTGTCTTTCGACCCTCTCTATATCTGTCTTCTAATTTAATACCCTCTCGATCTCTGAACGACATTCATCAACCGCTCCCCCTTCTCCCTCCTCTCCAGATTGATCGCCAAAATCTCAAACGACCTCCCCAAACACGCCTCATCGAACCCAGAAACATGCGGCGTGACAACGACATTCTTCAGATCCCACAACTCGCTCTCCTCAGGCAGCGGCTCAGGATCAGTAACATCCAACGCCGCACCCGCCAACCACCCCTTCTTCAACGCCCCGATCATCGCCTGCTGATCGATCACCGCACCCCTCGCCACATTCGAGACAAACACCTCCCTCTTCCCCCCCTCGCTCAAAATCCGAAAAGCCTCCTCGTCGAGGAACCCCCTCGTCTCGTCCGTCAAGGGCACAGCAACCACCAACCAATCCAACCGCTGCCCCAAAAACCCATGCAAGCCCTCCTTCCCCAACCCACTAAACCACGCGACCGGATTCGTCCCCAGCGGATCCCCCGTCCCGGGCACAGTGAAACCATGATCCCTCCTCTGCTCGGCCGAGTCCTTCGGCGTCGCCGTGTACGCGATGACCTGCGCGCCCATCGCTTTCACCACGTTGCCCACCTGCCGCCCGATGTTCCCGTAGCCGAGGATGCCCACGCGTCGGCCCACCCAGCTGCGCACACGGGTGTATTCCCGCCGCAGCGAGGGGTCCGGGCTGCCCCAGGAGTGCGACCTCTGGAGGGACTGCAGCACCGGAAAGTGGTGGCTGATGGCCAGGCCGGTCATCACCACCCATTCGGCGATCTGCGGGCCAAAGGCCCCGTTGCTGGTCGTGATGGGGATCTCCGTGGATGTGTAGAGCGGGTGCGATTGGATCTGGTTGCTCCCGGCCGAGATCAGGTGGATGAGGCTGAGTTTCGGCGCGGCGGACGGGAGGGGGAAGGTGAAGAGGGTGATCAGGATGGTGACGGTCGCCCACGTGTGGGAGGGTATCTCTTGGACGGTGGCCGGACTGCTGCTGCTGCTCGTCCAGCCGGAGGGGACTTGTTTGTAGATCGTGTCGAGGTGCGGGAATTTCTTCTGCAGTGCATCGAGGAGGCCGGCTGGCTCGGGCATCGGCAGGAGGCAGAGCAGTGTGTCTTTGGCGGGACCACCACCCATGATTGCGGCGGATTTCAGATTTGGGACTGTGCTTGGATATGATCTTGCGGTGTTTGTTTCTCACTTGTTGTCTGATCGTGTCTCGAGAGATTGTTTGGGAGAGGACGGAGTCGCTGCGCTGCTGAAAGGAAGTGAGGTTGTATTTGAGTCGAGCTGGAGGGTAGCGGGCTTTGACGGAGACTGGAGCTCGGTGGCCGTGAGTGGTGATGGTGGAGGATGTGCAGTAGCTTCCAAGGCGGTCTTTGATCTGCAATAATAATTTATGCACTACGATTACATACGTCGGATCTCACAAAGCTGTATATGTTCTACCGTGTTCATGCATAAATAATACACTATGGCTTAGCTATCTACACGATATCTCCCGTGAGTCCACCGAGCGATCTGCCCCGTCAACCTGCATTTCATACGTACACCACTTCTTCCACGGCTCTCATTCCATCAGTGGCGGATCAATTCAATAATGCGTGCGACCATACTGAAATCTACACAACCTATCAATCTCTCGTGACCATCGTTCATACAAATCAATCAAGCAGCTCCACCAGACTTTGCGAATTCCGCAAAGGCAACCTCATCAGCCCGGAGTTTCGCCTCTCGCTCCTCCTCGGCCTCGATGATCGACATGACGCGATCGTGCGGCGTGTCGCCGAAGTCTTTGGTGTGGCCGCTCATCGCAGCGCTGTAGGTCGTCGCTCGCTTCGGCTCCTTGGGTTTGGCGGGCTTCGGCGGAGGTTCTGAGCCTCCGATGTCTGGGAATGGGTTCTCGCGGGACCAACCTAGCACCATCGGCCGGAAGCCTTGTTGGGATAATGTGTCGAATGCTTCGCGGACTTCTCGAGCTTGCCATAGGGGGAATTCTCTCGATCCCTCTCGTCCTTGGTGCTGTGGTCGTTGTCAGCGCGATGATTCTCCATGTAAACATCGGTTGTCTTGCAGTGACTCTCGACGTACGGTATAGAAGACAATTCGCAGTTTGCCCGGCTCGAGATCTTTCACTCCAGACAGATTGCTCCATCCCAGTCGCGACATCCCCTGGAGGTAGATATTAGAGAACATCGAGTGGTTATCCTCGAAGCTCTTGAATGTTCGGTTGTCGAAGAAGACGACGACATGTCCTGGGTCATACCGACCAGCGGTAGCCGGATCGAATTTATCCAGATTCGCCATGTTGATGGAGTTTCTGATCTGAATATTCAGATTGTATTGTCATGCTTTCTCGTCCTGTCTATCGCTGTCATTAATAATAAACAACGTTGCGAACGGCGAACCCCCATGCGACCCCAGCCAAGGGTTCGCCGTTGGATGCCGAGTCGTTTCCAAGAGGTGGGATTTAGATTGACGCCACGTGACTGCGCGTTTCGACCTCGCGTCGTCCATGACTCAAGCGTTGTCACAGTGTCGTCATCGCCCAAAGAGTATTGTAAATTCCGAGACGATGTACTGTCCAGGTGGGCATCGGGATGCAACAATAATTCAATCGGAATTATGAATAGAGATCGTGAGGAGATCGAATTCCACAGACAATGGTGAAACTACAAGCAGCTACAGTCTCGAATCAATTGGTCTCCAAAAAGCGAAAGCGAGCCGCGAAACCGCCACAAGAAGAAGAAGAGGCAATTGTTACATCAGATGTAGACAAGCCGTCTGAAGCAACTTCAGTGCCGACTAAGACGCACGATGGCGGCAAGAAACCTCGTCGGGCTCCCAAGTCCGGAGCGCCGCCGACTCTGCAACGACGAAACTCTTCAACTCTTGTCGAGACGTCAATACCATGGCCGACAGAATTCAACAAGATCGCACAAACACACAAAGCGCTGAACCTGGTGTATACATTCTGCTGCACGCGTAAGCATCTTGCTACTACGTTTGAGAATCTGAAAAGCACTGTCGAAGCTAGCATAAAGAGGCCATTGAGCATTGCAGAGGTTGCCAAAGTCAAGACGCTTGTGCCGCACGCGATTAATTTCCAATATGTAGACGAGACACTACTTCAAGTGGCTCTGATGGGCGAGGAGGATCTTAGAAAGGGTAGGGCGACGAGCGACATGTTTCCCTCCAATCCGGCCGAAGAGCGAAATGTCAAAACCGGCTTAGGGAAAGACGAACACGTGGAAGTGCTTTTATTCGAATTCATCGATGGAGATTTGAAGCGACAGGTCACGAATCCAAAGACCGGCGAAGCAGTGAAGGCGACGCGCAAGTTGCGTGAAGAAGAATTGAAGATGCCTGTGTTTAGCCAGAAACAGATGACCAAGCTTATCGAAAAGCGCAATACGAAATTTACATCCGCAATCAATGCTTGGCTCAACGACTGTGCTGCAAAAGGGGTCGATGCGGTGAAGGAGCTGGAGGAAGAGCACAAGAAATTCATCCCACAGACGGCTGAAAGTAGAAGTTCGACTCCAGCACCAGACTCAGCAAAGGACTCGCTTCCAAAGACGATACCGGATGAACGTCAAAGCATCTCCGAAATCGTGGAAGAGCTCAAGGGTCTGGAATGGTACACCGGGCAGATCGTACCTGATGGCCATCGTGTCTTCGATCCCCAGCAAGCCATCTATGGAGAATTAAATTTCGAGCTTAGTCAAAGCTTGGTAGACGCGCTATACAATACACGCAACATACAACAGCTATACAGTCATCAGACCGAGGCAATAAATGCTTTGAATGAAGGTCGCAATGTCATCATTGCAACATCAACCAGCTCTGGCAAATCCCTAATTTACCAGCTTCCGGTGCTACACGCACTGGAGCGTGACCCCGAGACGCGAGCCATGTATATTTTCCCAACCAAAGCTTTGGCACAGGATCAGAGGAGAAGCCTGAAAGAAATGCTTACCTATCTTCCTGGTATGGAGGAAGTCGTCTGCGAGACATTCGATGGAGACACACCGTTTCTAGAACGCAATCGAATTCGCGACGAAGCGAGAATCATCTTCACAAATCCGGATATGTTGCACTTGACTATACTACCGCAAGAGGAGAGCTGGCGACACTTCCTGCAAAATTTGAAATACGTCGTCATGGATGAATTGCATGTTTACAATGGACTTTTCGGCGCCCATGTTGCGTTCATCATGCGAAGATTGCGGAGGATCTGTGCTGCCGTTGGCAACAGACATGTGAAATTTGTTTCGTGCTCGGCAACAGTGTCCAATCCTGAAGAACACATGAAGACCATCTTCGGCATTGAAGAAGTCAAACTCGTCGATTTCGATGGCTCGCCGAGCGGAAGGAAAGAGTTCCTATGTTGGAACACTCCATTCAAGGACCCGGGCGATCCGTCCAGCGGGAGGGGTGACACACATGCAGAGACTGCAAGGCTTTTCTGTCAACTCATCCTTCGGGGTGTGCGAGTCATTGCGTTCTGTCGAGTGCGAAAGCAATGCGAAATTTTGACAACATCCATCAAAAATGAGCTCGCGAGCCTTGAACGACCCGAAGTTATGGCCCGTGTGATGGCGTATCGAGGTGGCTACACTCCACAAGATCGACGTCGGATTGAAAAGGAGATGTTCGAAGGCAAGCTTGTAGGCATCATCGGCACGTCTGCTCTTGAGTTGGGCGTGGACATTGGAAGCCTTGATGCTGTCATTACTGTCGGCTTTCCCTACACCATCGCCAATCTACGGCAGCAATCTGGCCGTGCGGGAAGACGAAACAAAGACAGCTTGTCTGTGCTCGTTGGGGACTGCTTTCCGACTGATCAGTACTACATGGAGAACCCTGACGAGATCTTCACAAAACCAAATTGCGAATTGCAGGTCGATTTGGGGAACATGCTGGTGGTGGAGGGGCACATCCAATGTGCTGCTTTTGAGGTACCGATTCGAGCTGACGAGGATAAGGTTTATTTCGGTAAACAACTCGAGGAGATTTGCACAGAACGATTGCGAAAGGATAATTTGGGCTTCTATCATACTGACGAGCGGTTCTTACCCCATCCGTCGCGAACGGTCGCTATTCGAGATACAGAAGACAGCCATTTCGCGATTGTTGACACGACAAATAATAGGAACATCGTGCTTGAAGAGCTCGAGGCCAGTCGTGCATTTTTCACCATTTACGAGGGCGGGATCTTTCTACATCAGGGCCAGACCTATCTCGTCAAAGAGATGAACACCGAACGAATGATCGCCAAAGTCGAATATGTCAAGGTGGACTGGACTACCCAGCAGCGCGACTTTACTGACATCGATCCCATTGAAACGGAGGCAATTCGTCGCATACCAGGTTCCCGCAGTCGTGCGTTCTTCGGCACCATCAAAGTGTTGAAAAACGTTTTCGGCTTTTTCAAGGTGGATAAGAAAAGACGCATCCTCGACGCTGTGCAAGTGGACAACCCACCCATCATCATCTTCAGCAAGGGCATGTGGCTCGATGTGCCCAAGTCAGCAATCGAGATCCTCAATTCTCGGCGTCTCAATGTGGCTGCCGCGATCCATGCCGCTGAACATGCCATCCTCAGCCTCATGCCCAACTTTGTCATCTCCATGCCGGGCGACGTCAAGACGGAGTGCAAGGTTGCCATCAAGGAATTCGCCAAGAAGGAGACTACGCGCAAGCGACCCGCACGGTTGACATTCTACGACGACAAGGGCGGACAACACGGCTCAGGAATCGCCGCCAAAGCTTTTGAATTCATCGATCTTCTCCTCAATCAAGCCTGCGACCGTGTCGAAGCGTGCCATTGTTATGAAGGATGTCTGGAATGCTGCTGTAGTGAGCGATGCGGAGAGGCCAACCAAGTCATGTCCAAAGCCGGCGGCGAAGTCATTCTGAAATCTTTCCTCGGAAGGGAGATCGATGTCGATAATCTACCCTGGGGCCCTGAAGATGAACGGGCTCCTGCCGGAATCGAGACGGTCATCCTTGCGGAAGAAGTGAGGCCTCGAGCGGGAAGAGTGGTAGACATTATTGAAACGAGACGCGAGGGCGGTCGAGCGCAGAATGTCGTCGTTGCTACACAACGGGTTAGCGATACTGGAGACGAAATCCTCGTCAAAGAAGAACCGACGGACGATGATTGAGATTGGAACGAGCATTTCGCGATTTGATCTTAACATCGCGGGAACAAGAATAGTTCAAATTTTGATGCCTTCTAAGATGCGTTTTGCCTCGTCAGATCGCCACCAGCTCACGCCCTCTCGCCCAGGATATTCAAAGCGATCCATACTCTCTGCTTTCATTTCCACAGAATATCCCGGTTCTGTAGGAGTGACATAATATCCATCCTTGACGACGCTGGGGTGGAAGAAATGCTCATGTAGATGATCAACATACTCCAAGACGGAGAGCTTGCCAGAGACTACGACATAGTCGATCGTGCTGAGATGCTGTGTATATTCCGGCAGGGCCACACCTCCGGAATGAGGCACGATCGGCACCCCATATTTCTTCGCGATGAGCATCACCGCCAAGACTTCATTGACGCCGCCCATCCGACACGCATCGATCTGACACACATCGATCGCCCCCTGCACGATGAGTTGCTTGAAAATGACCCGGTTCTGGCACATCTCCCCCGTGGCGACGCCAATTCCCAGTGGGCGAAGGGCATCTCGTATCGCCTTGTGGCCATAGATGTCGTCGGGCGAGGTCGGCTCCTCGATAAACCACGGCTTGAACTCTGCCAATTGGTGCATATACTCGATGGCTTCCGGCACGCTCCAGACTTGATTCGCATCGACCATGAGCACGTTCCCCCGATCGAAGCCGAGCACTTCGCGCGCGATCGACAGCCGATGCTTATCCTGCTCGAGATTCCCGCCGACTTTGATCTTGAAATACTTGTAGCCATCGTCGACCGTCTGCCGGAGCAATGCTTTCATCTTGTCGTCCGAATATCCCAACCAGCCCGCCGACGTGGTATACGCCGGAACCGCACGATTCTGCTCCGCCTCCCGAATCCTCTCCGCCTTCCCACTCTCCTGTTCCCGCAGCAGAGCGATCGCCTCCTCTGGCGTAATCGCGTCAGTGATATACCTAAAGTCAATACATCTCACAACCTCCTCGGGCGTCATCTCCGCGACGATCCGCCACACCGGCTTCCCCAGAACCTTTGCCCAGAGATCCCAAATCGCATTGACCACCGCTCCCAACGCGAGGTGGATCACGCCCTTTTCAGGCCCGATCCAGCGGAGTTGCGAGTCCGACACGAGATATCTCCACGTCGCGCCGAAGTCACTGACGAGCTCTTCCAGGGTTTTCCCGGCGATGCGCTCGGCGAGGACGGAGATGGCTTGGCAGACGATCTCGTTGCCTCGCCCGATGGTGAAGGTCATGCCGTGGCCGGAGTGGGCGCCGTCGGTGTGCAGGATGCAGTATGCGGCGGAGTAGTCGCCGGCGGCGTTCATGGCGTCGCTGCCGGTGCCGTCGAGGGAGGTCTTTTTTTTGAGACAAAAAATTGTACTTAGATTCACATCATGGCGTATTGTTTCGGGGATGGGAAAGGATGTGGTCTTACTGGGAACCGCACATCGCGGGTTGAGAAATGGGTGATTGTCACCATCTTGTTATTGCTCCTCTCCTACTATCCTTTTCGATCCCAGGAACTTGCTGATTGGAAGATGGAAAGAAGGAAAGGACGATATTGTAAATTATTTTAAATTTCTATGCGGGTTGATGGAATGGTCCGTTCAACGAGGCATGGCGTTCTGTGTATTTCAACCGGACGGGTAATGATGAGAGCTCTCTGCTCTGCTCGGATGATGGTGGTGATGATGATGCACTAATGAAGCCATACGAGCCGCATCCTGATGTACTGTATACTACTCCATGGAGCTGGAGGTGCACCACCGAGTCCGCTAGACAACGTGGGCTTTTGCTGCTAACAGTCTCGGTCATGGTGAAGACATTACCTCCGACTCCAATTTAGCCTGATGACAACCTTGCGAAGTAACGCTCTCTGACCAAGACTACCCATGCCATATACTCGCTAGAAACACGAAGCGCGGGGCAGTGTGAGGTTATGCTATAGTCCAGCCAGTGGTTGGTTATTGCCGTCAAACTCCGGCCCAATGCTCCAGGGCGAGTTCCTCCCACTCTCCACAGTCTTGTCGTCGTCGTCATTTCTCGAGGAAACTTTGCCGAGCCGCGTGGCTTGCCAACATCGTACTCACCACTGGACGTGTATACATTGTGGCGCAGTCCGTCAGGCAGGAAAAGAGAAAGGATAATGGATGAGACTGCAATCGATTATCGATCTTAGGCATTTGTTCCCCCCATGAAATTGTCCGCCGCCGCCCGCGCTGACGTTGTGCTTTTTGTGTGGAGAGAGGCAGGCAGCACATGCACATCACCAATCCCGCTGGAGTGTGTGTAGGCACAGATTGAACTGCCCGGAACGTGCCTGGCCTTTCGACTTCTTTTACGGCGCAACCCAGCAACCCACATACACTTTGGGTGGAGTTGTTTTTTCTCAACGTCCAATTTCTCGCATATACACATTCTTCCCTTTTCATCACACATATGCGGCATTGATCGCAATCGCGAGACACCTTTCCTCCCGGTCCCTCTCTTCCTCGCATAAGCGACATTACCCAGGCGGCGGGGTCCGCGAATCGCAATCATGGTGCGCGCAAACTGGCTTGAGCTGTCACACGTTGGTTGGTTGTACTGACAGTCGATCTCCCTGCAGGCTGTGACGAAGCGAGCAGGACGTAAGAAGGACGCCGCACAAGCTCAACCGAACGGCAGCGCTGGCGGTGGTGCGCAACCCAACATTCGCAAGGCCGCCTACGAGACGAGTAAAAAGAAGGAAGTGGGCGTGTCGGATCTCACATTGATCAGCAAGATCTCCAACGAGGCCATCAACGACAACTTGAAGAAGCGATTCGAGAATGCGGAAATCTACACATACATCGGCCACGTGCTGGTCTCGGTCAACCCGTTCCGTGATTTGGGCATCTATACCGATCCCGTCCTGCAGAGTTACCAGGGGAAGAATCGTCTGGAGATGCCGCCACATGTCTTTGCGATTGCGGAAAGTTCATACTACAACATGAAGGCATACCATGAGAACCAATGTGTCATCATCTCGGGTGAATCAGGAGCTGGAAAGACGGAGGCGGCGAAGCGATTGATGCAATACATTGCGAGCGTCTCAGGCGGTGGAAACAGTTCAATAGACGAGGTCAAGGACATGGTGCTGGCCACCAATCCCCTGTTGGAATCCTTCGGAAACGCCAAGACGCTGAGGAACAACAACTCGTCACGATTCGGCAAGTACCTAGAAATGCAATTCAACGCCCAGGGTGAGCCGGTGGGCGCCAACATCAACAACTACCTTTTGGAGAAAAGCAGAGTGGTCGGCCAGATTCGGGACGAGCGAAACTTTCATATTTTCTACCAATTCACCAAGGCTGCGACTCAGGACCATCGGACCAATTTCGGAGTGCAGCCGCCAGCTTCGTATACGTACACAAGCAAGAGTAAATGTTACGATGTCAACGGCATCGATGACGTTGCCGATTTCAAAGACACGGTCAATGCGATGAATGTCATCGGCATGACCAAGCCAGAGCAAGACAATATCTTCCGAATGCTAGCGGCCATCCTGTGGATCGGTAACATTTCATTCGCCGAAGATGACCAGGGAAATGCAGCTGTTGTTGATCAGTCCGTCATTGACTTTGTCGCATATCTACTAGAGGTGGATGCCGCGCATGTCAACAAAGCCATGACAATCCGTATCATCGAGACCAGCAGGGGAGGCCGCAGAGGTTCCGTCTATGATTCACCGATGAACATCGCCCAAGCGACCGCTGTCCGGGATGCGCTCAGCAAGGCCATCTACTTCAACATGTTCGACTGGATCGTCGCACGTATCAACCAGTCTCTGCGGGCTCGAGGTGCCGTGTCACAAAGTATCGGTATCTTGGATATCTACGGCTTTGAGATTTTCGAGAAGAACTCCTTTGAACAGCTCTGCATCAATTACGTCAACGAGAAGCTCCAGCAGATTTTCATCCAGCTCACCTTGAAGACCGAGCAGGAAGAGTATGAACGGGAGCAGATCCAGTGGACTCCGATTAAGTATTTCGATAACAAGGTGGTTTGCGAATTGATCGAAGAGAAACGGCCTCCGGGTGTCTTTGCCGCCTTGAATGATGCCTGCGCGACTGCACATGCCGATCCAACAGCAGCCGACTCCACATTTGTTCAGAGACTGAATGCGCTCTCGAGCAATCCGAACTTTTCACCTCGCCAAGGACAATTCGTCATCAAGCATTACGCCGGTGATGTCAGCTATGCCGTCGAGGGCATGACTGACAAGAACAAGGATCAATTGTTGAAGGACTTGCTCAACCTCGTCGGACAGTCTGGCAACGACTTCCTGCGGACAATCTTCCCTGATGAAGTCGACCAAGACAACCGGCGTCGCCCGCCCACGGCTGGTGACAAAATCAAGGCATCCGCGAATGACCTCGTTGCGACTCTCATGAAGTGCACGCCGAGCTACATTCGAACGATCAAGCCCAACGAGAATAAGAGTCCCTCTGAATATAATGTGCCAAACGTTCTGCATCAAATTAAATACCTCGGTCTCCAGGAGAACGTTCGCATTCGACGAGCTGGATTCGCATATCGACAAACTTTCGACAAATTTGTGGAACGCTTCTACCTGTTATCTCCAAAGTGTAGCTATGCAGGTGAATACACCTGGGCTGGTGACGCCAAGTCTGGTGTGCGGCAGATCCTCAAGGACACTTCCATCCCGACTGAAGAGTGGCAGATGGGTACCACTAAGGCGTTCATCAAGACACCAGAGACGCTTTTCGCACTGGAGACTATGCGAGATAAATACTGGCATAACATGGCCATCCGAATTCAACGAGCGTGGCGCAATTATCTCCGATACCGTGCGGAATGTGCGACCCGCATTCAAAGATTCTGGCGGAAGAAGACTGGCGGCTTGGAATTCCTGCAGCTGAGAGATGAAGGCCACAGGCTTCTAGCCGGACGCAAGGAGCGACGTCGTTTCTCTCTGCTCGGCTATCGAAGATTCATGGGAGACTATCTCGGATTCGACAACCAGGGCGGTACAGGTGAACTCCTCAGAAACAGTGTCAACATTAGCTCTGCGGAGAAGACGATCTTCTCGTCTCGATGTGAAGTTTTGGTGTCGAAACTCGGCCGATCCAGCAAACCCGAACCTCGGTTCCTCGTGCTCACTAGCAAAAGTGTTTACATTGTCAAGCAAGCTTTGGTCAATAAGCAATTGAGCATTGTCGCGGAGCGGACAATCCCTGTCGGAGCAATCAAATTCATCAGCGCCAGCAGCTTGCATGATGGATGGTTTGCGATTGGTGCTGGTAGTCCCCAGGAACCAGATCCGCTTGTCCACTGTCTCCTCAAGACTGAATTCTTCACGCATCTCCACAAGCTCTCTCGAGGCAGCACTGCGCTCCAGATCAGTGACACCATTTCGTATAACAAGAAGCCCGGCAAACTGGCGACCATCAAAACCGTCAAGGACCCACAGTCACAGAACGATGATGTCTACAAGAGTGGACAGATCCACACCGCGCAGGGAGAGCCGGCCAATTCGACCAGTAGACCGACGCCCAAAGGAAGAAGTGTCCCCGGAAAGGCAATCACAAGCGGCAAACTTCTCAAGAAGAGTGTAGGTGGCAAACTCTCCCAACAAGCCGCGCAAGGCCGACCACAAGCCCGACCTTTGCCAGGTGCAGCCGCCGCTCAACCCGCCGCTACACAACGAGTCGTCCCGGTCCCACAACCAGTAGCGCAGCAATCCCGACCTGCCGCGAACCTCGCAGTGGGCATCGCTTCACATCTCCGCAATGCCTCCACCGCATCCAACGGCGCTGGACGGGCTCCTCCTCCGCCACCTCCTCCGCCCGCGGCTGCCCCTCCGCCCCGGGAATCCCAATTCAAGGCCATGTATGACTTTGCGGGCCAGACTTCCGGCGAGCTGAGTCTGCGCAAAGACGAAGTCGTCGTCGTCGAGAAGAAGGAGGATAATGGTAAGTGCTGCACACACACACATATATATATATATCCCCCCACATTCCCTCCTTCTCACCTAACCTCATCCCAACCTTACTAACGACTCCCTCCTCAACAGGCTGGTGGCTCGCCCGCCGTCTCGACCACTCCGCCTCCGGCTGGGCCCCCGCCGCCTACCTCGAAGAAGTCAAACAAGCGGCCGCGCCTCCGCCCATGGCCGCCCGACCCGCTCCCCCTCCCGCCCCCGCCGCAACGCGTCCCCAGCAAACCAACGGCGGCCCCGCCGCCGTTAAGGGCAAACCCACACCCCCCGCCCCACCCTCCAAGCGCCCCACGAACCGCAAATCCGTCCTGGCGCCCCCGCCGGCTTCCACGAGGGACTCGGGCTATTCGACCGAGGCGAACGGCGCCGCGGCTGCCCAGGGCGCTGGTGCTCAGCCCGGCGGCCTCGCGGGCGGCCTCGCCGCGGCGCTGAAGGCGAGGAGTCAGGCTATGAATCGGAACGATGCGGGAAACGACGATTGGTGAAGGAAGGATAGCGCGTAAAATCTTAGTATCATGGATGAAGAAGAACTGAAATGAGACGAATCGAAATGAGAGCCACGAGTTTCTCTTCGGCAGTTTTCGATCGAGCTCTCGCGCTGTGAGCATCTTCCACGCCTGCACGAAAAGTCAGTCCTCGTGCCCAGTCCATCGTGCAGTGCTAGGCTACGTTCATGATTCTCTGGGTCTGATTGGACAATATGCAGGATGGTTTGTGTCGCACGTGCGGCGCATGAACTCCTCGCGGTATATATATGTTTATTTGGCCCGAAAGTCGGGTGTGACCGTTCACGGTCCATCGGCGCTTGTTATATCCACTCTATCCAGATATGCGTCCCTCCCCAAGAATTGCTTTCGTTCCTGTCTTCGGTTGTTGATTGGTATTTTTGCTTTGCGGGTTGGGGGGGAAGGGGCAAATCGTTCACTAGGGTTTGGGTTGGATGATATTAGGGTTATATCAACATACAGATTTTGTGGCTCGAAGGAAGATGGACGTGGGTTCGCCTACGAAGAACTGCTCACACCTCAAGAACTCATATAGGCGCCAGCACCATCCCATGTGAATCATGTAGATGGCGGGCGCCTATGGAAGTGGCAGAGAATCGTGTCCCGCGAAGTTGTCGTTCTCTTCGTACGCTGGCTCGGGCTCCCGCGACAACTTTGGCCCGGTGTACGGGACGCCACGAACAGCACCCCCCTTCCTCACGTACTCCAACGCGTGTTGAGGTAGGTGCAGCGCAATCCTCAGGCAGATCGGGCAGCGACGGCAGAGCAGACCGCCGGAGAAGAGTGTGCTGCGCACCATACCTATGTCTGTGGAAACGTGTGATGGGACTGTACGGCAATCCGCCGATGGTGGTGGGGGTGGAAGGGGGGGGGGGTTGTTTCCTACGATGACATATTCGCTGCAGTGCAACGTGGCGCTCCAAATCTGGCTGCAGAAGGGAGTGGAAACTATATGTTGGGGCAAGGAGAGAGAGAGGTGGAGGGTTTGTTGCCGCCGCCGACGAAGGTGCGCTTTGTGTCAAGGTGATACGCATTTCCAGAGGCGGCCCCACTTGTGCACCCAATGGCAAGTTTCCTTGCCCGGGTTTGTTGTTGTTTGCACGAGGATATTTCCCCGTGGGGCGGCGATGAGCGGCTTTTTGGATGGTGGGAGGGAGGGAAACGAGGCGTTGGGTGAGATTCTGTTGTGTCATGTTGTGTTGTGCCGATGGCTCATTTCCTTCTGCTTCGATCGTTCTGTTTCTTTCAATCGACGCGTGATGGTTGAGAGGTCCTTTTTCTTCCCACGAGGTCGTGCAAGGACCCGGTTTGTTGGGAACTTTGCGTCTCTTTCACCCTTTCGTTTTTCCTCTGGTTCGGGCCACGAGGGAGGTTGTTGGTGATGTGTCCTTGTGCCGGTGCTGCCTGGTTGTTTGGCAGCTCAATTTCCGAGGCCGGGATCTTTCTTTCTCTTTGGGGGTGGTGGAGGAAGAAGGTGAGTCTTGTCAAGGATATATGCTGATGGCTTCAATGATCAGTCCCGGGAGAGAGTTGCATGAGTTTTTGAGAAGTCGGAGGCGGGATAACTTTGATGGGAGTGTGTCTCGAGGTTTGGACGCAGGTGTGAATGTGATGGTGACTTCCTGACCACGCGTTCCTGCTTTTTGGATCGCAGGCTGTGTGTGTGTGTATGTGTGCTCGCTGATGACAAGGAGTATTGGCTATCGCCTATTTATGGACTCTGTTCAGTCGTGAGACTTCAGGAAGGACAATGATACCAACACCCACGTGAGATGGGGCTCGTTGGTTGGACGCCTGGTCAGACTGTGACCATTGTCACACGTCGCAGATATCGCCGGTTTTGGTGCTTGGCCCGTTTGTCGTACAAAACAGTGTGATATTTAGTTTCTTGGCCGAGGGCTGAGATGGCCTGGTGGGTGAGCATCCGTTGCAGTGAAAGTAGCAGGAGGTCGAGCGTCGCATGTGTCGCTCGTGTGGGTTGATGAAGATAAGAATACGGCTGTGTTCGTAGTGAGCATGTGTCACTTGACACTGTCAAGACTGGGCGATCAAAGACAGTGGATTTGAGACCGAAGAAGCTACCGAAGAAGTTTGTAATCAGAGAAGACACTTCAACCATAAAATTCATCTATCATCATCATAAAGCATACATGAAATAGCACAACACCATTCGCAAAGCCAGATCATGGCCGATAGCCTCCTTCTCTAAACTTTTCCTTGTCTCACGAGTATTTGTAGATGACTCAACTACTTATTCTCCAACCAGATGAGTGATTCTCACCACTCTTCTTCTCACCATGTTTGGTAAGTACATCGCTTGATCCAGATAGTTCAGATAAGAATGTCTCTCACAGGATCATATCGTCGACCCGAGCGGTATGAAGGTTTACTGATACCTGAAGATGCTGTTATTCGAGTCAGCTGTGATATTTGAAGGGATGTGAAAGTCATTGACGAACCTGCGAAGCGAGATCTCTCCTCGTTCCTCATTGGAGGCGATGTAGTATAGTGACTTTTGACCTCAGTGCGGAACGACTGGGCGACGTCGTAGAAATGCGGCGCGCCGCTGTAGTGATCCTTCAGCTCGACATTGTAAGGCCGCCATGTCCGAGGACATGAGTCTTTGCTGGCTGATTCGTACAGGAGTGCGTTTCGTCTGTGATCTTCCTTCGAGCCACGATATGGAAAAGGACGGATTGGTCGTGCTTTAGGGTGGTGCAGCTTTTGTCGAGCTTGTCGGCCATCACGATAGCGGAAGACATGCCAGAGGAACCAGCGGATGATCCAGTTGGGATCGCGAGGTCGATCGGGGTCGAAGGCGAGGTCGTAGATCTTGCGGGTGTCGGGACAGGCTCGGTTGTAGACGCGAAGGGACTCATCGGAGAGTATCTGATCACCGACGTATGATGACGGAAAGAACTCTTCTCCGTCGGGACCGTATGATGCTGGCCCAAGAGTGCTAGCTGGCCCTTCGGCCTTCATGGCAGCAATGATGCGTGATCGCCCATCGGATGCTTCTCTCTGGAGGAATACTGTCAGTCATATTGAACGATCAAGTAGATGAAAGCAAGTGACGAACCTTCATGATATCATACAATCGTCGATCCTTCATTTGATTTTCTTTGAGCCCAATGCGGTCGAGAAAGTTCTTCTTCGACTCGCTCTTTGGGAGAGCCTCTGCACGTGGGGCCATTATGTGAGTGTGGTCAAGCAAAATCGGAAGGAAGAGAAGGTAGTGAAAGGGTGAATTGATGCCGAAGATACGTGGTACTTGAGTGAAATTCTCAAGCAGTGAAAAGCTGTTGAGCAAGTGGACTTTTTGGGTTTTTTTCAATAGATGGATGCTGTTCTGTCACTGGTGTAATTCATAAAGGATGCAAGTCGCATCAGAAATAGTGATGGTGGTGGTGGTCATGGTGGTCGTGTCTTCAAGATGGATCAAGCCAGGGCGCTTGAGCGGGACGCCTGCTGATGTGACTATCCCAACACAGCATAATACTACAGTTGCTCATAATCAGCCCCTGGGCCCCAAGTGAAGTACCACGCGGTGCGCTCATGCTCTGCTTACCATCCCTAGCTTGTTAGACGTAAACATATTTAGCCGTGGTGCTTACTATTACACTATGGATGGTCATAGCCCTCCTCCAGAATGTCATCGATTCGACGAACCGCCGAGCACCAACTTTCATTAGTGGCTTCAACGTGGCAAGCGGTGCAGAGTTGCCGCCGTGGTCGCGTGCACGAACGACTACGGGAACCATTTCAGGAATGCGGATCGACGGTAAACATGCTTATTAGACACAATTTTGTCGTGCGAACACTCGAAGTGTTGTTTCGAGACAGGGATAAGCTGACCACGACACCGCACCTGCTCACGGGAACAATGAGACCCCCCAAATATACATCATGCGTGAGAGGTAGACACAAGATTGGCGGTATGGGCATGGGAATAGTCCACAGCATGATCTCAGCGGGCGGCGGGCACATATTTGCATGTTCGTCCTACAAGCCACCTGCTCACCTGGATCGATGATTTGGTCCATGGTGGTTGCATCCACTACGGAATATCTGCCCGGATGGCGGATGCTCAAACGGCAACACGGACGGTTTTCTTGGTGGTCCCGAGGAATTGCTCTTGTGATTTGTGCTCATTCTGCTCTCTCCTTCCACGTGCTGGTCATTTTCTACGTAGTCTGGGAACTGACCAAAAGTACACAAGGCTGTCATCACCGTCGTGCCAGGTATGAGCGCACCACAGTGAGGAGAGTCGCGAGCGCTTGGAAAGTTCATCGAGATGATGTTGTTGGAACGAAGGCACTCATCACTCGGAGGAACTTATGAAGTAGCGACTAGTGGCGCATGAATTGACTAAATGCTGGAGTTCGCAGCTTGTTATGATGTGCATATGCCGGCTGCACATAGCGCCGTTTCATCACCGTATACCTTGCTCAGTGGACGGTGGATGGTGCTCAACAGAAGCTATGTCCACGATTCGGCTGGCGTGGAATAATGAAGACCCTCACGATGCGAGCTCGAAACACCCACCCCCCGACCAAGCCACTGTCAGGATGATCCTCATTTGATGCGAAATTGAAGAAGAAGATCAGGGTGGCTTCTCTCGCAGAACTCTTGAGTTGTGTTCGTGAGGCTGCAGCTGCTGATTCGGACCTAGTCTTGGCGAAACAGCGCTTCGATTATGTCCTTGTATCATATCAGCCAGCAATCATCCCCAAGATCCACCCACATGACGGGAGACTCTCAAGCGAACGTGCAGCTATACTGTGGCCTGCCTCTTTAGTCAAACGCGAATGACGCAAGCCAAACTTCTACCCGACTACTTCGATACCTATATTTGCCACCCACCTTCGTGGAAGGCTGGCAATCAGGGTCAAGTCTGTTCACATGCCAATCCTGCGCAAAACTTGGACAATACCCAGCATCATCAGATTCACCATCGCGATGTCGCCACATGCGACACGTTCCACAATTATGTTGCAAAGGGACGATGATCCACGATGAGGAAATATTGCACATCACCATCGCGCCTTCGTGTAAAGAACCGTGTAGATGGGTATAATAGAGCTCGTGATGCCTGTGTTATTCAAAATAAAAATTCGGGCTGGTGAGCGAGACATGCTCACGGTGTGCCCTTTGTATCACCTTCCCAAACCGGAAGACGAGACAAAGAAAGAAAGAGGGGATCGCGCAACCAGCCGACATGGTTGATTCCTGGACACATATCTCAATGGTCGTGTTCAGAACCAAGGAGACTTGCAAGTTGTCACTGTTGTTGTTGTTGTTCTTTAATGAGAACTTGGCCTGTACATCTCTAGTGATGAGTGGTTGTCGAATTGCGCGTGCTTTGGTCATCATCGCTTCGGGAACGGAACGAAGGGGTTGGACAAACACGAGGTGTGCACACACGAGACACGGCGGAAATCCCCCGGAGACCCGTCGCCTTCTCCTGATGAGGCATCTCAAATTGACAGACTGGACATATACAGACAGCGACACTTCAGAAGCCGCAGAGTAATAAAGCGTTGAGCTCGCGAAGATCGACAACGTGAAGTCGGACGCCCTCGCTACGTCCCAAAACTTTGTTACTCATCCGACGGAGGAACGCAAGATCGTACCGTTGCCAAGCTGCATGGGATGTTCCAGCCTCAGGCAATGATATAAGTCCCTGACCGATGAAGTTCGGCTTCGACCGACACTCGACCGGCCCACGATCAATTAACGTCAAACACCAGAGCGCGGTCCACCCCACGGCGTGGTCCACGAATTACGTGTCTACCACCTTTAACACTGATTATCTCAACCAATACTTAATAGATTGCTTTGAGACTTAAATGTGTTATATAACAATACTATTCAATCTACTGTACAGTGTTTGAAGGTGTGAGCAAAGGAACCACACTTGCTACACCGACTAGCACGCCTTGGAGCCCTTGGCATCTGCTCCCTTATTTGTGCTTCAACCTCCTCTTGCTCAACTATCCCTTGGATCTGAGAGGCTGACAGGGCAGGATCTAATGTGATTGCTTTCCTCTTCCTGGATTTGCGTTCATGCATTGCTTTGTTAGCATCTTGTAAAGCAAAAACCTGAGACTGAAGTAGAGCAGCAGAAGCAGCCATTTCTTGGGCTCCTTTAGAAAGCTGGTTTAATGCCTCAAAAATAGGTGATGGAGAGCTACTTTGG